GTACCCAGCTCCTTATCCTTTCGGAATTCGTTCCAATCGAACGGTTGAATGGTCAAAGAGTCCGAGAACGAGGTGATGATGACGTAGATCGTTTCGTTCCATCTCGGGCTGTCCGTGTCGTAGATGGTCTTGGTGCGGCCGAGTTCGGTGCGTCGGTTCAAAGACACGACGGCATACGGGTCAGGCGTGCCCGAGAACTTGTCGGGGTTCTTGAGTTGACGGGCCCCGTGGAGGGTAACGGCCACGACACCGATGGCCTGGTCGACGGGGTTGCCGGCCAGCATCTTGGCGATCTCGATGGGGAAGACGTTAGGACTGTACATCATCGGACCCAGGTTGTTGTGGATCTGGTCCTTGATGAAAGACTCCAGGCCGGGAATGAAGTTGATATCGAATCCCAGATGATCACCACCCAAGGGCTTGCAAACGTAGTCGATCTCTGGGCGCTCCATGAAGCAGACGTCCACCCGCTCGATGTGGGGGAAGGGAACCTGCAGCTTCATCTTGACTCTCATGAGGCCGCTACAGGCCATGTCCTCCACGATCACATCGAGACCCTTGCTCACGACACCCTTGCCCAGTCGAACCTCCAGGACAACCTTGGGGTTAATCTTGTTCTTCAGCTGGCGCGCAGTCAGATCCATGACGTCGTTGGGCGTGAAGCTGAATTTCCAGTCCATGATGATGGTGTCCACCTCGGTCTTCGGGTACGTCTTGACGTGCTCCAATCGCGGAGGCTTGGTACCCAGGATGAAGGTCTTCAGACGAAGACTGTCCAACATGGCGGGAGTCGAAGTGCTGAGCACCTGGTCCACGGAGTTGATGATCGTGTCGCACAGGACGGGCGCATAGATGGGCCAGAACTTGACCAGGAAACTATTAATCCACTCCAAGCTCTCGGTGTCGGTCTCCAGGCGTTGCTTGGCCATTTCCCGGTTAATATCGTCGCGGAAATTGCGCCGGACTCGCCGGATTGACGTGCGGTAGTATGTGCTACAGGCGGCCATGACGAGGAATATCCAGCCTAGACCACCGCCGAGGACGGCGACGACCCAAGAGGCCAGACAGGCGAAAACGATGACCCCGGCGTTGTGATACCAATCTAACGACGGTTAGCATTGTGGCCTCTCAACCGATAAAACCCGCACCGTCCGCATACCTCCAAAGAACTTGTCGTCCAACTTTCCTTCCAGGAAGTCCTGGTGATCTAGCAGCGTTCCTTCGGCCTGTTCCTCCTCGGTCGGGACCTGCACGAACTGCGGAGCCCATCCCGTTCGGTCTCGCGCCCATCGCATGTCCTCATTCATCCCACCCTCGTCTGTCTGTCCGTCGGAGGATTCTTTGGAGTCTTTCTCGATATCGGTGGCGGTTTTAGGTAGAGGGAGATCGTAGTCATCGGGGGTACCGTCATCCTAGAATCAACCGACAGGTTAGGAAACCGCAGTTCTCTCCACGAGCAACCTCACAGCCCAAGTTGCACGGCTCCACGCAGGCAAGCACATACCTTATCCGTGATAATCGCCATGCCCTTTGGTTTCTTGTCGCGATGAAACCCGGGCGGTACTCGCTTCAAAACGGGGAAAACACGAGGTCAGCCAACTCACCACCTTTATCCGGTACAGTCCACAGCGGCCAGGGAAAGACTTACAGCTTCAGCAGCGGCGGCTTTCTCTTCAGGCGAGGCATTCGGATCGAATTGGTAGGCGGGCATGCCCGCCTTCCGAGTTTCCTCGACCAGCACTTTCTCGGCAGCCTCGGCGGCCTTGGGATCTTGAGGGGCCTGTTCGGCGGCCTCAATGGCACCCTGCTGCCTCAATTCCCGTTGTTGATCTTCTACTTCTAGGGACGCCATGGCTGTGTTGGGGGTGCGAGGACGACCAGCCTTCGGTGAGTGAGATCACCTCCTACAGGAACCCCGAGCGATAGGATCTAGAAGGTCCTGTTGTCAGAACGACCCCAATGCGCGTTGTTTCGGAGTTCAATGGCAGGAATTGATGAGGGGAGGGGGGATGAAACAAAAGGTAGAGAACGGAAGAGCTACAAAAGGAATGGGGTGACAGGGCTGAATGGGGGACAAAGGATGACAGAAAAAAAAAATAGAATAAAATAAAGGGCAGGGAAGCAGTTCGGAAATGAGTTGGCGCTTAGTCGAGTATAGTTAAGATGGTTGCCTTCAGGGCCTCCGCAGTGGGGAGACAGTGGCTTAGGTGGGTGGTTGAGGTTGCAATAATGGCCAGAGGGAGAGGGGCAGGAGATGGGAACCGGGCAAGAAGAAGAGGGGAAGCGAGGGAAGGAAAAGGAAGAGGGGGTCCCTTTTTCTGAGGGGGTTAATGTTAGTTTCTTACCGACTGGAGATGAGAAAGCGAAACTGTAGGGGGTGAAGGGAGTTGACAGCTCAATGCGAAGCCACTTGCGTAAAGCAGAAGAGGTGGCTGGTGAGACCGTGAGAGCTCAGAGAGGAGAGGGAGAGGGAGGTATACGACGAGGGAAAAGGGAAGGGATGGAAGACGAAAGATAAGGGACGGAGTAGGAAAGCTGGAAAGGTTGAGAGGAGAATAAAGACGAGCAGGAAGAAGGGATCCGCTGGTCGTGACGTAAATCGACTGGAGCATCCAATTCCAGCGTGGAGAACGTAATCCGCGATTAAATATCAATATTAAGAATTAATATTTAATATTTACTATTCCATATTAATTCCTCCTTAGTCTCTCCACAGGCAGAAGGAATTCGAAGATTCCGATTGCTTTGATTCAAAGGGGATTTCAATTATTCTAGGGGTAGTTAAGCTTGTATTATATTCTCCTATATCTAATATATGATGAATTTGATAGAATGATGATAATAAGTATCCTAATTATCATCCAAATGATGGTTTTGAAAATAGGAGCCTCCTGTCGATCGACCAGGAAGTTGTGGGATCGAATTCCTTTGACCGGAACTGCACCGCCACCGGATCTGGTCGCGCCACACTTGCACCCAATTCGGGTCGACTACTTTAGTCCGGTGGGCTCTCCTCTGGTAGTTTCTCTAGTCGCTTGAACTAGTCCTTCTTCCCCTGTCCTGGACCTCGGGTTTTCTCTCATTTGTCAATCCCTCCATCCTCCGTCCTCCCGAACCACTGATCCGTGAACTGGGAACATCGGAGTAGAGATACAGATTACAGAGTTCTTGTAGCATTCCTTGAATCTCTTACTGCGCGCTCACTTCCATAGCATCCCTGTTCGTCAGCCCTGACACGTGGCATGCAGCTGAGCTAGTAGTTTCTCCTTCCGCGTCATGCTAAACCTTGCTCTTGAACCATGCTCGTATACTTGATCAAAGACAGACAATCACACCCTAAATATATAGAGAATAGTACAAAGTTCAATTAGGTATGACCCTCAAAGTTTAGCAGTTGTCAACTGTCATTGTCATGTCATCAAGTCACCGCTTCAGCTTGTATCCAGCTCAGCCACCCGATAACCCCGGCTTAACTTTCTTTTGCGAGAGCCTCTCCTCATAGGGCAGATTCCCTAAAAAAGAAAGCATGGACTATCCAGGTTCTACTGTACGGTGTACAGCGTATCACACGCGAGCTGCGTCAGATCTACAGATCCCCCACGCACTAAGTACTGTATCCTCATTCTTCCCAGCCACTTCTATATCTTCTCTACAATGTTTTTTTTTTAGTTCCTCGCCACGGATCAGCCTCGCAATCCGCTCGGATTCTAGATCGGTCATTGTTTCTGACTCGTACGGAGTCGTTCGCTTTTGAATTGGAGGATAATCCTATTCCTATCTACGGAGTACTCCGATAGATCCAACATCCTTGCCAAATGCAAATACCAATCGAGAAGTCAGGGTACCCACGATCCATACCAGCCCTATAACTGATTAAATGCACATCGCCTAGCTAGTCTTTTCTTATCCCTGCCCTGGCGCCCCAGCCACCCTTTTCTGTCCAATTGTCTAACCTGCATGGAGAACTCCGTGGTTAACCAATCTTAACCCGATTAACACAAAGTAAGATACCTCGGTGTAGGGTTAGACAACCTGAACTCCGGCGCAGCTTGAAAGCCTGAAACGCCCAAACCAAACCCACCCGAACCCGAAGATAAAATCCCCCGAAATATCTCCAGCAAAAACCCTAGCTGCGGGCATTATTGGGGCAATTGCGCGCCCACGGTTCACGGTGGAGATTCACAGCAAAGGACCTGGTAGGTAGAATATGATTCGGAGTTTATTCCCATTCCCCATGTCCCTAACTAATCCCTAGGGACCTTACCTACTCTAGCTAGGTAGGTAGCTAGGGCTAAGGAAAGGAACACTGAAGGGAAATTGTTCACAGCTCAATTGGTGACTGGTATCGTGGGTCCTACCGTAAAACTTCGATATCCCCCATTCCCGGTTCGTGGAATCTGAGACTTAACCTAGATATATCTGCTCCTTACGAGATTTATTATTAAAGTACGTGGTCGGTTGTCGGGGTACGTATACGGACTCCACTTTGGGATTATCATTTCCTTCTACTGTTATGTTTTTTGTGTTATTCGGATTTCCTAGTAGCACCTGATTACCTGTATCTGTTGGTCAATTGGAAATGAAAAATTTTTCAGGGCGATCGATCGTGATGGGATCGGATCTTCAGCCACGCCCAAGGGACTTGCTCTTAGACTACTTAGATTAGGGAGTGGTCCAGTAGTGTGTTAGCTCGATTAGGTAGTGCAGTCGACATAGCTACCTATCTTGGAGAATTAATATTTATCAATCAAATGTTCAAGAGTTCTTGAGCGGAACACTACTCCGAAAATATATTTATGCTAATGCCACTGTTCGTTACCTCAACAAATATATAACACTGGTATTGAATGCTAGAACATTAAACTAATGAAACGCAAGGAGCATGCATCATTTCGAGAACTACTTTTTTCCGGAAACCAGATTATTGCTGTCATCTCAATTCATTCATTTCCATCGTGTCCCTCGGCCCGTTCTCGGCGTCATTTGATAAAAAAACTCATTTACCGTCCCATACGGATGACACCGGCCGCCATCAGTTTCTGGATCTTCATCCGCACCTGGGCGTTCTTCATGTGCTCCTGCAGAGCGGCCGGGTCGGTCTTGGCCTGTTGCAGGATGCTCTGCATGACGGGGTCTTGGAGGATAGCCATGATCTATGAGATGTTAGGATCGATTATACCAAAAGGACTAAGGGGTTCAAGGAATGGGGGTCATACATCAGGGTCATTCTGGATTCGCTCCATGGTCTGCTGTTCCGTCTCGCCCGCGCGAGCGCTGAACTGAGAGTCCAGGCACTTCTGCTGCTGCTGCTCGATCTCACGAGCAAACGATCCGTCGTCGTGCTCCGAGGCTTCGGTGCAGACATCAAGAGCCTTGTTGTACTCCTTCATGGCCATGAGGGCCGACGCCTTGCGCATGTACGCACGGATGAACTTGGGGTCGCGGCTGATCGCCTCGTCGCAGTCCTGAACGGCCCCGGGGAAAGCCATGAGCTTGACGAGGGCAGCGGCGCGGTTGGAGAAACCGCGGGGATCCTGAGGGGCGCGCTTGGTCATCTCGGTGAATGCCTCGACGGCACCGGGCCAGTCGCCCTCCTGGAACTTCTTCTGACCAAGCTCGCGAGCCTTTTCGGCTTCAGCGGGGTCGATGTAGGATTCCTTCTCAGCCGTGGCCTTGGCCTTCTCGGCGGCGCGGAGCTTGGCGAGCGCGTCGGGGGTGCGGTGTTCGGTGAGAGACTTGTTGTAGTACTCAATGGCCTGGGCGAGGTCGCCCATCTTGTCGTACGCGGTACCGATACGGGCGAACGACTTGGCAATGACCTTGAAGTCGGCCCGGAGCTCGCGGCCCTCTTCCACGGCCTTCTGGCAGGTCTCGATGGTGCCCTGCAGATCACCCTTCTCGAACTTGGCGGCTCCAAGGTTGTTCAGATAGGTGACATCCTTGTGCAGCTCCCAGGCCTTGTTGTAGTGCTCGATGGCCTCGTCGAACTGCTTCTTCTTGTAGAAGTCGTTTCCAATCTTCTTCTCGGCATCTCCGGCCTCCTGCGCCTTCTTCTTGGCGAGGGTTTCCTCATCCTCGGGCTCGGGCTCGGGGGCAGGCTCGGGCGCCTTCTTGGGTTGCGAAGGGGGAGGGCGGATATCGGGCATTTCCTCGTCCTCAGCCTCCGGGGCCGCGGAGGCACCACCGGCGGCACCGGCGGCCTCAGGGGGAGCACCGAAGCTCATATCGATGCCTAGCAACACACTCATCACCTGAAGGAAGCGGGGATCCTGAAGCTCGGCTCCGACGCTGTTCGGGTTCTGCTGGATGCGCTGCAGTTTCGACATGAACTCGCCATCGGCCAGGAGGGACGAGGTCTTGGGGTTGTTGGCGAGTTTCTGGAAAAGCTGGGGGTCGTTGAAGATTCCACCGAGTCCGCCCGTAGGGTCACCAGTGACACCGTCAGCCTTGGCTTCGGCGTCGATGGCCCTCTTGACGGCGTTCAGGCCGGACTTGGCTTGCTCGTTACCGGGCTCGTACTTCAGGGCTTCCTCGTAGGCATCGTGCGCGGACACTATCGATGCTGTCAGTAAAAGAAGGCCACATTACCCTAAATTCAAACCAATTTGTGACGTACGAAGATCTCCAAGACCGCGGGCGGCAGCGCCCTTACGGCTCCAGCCCTTGGACCAGTCGGGCTTGATTTCCGTCGCCTTGTTGGCGTCGTCGAGCGCCTTCTGGTACTCGGCCTGTGCGGCATAGACAGCCGACCGGTTGGAGTATAGGATGTGGTTCTGGGGTTCGATTCCGATTGCCTGAGTGAACTTCTCACTGCGCAAGTGTTAGAGGTCAATCCGAGCGAAAGCGGGGTATGATGAAAGAAGACATTCTTACATGGCGGTACCGTAGTCCTTAGCAGAGAAGGCCTTGTTGCCTTCTGCTTTCAAAGCGTCAGCCATGGTTGTGAGGTGTGGAATGACAGCGAGGGTGATATGAGGTGATGATGGGAGGAGAAAAAGAAACCAGACCAACGTAGCCGGGAGAGCGCAGAGGAGATCACCTGCGGGCTAATGAAGCTCTGGCCGGGAGCTTCTCGAAATTTCCGGGAGAAACCATGGGCCTGAGTGCCTGAGGCAGCAAGGCGTCTAGGCTGCCCGCACCTCGACGGCGCTAAACCCTTCCGGGCGCCGCAAAAAGAACGAATGGAAAAAAGCCGCCAAAAACATCTTCTTTCAACAGTCACAGACCTGCGCATCTCTTCTTCCTCCGTGCGCCCCGTCTCGGCCCCGAGGAACCTTGCTCAGCTATCGTCGGAGTCGCAGTCTGGAAACTCGATTGGGATGCCTCTCTGAACATGCTTTATCATAGGCCCTTTCGGTGACTGTGTTCTAACTTGACGACCTGCTTCCTCCGTCCTGACTATGGCTTCCGCGGGATCGTCCGGCGGCTCTGTCAGTGAGCTCGCCGCGAAGCTCTACGATGCATGCCTGACCAAGTTCCCTCCTGATCATCTCTTCGTTCAGCAAGAATTGCTCGGCTTGGGCATCTTTCCCAAGTCCGACCTTGCGCTTCTCCTCCAATGCACCCAATCGCTCGTGGACCAAAAGCTGTTCCGACTTCTGCAGAAAGATAACCGCTTAGCCTGGAAGATCATCTCGCGGGAAGATGCTGAAAAGTATGCATGATCTTGACTGCATGATCTTCTGACTCTCACTATGCATATACATGAGTGATGCTAATATATCCCCGCTTCCCCACTTCAGACTTCAGAATTTGAACCCCGACGAAAGTTTGGTCTACAATGTGATTCACTCGACCGGACGTTCTGGTATCTGGGTCCGCGCCATCCAGAACCGTACAAACCTCCACAAGTCCATCCTAGATCGCTGCCTCAAGTCGCTCGAAGGGAAAAACTACATCAAAAGCGTCCACAATGTCAAGTTCCCCAGCCGGAAGATGTACATGCTGGCGGGCCTGGCCCCCAGCGAAGATGTCACCGGTGGCGCTTGGTTCACGGACGGCGTGCTGGACGAGGACTTCATCACCACGATGGCCGGGTATATCGAATATACCGTGAGTCGGAAAAGTTGGTTCGAAACGACGCCGGCAGACGGACGAGGCAAGCGCATCAAAACCGCCGACGGAAGTGCATCGTTGAAACAGGAGCCCCCCCAGAAAGAATACATCCCCTTCCCCGCGGGTTACCAGGGCTATCCCACCGTCGCGACGATCACCGCCGCCGTCAACGAGAGTGCTCTCACCCCCGTGCGCTTGGGCGAAGAGAGTGTCCTGCAGCTCCTCGAGATGCTCTGCTTCGACAACAAGCTCGTCGCCCTGAACAACGGCGAAGTCTACCGATCGGTCAAAAACCCGGAGGCCGTCAAACTATCGCAAGCTCGGAAACCCGCCGGAGACGACGACGCGTCGGATCGACTGGTCCAGAACGGCATGACGGAAGCCCCTTGCGGCCACTGTCCTGTCTTCAAACTCTGTGCTCCCGGAGGCGCCGTGAGTCCGGAAAGCTGCGAATACTTTGACCCGTGGTTGGAGAAAGCTTTGGGATTCTGAGCAGCCGAGCACCGCCCAATCCTCCTTTCTCTTTCCTCTATCATCTTCCTTTTCTCTCTTATAGTCGATGTACTATGTGCGCATCAGCGCCAGGTCATGTTTTGCTTTGCATAGCGGTGGCGTTTGCATGTCTTTTGTCTGAAGTTGAGTGGTCATCTCGATTTATCTGGACATTTCACGAACTTTAGAAAAATGTCGTGGCATTTAGGTATGGGTTCGGATCTACAACCAAAAGTGGAAAAGTTGGCACATCATAACGTCATAGCCTATCCTTTAATCTGCACGCATAGATAGGGAACAAAATTTATTGAGATATCCGAGAGTAAAACCTTTTAATTTCATGATAATCGGTAATAAGAAGTGTCAAGTAGAGAAACCATTCCGAAGATAAGTAGATACAAACCATAAAAACTCCCCCGCGCTAAAAGTATAAAGTACAAAATCATGAAGGGTATAATCAGTTGTTTAATTTCGCAGAGCATTGCGGGCAGTACCACTTGCCCACAGGTTCCCTGGTCAAGCCCACACATTTCCAATGGAACCACTCAAATTCACAGTCTTCGTTATCACAAGCAACCATATCCCCGTGGCTGACGCTGCGACAAGTACAGTAGACCTTGGTGTCTTCGTTGCCCTCGTCCTCTTCCTCATCGTCCATGTCATCGTCCCCGCGTCTGTTCTCGCTCGCGTTCTCAGAATCGGACATATCGGCGCTGCTGAGGAGCGAATCGTCCTCATCGTCATCCCCACCGGCCGCGGACGGGGATTTCTTCGTGCTGCTGATCTTGAGACGGCCGCTGGCGCTGGAGGACCGCTTTGATGGTTTCCCGTGGAGTCCGGACGACGCTTTAATCTTCTTGAGTTGTTGGTGCGGTGCAACTTTCTTGGTTAAGGCCTTTTTCACCGAGCCGGTTGCGCGAGGCCCGGCGCTGCCGGCGCGACTAGACGCCGGAGTTCCACCTTTGGGTGTGCCGGGGCCGAGAGACGATTGTCGAAGATTGGACGATGCGGCGGGAAGGGTTCCGAGGGATGCGTTGAGGCGACGGCGTTTGTTTTCCACGGCACCGGCGGATGACTCGCGCTGGCGTTGTTGGAAGTGTGTTGTCCCGGCGGCAGGGGTGGCTGGGGCCGAGCTTCTTGCGTGGTTTGGAGAGCCTAGTGCAGTGACGCCCGTTGAACGAGCGAGAGACTGATTGAGTCGCTGTGTCGCGCCGATGATAACGTTGGCATTTCCGGACGTAGGGTTGAGCGGCGAGCTGTTGTAGGATGTCGAGTCGAAGGTGGAGTCACTGAGGAAGATCTTCGGAGGGTCGCGATATTGATCTTTATTGACGAAGAGCGATGGGATCGGAGGATCGTTGGATAGGACGCCGTCGTTCTGCAAGTCGCGAATCTTGACATCTAGTTTCTTGATCTGCCGGTCTAGCAGAACCACCGCTTTCTCGCTGAGTTGGATTTTCTCGTCCTGCAGGAGCTCCGACCTTTCCAAATTCTGCAATATCGTCTTTCCGTACTGTTCCTCCTTGGGGTTCGGCGCTAAGCTGCCATTCAGTTTGATGAATTTCTGGATGCTGTTGTCGCGGGAGTTGATGGTCGTGCGACAGTCCTGGATGATCTTGTCCTTGGCCTGAATTTCCTCCATCAAGTGATTGATTTCCGCTGGTAAGTTTGCGACATCATGAACAAACTGTTCAAGTACGGATGCGCAATCTTCAGAGCCGTGCGACATCTTTCGTTAGAGTCGATTCGCGGCGATATTGGGATCGGACAAGTTGCGCCTCGGGCGCAGGGGTATTTGCGGTTTACGGAGTACTTGGACCCCAATCTGACGATATTCGAAGTCGTTTACCGCCGCTAGGAGCTGAGTGGAGAGTGGAGTGGCAATATGCCTGGAACGTCGTTCGGTGGGTGTGTCTTCGATGATTGACGGAGGGTGAATATGGGGCGGCAGCGATGGAATCGCGAGCGGACTATACCTGTTCCGTGCCGTACGCATCAGCCACAACACGCCACACCTGTCTCCAGCCACACCAGGCACGCCTTATCAAGCAGGAGGGGCATTGCGGCCTGAGATATCAGGCCACAAATGTAGCCTAGAAGTTTTTGAGATATTCAATGTGCATTCCGGCTGGAGAGTGCCATTAAACAGTAATATACATTTCATTGACGTCGCTCTCTGTCTGAAATAGTTCAATTGAAGTACGGTAGATGATCATTGCCCGCATCAGGTCGTCCGAAGTATGTACTGCATGCTCACCACATCCGCATGCGGACCAAACGACCAGGACGGGCTTAATTAAGATCGGCTATATATTAATTGCACTAGCATTTCAAGGCTAATCCTAGCATGCCTGATAATTTCATATCAATGTTCCATGCTTATATCATGACGTCGACTCGCAGATGACAGCCCCCTCCGGTGCAAACAGCGCAAACAACTTTATCTTCTCCGAGATTCCCCTCATTCCTGACGATCCTCGGCCGGAGATTTTTCTATATTACATGCACATTGCGTCGTCTGTAGTCCGAGTGAGGCTTGAAACTTCTCACTGGTACATCCTGCTCTTTTGACAATTCCTCGATTGACACCTAGTCTATCCCGCGAGCCTTGACAGAACACCGCGAAAATGAGTCAAAATGGCTCCCCTCCGCCTCCGGAGGGCATTTCCTCGCTTCTGGATACCGATTTGTATAAATTGACGATGCAGTGCGCTATCTTGAAGTACTTTCCTGATGTCTGTGAGTGTGCGCCCTGGTATCACCCACTGTGGTCGGATTCTAACACGGAAACCTGCAGACGTCACCTACAGCTTCACCAACCGGACTCCTCAGATGAAGTTGACGCGGGGTGCTTACAAATGGCTTCTGGCACAGATGGATAGTATGCGAATATGCCTGCCTATTTAATTCTCCAAATTCTAATGTTCAACCTTTGATCAGAGCTCGCAAACATCCGAGTCACAGACGACGAAATCGCCTTCCTCAAGAAACGATGTCCCTACTTCAACGACGCCTACCTGGGCTTCCTCACCACCTTCAAGCTCAAACCCTCCGAGCACATCGAGATCAAATTCTCTCCCGTGAACGACACCGGCAGCGATGACGATTTCGGCGACGTGGAATACATCATCAAGGGTCTCTGGCTGGACACCATCCTCTACGAAATCCCCCTCCTTGCTTTGACCAGCGAGGCCTACTTCATGTTCTCCGATAAGGCCTGGGACTACAGCAACCAGATCGACAAAGCGTACCGCAAGGGCCTCAAGCTGCTTGAGCATGGGTGCGTGTTTTCGGAGTTCGGGTCCCGACGACGTCGCGACTACCATACCCACGACTTGGTGATGACTGGACTGTCCCAGGCTGCGGAGGAAGCCAAGAATAAGGGCTTTAAGGGTGTGTTCACAGGGACAAGTAACGTTCACTTCGCTATGAAGTATGATGTCAATCCGGTGGGCACGGTGGCTCATGAATGGTACATGACCATTGCGGCTATCACGGATGACTACCCGAACGCCAACGAGCTGGCCCTACGGTACTGGCTCGGCTGCTTCGGAGAGGGGGTGAGTGCGCGCGCCTCTACTTGCAAATACCTCAACTAATAATGCCTGCAGGTCCTGGGAGTCGCATTGACCGATACATTCGGCACACCTGCATTCCTCGATGCGTTCCGGAAACCCATCCCCGAATACACCAGCGCCGGAGTCGGCGCCGTGACCACGACAGCGTCCGGGCCGTCCACGACAAGCGACTCCAACATCCAAAGCGAAGCGGCCACCAAGCCCCCAATCTCCGCACCTATCTCCAACAACGGGTCTCAACAATCCCCCACGACCTACGCCCAGGCATACACCGGTATCCGTCAAGACTCCGGAGACCCCACGTACTTCGTGCACCTGGCGCGGGAATTCTACGACAAAGAAGGCATCAAGGAGAAGAAGACGGTCGTGTTCTCCGATTCGCTAAATATCGAGCTCTGTCTGGAATACAAGACCATCGCGGAGGAAGCCGGTTTCCAACCTGTCTTTGGTGTCGGAACTTTCTTTACCAGTACGCCAACCCCCATTCTCCTCTCCCCCACTGCCACCTTTCCTAAATACATGCTAATCGAAATCTAGATGATTACACCAATACCACCACCGGCGAGAAATCCAAGCCCCTCAACATCGTCATCAAGATCTCTACCGCGAACGGCCGCCCAGCCGTCAAACTCAGCGACAACATGGGCAAGAACACAGGCGACAAGGAGAAGGTACAGGCCGTGAAGAAGCAGCTCGGATACATCGAGCAGGAATGGGAGCAGGGCGACGAGAGTAACCGATGGAGCAAGTAATTCACCTCAACAACAAGAAGAAGAGCAGCAACAACAGGAACCGCGGAAGACAAAAAATGACCATAAAAAAGAGAGAAAGAAAAGAAAAAGCACCTATTCTAAGTCGATGGTTGATTTAATAGAGGCTAAGGAGCGAGTCCCGTGCTTACTATCTATCTATCTACCCATCCATTTTGATACCATTTTTTGCCATTTGTGCTATGTAACCATATCAAATAGAGTGGGAGACATGGATCTACTTTACTTGAACTCGGACTTTTAGGGTTTCAATTACAGAAGAGATGAACACTTCGCTAAGGAATAGACGGCAGTTAAATCAAACATCGTAAATTCCTAACCTAACCATGTACTGTGAATTCCCGATAATGATAATAACAAAAAGATGCACGCTATACGCTTCCAACGCAACCTGAGTAGATAATATATACTAAAGAAAAAGAGACAAAGATAGGCCACGGTATGTATACAATCTCAACCAAACAATTCATCCCCAGAGTTAAGTCCCAGATCCTTGTCCAGATCGCCCGTGATATCGGTATTACTGTGCCCAAGCGAGCGCGATTCCTGCTTGTCCGAGAACGAGAACATGTCCCGGGTGTGATCTTCCATTGGCGAGCTGGGGTAGTTGAAATTCAGCTCGGGTTCGGGGTTGGGCTCGGGGTTATCGTCCGGGTCTCGCAGGAGGCTCTGCACCCAGTCGAGTCCGAAGAGGGAGTGGTTTGGTGTGCTGTTGTTATTGTTATTGTTGGGTAAGGAGAAGTCGGGCTCGATGTCGAAGTCGAATAGATCTGTACGGAGGAAGGTATTTGTGTCTTCGTAAGGTGAGCCGGAGGGGGGGAGAGTGGAGTTGAAGTGATCGTTGAGATTGTTGCTATTGGAAGGCGTAGACTCTGGCTGTTCCTTTTCGGGAGAAAGAAAGCCATTGGTGGTTGTGGATGCGGTGCTGAATTTCTTGCGATTGGGATTCTGTTCTTGGGATGTCGAGTGTGATCGCTCGCGGTTGGTGTGCTGTGGCCTGTTGAACTGGGCCCGTTCGTCCCGCGGAGAGCTCCATGGGTCTTCCGTTGGAGATAAGGTTTGTACAGTCGAGACGTGGCTGAATTTTCGGGACGGTGACTCGGCGGCCTGGTGGTTGTTTGTATTGCTGGAATGGCTGTATTGCATTATTTTCAAGTATGTGCTTGTACTATCTGCTTGCAGTCTGACAGCCGCCTCGATGTTCGCAACTTCCATGTCCGCTGCAGGGTATATGTCTTTCAGGCCCTGGAGGACTTGAACACATCGCTGGAAGTTGTGGAGGCTTGCCTCGCGGACTGCCGGGTTAGCGGACATGATGTTTGCTAGATGTGCGACGGCCGCCGGGATGATGACCGTCACGCCCGACTGAGGGAGGAATCGCGTAAGGTTCAACTGATTGAGTCCTTGGATAATATGTGTGATCCCAATCGCGGCGTCTTGCATCTTTGAGCGCGCCCTGTCGGCCAACTGAATGCGAGACCGGGTCTGATCCTTGTTGGACAAGAGCGCCCATGGTCGATGCAGAGCGCTGATCGTGGCATGGTACAGCATTCTAACCATAGCCCCATGCAGAAGCAATACATCCTCTCCATCTTTGAAGTTGTTCTTGGATGCCGGGATGTATTGTGCATCCTTTGGAAGGGAGTTGAGCCACGAATCGAGTCGTTGGCTGCACCGGGCCAGTTCGGACTCAGAGGCCTGTCTTGGAATCAGAGTGATAGTGGTCCGGTTGGTCATACCGAAAAGGCACTGTGAGGTTGAGTACTGGGCGAAGAGCACCCGGCCAATGCACTGGCACAGTTTGGTTTTCTCTATGAACATGGTTGCCAGGCGCTTCTGATGCGAAACATCCTCGAGCTGGCGACAACGGAATAAATTGATAACAGACGGATGGAAAGGTTCAAAATCAAAGTCGTCATGATTCAGCATGGGTATGTTGCTGGTTCCTTCATTAACTTGCGTTGGACGTCGTAGGCCCATCGCAATAAGTCGATCTCGAGCAAACATGCACCACCAAATTCGGGTTCTCAGCCGTTTCGTTCTCACATCCATCTGAGAGGCTGGGCTAGGGTCTCGATTCAATCCTATAGACTGGGCCTGTGTATTGCAAACCCCTATCCAGTCCCATATGTCTCGGTTAGGGTGGTTGACATGGTCTGTCCAGTATGTCATCAGGAGAAGAGTTTGCAGAATGACAATCCGGTCCTCCTCGCAGTCCAGGGAATACAGCAGCTAAGGTCCCGTTAGTACGTCTGGAGTGATTCCGCGTCGGATGTTGCCTACCCTCAATCGCGTGTAGAACGCACTGCGAGCGCTCTTCCTCGTGGCATACCCAGCATCTTGCAAATGCTTCAGATCTACAAATGCCGTGGCCACAAACATCACTGCCTGGAACAGCAAAAGACTGATGTTTCCATTAGGATCATTCTGCGCAATGCACCGCAAAAACTCCTGCAGGTTCAGCACCGGCATGAAGCTATGGACCCATTTGATATAGCACCGCAGTAGTTCATTGCGCAGTCCACTCTCCGGGGTCGATAGGGCCCCTCTAAATCGCAGAAATTCCAAATCTTCCGGGGCTATTCGAGTAGGGAGCGGCTTGAGGAAACGCGGTTCGTCGTCGAGGATGGCAATAAGCGGGTCGAAGTCGGGGTCGATGAGGTCGCGGACGGCGGAAACCATGTTCTCCAGCGGAAGAGACGGCTGGACTGCGCGAGTCCCGAGTGTTCGCCATTCGCGCGGCGGCCTGGCATCTGGCAACCAAGGCGTATGAGTATCGTAGCTTAGACTGTTTCGTTTGGCCACGCGCCCGTCTTCATATCCGTCTGCGTTGTGTAGTTTCCGCTTGGCAGTCATCATCTTGACAGCAGGTTTATCCGCATCTGGATGCAAAATGCATAGGGGTCAGGATGTCTCAAATGCAAGAACGCGGCCCAGTGCGGAACAGAAACCACCGCGATCGTCAGTCAGAACTCAGAACTCTGAAGGAACCCATAGCGCTGCCCCCCGGCGCTAAAGAAGGCGGTGTTCGGGATTCTTTGGCCGTGTGGGGTTTTTGCGGGCTTCCCCGCCAATTTGATAATAGTAGTCGCTTGGCTTGGCATGGTAGGCTATTGTTCGCGGGAATTCAATCAGTCCCAAGGATGGGGCGAGTCATGAGTTCTGACGTGTGGCGGTGGCGTGGAAGAGTGACCTCCTTGACGGCATCGACAAAGAAACATCGATTGACTTCCGGAGGATTACGCAGGGGTGCCTTGGGCATTCCATCCACACGTGCTGGCATAATTATATGCGCGGGATAAAAGTTGCATAATAATGTGATGTCAGATTGGCCTGCCTCAGGATTTTCCAGTTACTACTACGTCCGCGCCAACAGTCAAACTCTTATCCTTAGTTACAACAGATGAAATCATGCCGAAAATCGTCACCATAAAAACGTCATTCAAGCCATTTTGAAATTAACGAGTCTAGTTATCGACTACTAGAATCCGACCACCTACTATTTGTGGTTGAACAAAGCACGCGTACTCGGAGAAACGAGGAAGGGTCCGGATGGTCTGAAGTTCTGAAGTTCTGAAGGTCTGAAGATGGTCTGTAAATCACCTGAATGATGGTTGATAGCCGATGTCTGACTCCGTAGACAGACGTGACCGTTGAGCGTCAATCCGCATGTTGCAGCTATCCGAGCGACCGGCGAGAACTCGTGGACTGAGGATAATATGGCACGAAAAGATGGCAGATGGTGTTGAGAACTCTGTTCATTGAAGCAAAAAAATGCAATATAATACACGTATCCATTAATTCGAACCCAGCAAAATGGTATCGCAAGCCAATGTCGACAATTCTAATCGACTCCGACGATCGCCTGTCCTATATCGAAAAACCCATATCACAACCTCGAGAATGATTCACAATTGAATCGGGTATTGGTTTACATACTGCGCTCGTCAGTATGGCCGTCACAACAAGCGCGGGAATCGTAGGCCTTGTAAGAGGCATTTCGACTTACGGAGGGAGGAGGAGCTCGCCGAGGCTGCTGTGAAGGAAAGCGACACCGGCCTGTACGGACAAACAGTCAGTATTTCTGAGAGAGCCAAACAAATGACAACGTCAGAGTGACAACTTACGCCGAAGACCAGAAGACTTCTCACGACGGTGGCGTTCTCGGGGTGGGTGATCTCATCGTAGGCGGAGGCGAAGAAGCCCTTCTGGGGGCGACCGGAGGAGACGACAACTTGCTTCGCAGGCATGATGAAATAGTGTTCTGAAAGGAGATAGTCCTGTAGTTGAAAAGAGGGTGATGTTGTAGTTAGAGAGTCTGCGGAGGGATGGATGGAAAGCTTTCCGAGAAATCTTTCGCGTGCTTGGCAATTGCGTCTTTAGCTTGTCGCGGTCCCCGTAACAATCTTCGGAGCTGCGCGACCAACCATCGCGGACAAAGCGTGGGACAGACACGGGAAATCACCTGAAAACAGTTTCTATATTTCCTCTAAAAGGGGGTTCGACTTGAAATTTTGTTCACTACCGGCATCCACTCGGATTGGTGGTCGATTTGGAGTTTTCGTACCCCTTGCGACCTACTCAAACCGCAGCCATGACCAGCATCGATGAGCTCTTCAAGGTAAGTTAGTCTTCGTTACAATGACATATGTTCGTATGCTGACCAGAGAAGAAACCCTTGTCGGCAGCGAGCGCAAAGCGCAAGTTAGATGCCAATAGTGACCCCAGTACGTTGCGCATAACCTATCGCTTTCCTCCGTGCCATGACTGATTCGCAATCCAAGATGAGCTTTACAAGGCGGCCAAGCTAGACGGAAGCGGTGATGTGAAATCCGGAAAATCTCCCATGGTAGAGGATGAGGAAGACGACGGCGAGGCTGGCCCCGAGCTGCCTCCGGACTTCGATGCCGAAGATGTCCCCGACGACGAAGAAGGGCGCTTTTTTGGCGGAGGAATGGAACGCCAGACCGCACAAGCGATGCAATATATCGATCAGCACGAGGAAGGGGAGGCAGAGGTATGGTATGCAGACTGGTTCGTTGGTGGTGGTGCTAAATTGTTGCTAGCCGGAGAAATTCGATGTCGCTTGGTTGCGGCGATTTGCCCTCAGTTTCGAGAAGAAGATCTCGAAGAACGCGGAGCTTCGTGGGAAATTCGAAAATGAGCCCCAGAAGTAAGCTTCGAGTTCAAATTCTGTCTCTACACGTCTCTTACTGACCAACCTCAGGTTCATGGCCTCCGAGGCCGATTTGGACAATGAAATCAAAGAGCTGTCTATACTGTCCGAGCATCCGGAACTCTACAGCGAGTTTGCTACCATGGGCTGTGTCGGATCACTGATTTCTCTCCTGTCGCACGAAAACGCAGATATCGCCATTGATGCTATTCAAATCATCAGTGAGTTGACAGACGAAGATGTCGAAGCGGAACAAGAGCAATGGGACGTTCTGGTCAACGCAATGGTACATCCCCCGTCTCCGTCTTGGATCGCAAACACTGACCAATCTAGTTGGACGCCGATCTCATCGAACTTCTTTCCCAAAACCTATCACGACTAGACGAAGGCTCGGAGGCCGATAGGGCAGGAGTGTATTATGTACTAGGTATGGTCAGCTTGGCATTGGACAAAATCCAGTGAAACTGACTTGGATTCTAGGCGTCTTGGAAAACCTTGCATCGCAAACCTCAATCGCGGAGCGAATTGGACAAGAGTCGGGGATGCTCCAGTGGCTCCTCACCCGTGTGCAACAGAAAGAAAGGCCCGTAAGCCAGAATCAGCAATATTCGGCCGAGATCCTTGCGATCCTACTACAATCCTCTTCCAAAAACAGGGAAAAGTTCATCGGTCTAGACGGAGTGGATGCTCTTCTCCAGTTACTCAGTCAATACCGGAAACGGGATCCCGAAAAGGATTCCGATGAAGAAGAGTACGCAGAGAACTTGTTTGATTGCCTGATATGCCTCGTAGATGAGGACGCTGGGAAAGAGAAGTTCCTCGAAGGAGAGGGTGTCGAGCTCTCGCAAATCATGCTGAAAGAAGGAAAGTTCAGCAAGCAGCGTGGCCTACTGGTTCTCGATCATGCTTTAGGTGGACTGGGGGGAGCCCCTGCTTGCGAGCGATTAGTAGAGGCAGCGGGTCTGAAGACTGTGTTCAGCATGTTTATGAAAAAGGTAGGCGAGACGTTTCTTCACTGTATCATGGTTGGAGCTAATGACAAGCAGCAAGAGCATCAAATCATTGAGCACCTCTTGGGTATTTTCGCATCTCTTCTGCGTCTGTTGCCAGGAGGCTCTGCCCCACGTATCCGAACTCTCGCGAAATTCATGGAGAAGGACTACGAGAAGATCGAGAAGCTGATCAAAATGAGACGGGAATATGCGTCGAGAGTAACGCCGGTTGAAGAGGCCATTGCTAAGGAACGGAAGAGCTATACTGAGGAGGAACAAGAGATTATGGCAGCCGAGTGGCTCTCGCGTCGTTTTGATGCTGGTCTGTTCTCCGTACAGGTATGTTTGAGTACACCCCATTACATTGTTCGATACTAATAATCGATTCCAGCTCATTGACGTTATTCTGGCATGGCTGGTGGCCGAGGACGACGGCGCGAAGAGAAAGATCGTCTCTCTCCTGGCAGACCGCGACGAGACTCTATCTCTCATTCACTCCACCCTCAAAGGTAAGCCAAACCAGTCTCGCCCCCTTCTGCTTGTCATGGTTCAGACCGCTAACGACCACCAGAGCAAATTGAAGGACTAGTGGAAGATGACCCTGGGCAGAAGGATCAGAAGGAAATGCTTGAGACGCTCTTGCAATTCCTGTAACAGGAATAGTCTAACTCTGGGAGATAATGAAGTGCAACGTTGTAAGATAGATACCAGCTTTGTATACTTTTAGTATCGAATAGACAAAGCAAAAGTTGAACAAAGAACAATATATCACGTGACACTCCCTCACTGGGACTAGCCCGCCTCAGGCCGAGCAAGGCGGTCGAGGCGCTAGTGGCGGCTCTTCTCAAGATCCCATCAGCGCCCGGAGAAGTGAAAGTCCTCCAGCGTCGCTGCGTTGCCATCCACGGTCGGTCTGGGATCTCTCACTTTCATCGAACTGAGACTCCCGGCTTTCTTTCTTGTCTCTATCACTTTTGCATAATATATTCTTGTTTTTTTGTTGTATTTGAAGGTCTTGCTGTCTTTGTCAGCACCCAACCTCACCTTCGAGGCAAGATCTCTGTTCGAGCGCGTCGCGCCCTTTGCGCCCTCGGATTGACGGACTCATTCGATTTGTGCTCTAGTGATTGAATCCCTTTCGCCAAAATGGCCGACTACGAAGATGCCTACGACGAAGAGTACTACGATGATATGGAGGAGGGGATCACGTCGGAGGATTGCTGGACGGTTATCTCATCTTTCTTCGACACCAAGGGTCTAGTGTCGCAGCAGCTGGACTCCTACGATGAATTCGTCGCGTCGACAATGCAGGAGCTGGTGGAGGAACAAGGCCAAGTGACGCTCGATCAAACACTTCCGCCAGACGAAGATGAAGTTGACCCCGTGGTCATCCGTCGATACGAGCTCAAATTCGGAGGCATCATGTTGTCCCGGCCGTCCGTGATCGAAGGAGATGGTGTTAGCAATCTTCTCCTGCCTTCCGAAGCCCGTCTACGAAACCTTACCTACGCCTGTCCTCTTTTCCTCGAAATTTCCAAGCGTATCATGGAAGGACGTGAGCGCTTAGTCGCCGACCGGGACGATGACGATATGGGCGAGTCCACCGATGATAAAAAGAACAAAGGAACATATCTCGATTGGGAGGATAAGCCGCTTCCTGCAGGTCAAAAAGATACAGAAAACATTTTCATTGGCAAGTTGCCTATCATGCTGAAGTCCAAGTACTGTGTCCTGAAGGACTTGGGCGAGCAGGCGCTTTACGACTGGAACGAGTGCCCGTACGACTCGGGTGGCTACTTTGTTATCAACGGTAGTGAAAAGGTTCTGATCGCCCAAGAGCGGAGTGCTGGAAACACCGTGCAGGTCTTCAAGAAAGCACCACCAAGCCCGACGCCCTACGTCGCGGAGATCCGAAGTGCCGTCGAGAAGGGTTCGCGACTCCTCTCGCAACTGGCCATCAAGCTTTTTGCCAAGGGTGACAGTGCGAAGGGAGGATTCGGGCCCACGATCCGATCCACCCTCCCCTACGTGAAGACGGATGTGCCCATTGTCATCGTCTTCCGAGCGCTCGGCGTTGTTTCCGACGAGGACATCCTTAACCACATCTGCTACGACCGAAACGATACCCCCATGCTCGAGATGCTGAAGCCTTGTATTGAGGAGGGTTTCGTGATCCAGGACCGTGAGGTGGCTCTGGACTTCATCGCCAAGCGAGGATCCTCTCAGTCCAGCATGAACCACGACCGCCGTATCCGGTACGCGCGCGAGATTATGCAGAAGGAACTCCTTCCCCATATTTCCCAGAATGAAGGCAGTGAGACCCGCAAAGCGTTCTTCTTGGGTTACATGGTGCACCGATTGCTGCAGTGCGCTCTGGGTCGCCGGGATGTCGATGATCGTGACCACTTCGGAAAGAAGCGTCTGGATCTTGCCGGTCCCCTTCTGGCCAACCTGTTCCGTGTGCTCTTTACGAGGGTGACGCGTGATCTCCAGCGTTACGTCCAGCGATGTGTGGAAACCAACCGCGAGATCTATCTGAACATCGGTATCAAGGCCAGTACCTTGACTGGCGGTCTGAAATACGCTCTTGCCACTGGTAACTGGGGTGAGCAGAAGAAGGCAGCCAGCTCGAAGGCTGGTGTGTCTCAGGTGCTGAGTCGCTACACCTACGCCTCCACGCTGTCTCACCTTCGTCGAACCAACACCCCCATCGGACGTGATGGAAAGATCGCCAAACCTCGCCAGCTCCATAACACCCACTGGGGTCTGGTCTGTCCCGCTGAAACCCCAGAAGGTCAGGCTTGTGGTCTGGTCAAGAACCTTGCCCTCATGTGCTACATCACGGTCGGTACGCCCAGCGAGCCGATCATCGACTTCATGATCCAGCGAAACATGGAAGTCCTGGAAGAATTCGAGCCTCAGGTCACTCCCAACGCGACCAAGGTGTTCGTCAACGGTGTCTGGGTCGGTATTCACCGGGATCCGGCGCACCTGGTTCACACGATGCAGGGTTTGCGTCACAAGAACCTGATCTCCCACGAAGTCAGTCTGATCCGAGACATCCGTGAGCGTGAGTTCAAGATCTTCACCGATGCTGGTCGTGTCTGTCGGCCGCTGTTCGTCGTCGACAACGACCCCAACAGTGAGAACGTCGGTTCGCTGGTGCTGAATAAGGACCACATCCGCCGACTGGAACAGGACAAGGAACTGTCTCCGGACCTGGACCCCGAAGAGCGTCGTGAGCGCTACTACGGATGGGAGGGTTTGGTGACCAGCGGTGTTGTCGAGTATGTCGATGCGGAGGAGGAAGAGACGATCATGATTGTCATGACGCCGGAGGATCTGGAGTTATCCAAGCACCTTCAGGCCGGTTACGCTCTACCTGAAGAGGAGAACGACCCCAATAAGCGTGTGCGCTCCGTCTTGAGTCAGAAGGCACACACGTGGACACACTGCGAGATTCACCCCAGTATGATTCTGGGCGTCTGCGCCAGTATCATTCCTTTCCCCGATCACAACCAGTCCCCTCGTAACACCTACCAGTCTGCAATGGGTAAACAGGCCATGGGTGTGTTCCTGACCAACTTCGACCAACGCATGGAGACGATGGCAAACATTCTTTACTACCCCCAGAAGCCGCTGGCCACCACGCGGTCCATGGAGTTCCTGCGGTTCCGTGAACTGCCGGCCGGACAGAATGCCATCGTTGCGATCGCCTGTTATTCGGGTTACAACCAGGAAGATTCCGTGATCATGAACCAGAGCAGCATCGACCGTGGACTGTTCCGCAGTCTGTTCTACCGTACCTACACGGATACCGAGAAGATGGTCGGGTTGACGGTGGTGGAGCGCTTCGAGAAGCCGATGCGCGCCGACACCATCGGTATGCGCAAGGGCACCTACGACAAGATCGACGACGACGGAATTATCGCGCCCGGTGTCCGTGTCTCCGGAGAGGATATTATCATCGGTAAGACGGCACCTCTGGCTCCCGACGCGGAGGAGCTCGGACAGCGAACCAAGGCGCACACCAAGCTGGACGTGTCGACGCCTCTGCGAAGTACGGAGAGCGGTATCGTGGATAAGGTGGTGGTGACGACCAGCAACGACGACTTGACGTTCGTAAAGGTGCGCATGAGGACGACCAAGATTCCCCAGATCGGAGACAAGTTCGCGTCTCGTCACGGACAGAAGGGTACCATCGGTATCACCTACCGACAGGAAGACATGCCGTTCACGCGGGAGGGTTTGAACCCCGACCTGATCATCAACCCTCACGCCATTCCGTCGCGTATGACCATTGCTCACTTGATCGAGTGTCAGCTCAGTAAGGTGTCGTCGCTGCGTGGGTTCGAGGGTGACGCCACGCCCTTCACCGACGTGACGGTCGACTCGATCTCGCGACTGCTCCGCGAGCACGGCTACCAGTCTCGCGGATTCGAAGTCATGTACAACGGGCACACGGGACGGAAGATGGTGGCGCAAGTGTTCCTGGGACCGACCTACTACCAACGACTGCGCCACATGGTCGACGACAAGATCCACGCACGTGCGCGAGGACCGACCCAGATCCTGACGCGGCAGCCGGTGGAGGGTCGTGCTCGTGACGGTGGACTGCGATTCGGAGAGATGGAGCGCGATTGTATGATAGCGCACGGAGCCAGCTCCTTCCTGAAGGAGCGGTTGTTCGACGTGTCCGACCCGTTCCGCGTTCACATCTGCGATGACTGCGGATTGATGACGCCGGTTGCGTAAGTTCTTCTTCGGTCGTGATTGGCGACTTCCCCTCCCTGGTGCATGAAGCTAACGAAATCTCACTCCTGCAGAAAACTGAAGAAGGGCCTCTTCGAGTGCCGACTGTGCAACAACAAGCACCGCATCTCGCAAGTGCATATTCCGTATGCAGCCAAGCTTTTGTTCCAAGAGCTGGCCTCGATGAACATTGCCGCTCGTATGTTTACCAACCGCTCTGGTGTGTCCGTGCGGTGAGGGGAAACGCCCGTGGTGATGCCCTTGATGTAATGTGCGCCCTAGCGCAGTTGTCTTCCTATTCCTGTTATATTTCCTTGCCTTATTGTCCGCGTGGGATTCCCGCGACCAAAAACAAATTGTTGTGGCATTTTTCCGGCGTATCGTGGACTGAGGGATGTTTTTATTTCATTTTTCTTTTCTTTCCTCTTGCGGCTTACATCGTATATTACTTTTTCACTCTTCTTTTTCTTTTCGTCCAGTCTACTTTTGCTGTTTTGGGAGGGAAGAACGGAGAGCGATTGTACCTGCTTGGCTTACCATTCCCTGTCTTGTCTTGATAGCAGTCAGTAACCCTAACTCACCTAGTATATCGAAATCAATTTAGATGATCGTTGTGTACCCAGGGAAAATAGAGGCGGGACAGCTCAAGGCAGTCCTTCCCCTCCTTTGAACTTAACTCCCCATTTGGCCTGCAGGACACCCTCTTGAGGACCATTCACTGCCCGTGACTGGATGGGAGGAGCTCGTCACAGCGCCTGGACTGTCACCCGGCCAATAATCCTCGTGGGTTACCCGCCGTGACGGGTGAGAAGGAGGGCCAGGAGGTAGTCTGATAGGACACGGCGGACCCACCGGCAGATGCATCCCGGAATAGCAGCGGAAACTCGATTGGTCCTCAGGCATCCTCAGGCCTCGCATACTTCGCGCGGTGACAGCCTCAGGCGCTCTTTAAAGATGCCGCAGCCGCCAACTGATTTCCTTTCCTCTCTTCTCTTCTTTTCTCTTCAGCAAGCTTGGTCTTGTCTTTTTGAGCTGCCCTTAATTTCGAAGTATCCTGTGCACTGGTTGCATTGGTTTTTTGTTCTGTTCGGTTCTGCATTATATACTATTAATCTTTTTGCTTCTTTTGCTTTCCCCCTTCCTATCAAAATATTTCAAAACCCTTTCTCATTTCAATTCTTCAGGCGAGCTGTGCTCTCTGAAGCCCCCATCCCCATATTTTTTACCTGCCAGGATACTTCTTAATTGTCCAATCCTAACGGTTCGTCTCTTGTCGCCGGTCGACTTGTGCCCGTTTCAGCTCAGACACTATCTTGCTCAACCTGCTACTTTAATCGCCAAGGCGCTCTTACCATCTTTCTAATTTGCATCGGTGTCGTGGACTGGATCCTGTTACCGCAGAGCCTCGTTGTGCTGCTATTGTTGGACCATCAGCCACCCAACAACCAACAACCTGAACTTGATCGATCAAAGGCTCTGGTAGTCTTGCTATCCAAGTTCATCACGACTTAAGATCTTCCTTGCTTCCTGAAGATCGTGCTCTCATCCTCTTCGACGCCATCTATTCATTCACTTCATATAATCTAATTTCTAGTATAACCTGGTCAATCTCTGCAACATGTCTGCCGTTCAACTCAAGTTCTCTCTTCGGACCTCCTCCAACTGCAAGACCGTCCATCTGCTTGGCTCTTGGGATAACTACTCCCGCCAGATCCCTCTTTCTCGGGATGACTCCAAGCCAGGTGCGTGGATCGGCAAGTTTCGCTTCCAGACGTCGATGCTGAAGCTGGGCGGTCGCTACTGGTACTACGTAAGTGTTTATCTTTTTGCCTTGTTCAGACAGTTCAGACAGTTCAAATACTAATATCTGTACAGTACATCATGGATGGGTACCACGTCTCTCATGACCCCGCCGTCGACTACACCGTCGAGCCCACCACTGGCCGTAAACTCAACATCCTCGACGTCCCCGGCGGCAGCAGCAAGAAATCCTCCACTCCCGCGTCAGCTCCCAAGACCCGACGCACGTCCGGCGACGTTCCCACCGGCCGGGCCCTGTCCCCATCCAAGATCCAGCACCCCAAGCCGTCCAAGCCGTACGCGTCGCGCCAGATCCGCGAGTCGGACTTCGCGCCTACCATGCAAGACCTCACCGAGCGGTTCGCCGACTCCCGTCTGTCCGACGAGTACTCGTACTCGAACAGCCCGCCCAGCTCCGTCGGCTCGTCCCTGTCGTCCCGCTCCTCGCGGTCGTCCGGCAGCACCTCGCCCTCGTCACTCTCGTCCATGAGCGACCCACCCACGCCCATCTGCCGCTGCGAACGCTACGGCATCACCCGCAAGGGCGACCGCGTCAAGCTCGACTGCGGTGGTAGTCGATGCGGCTACGTCACCGAGTCGTCGGAGGCTAGCTGTTCCGAGTCTGACAGCGACGAGGAGTACCGTCGAGCTCGCAGCGCTGTCCGTCGTCAGGGCATCGTTGTTCGTCGGTAGATTTCTGTCAGGACGGCGGGGTTGAGCCTCGTCGTATCTTCTTCTTTCTTGCATTGCATTATAATCTCGGTGATTAGGACTGCGTCAAGCTGTCCTGTCCGAACCGTATCCCTGCCTACTGGCACTGGCAGCAGTTGCGCCGATAGCACTCACGCTAAGTCACTCATTTCGGGGTAATCCCCGCCTATCTGCATGAACTTGATTCAAGCACAATATACAAAACACAAAAGCACAAAAAAAGGGAATCAAACCGGACCGTGTAGCCCGAAGCTACGAAGGGGGCCGGACTCGCTTCGTAGGGCCACGCCGTGTTAAGAGGAGGACAGAATTGCAGATTCACTCTGCAAGGTGAAGAGGGAAGAAAGAAAGGGGGAAAGACAATGGCCACTCTAGTTTCCCTGTCGACTGAAAAACAATGATGGGATCTAGCCAGGTGGAATGAAGTGATGATGATGATGACGGATTGATGTTGAATCTGGAACAGCTGTCTGGCCTTTCGTCAGTGTACCGAGAAGATGGAAGGGTCTGTAAATACGCTCGTTCTGGAATGAAGCGATGATTTATTGTATGGACTTTTTGCAATATTAACTCAGTACAGTTGGAGTAACTTAGAATGAATAGTCGGTGATGTTGATTTCTACGTGTATAGTTGGCTCGGCATCTCCAAGTATTACCAACAAATCGATCTCGGATATCCCGAAGCGGACACCCGAGCCGAACATAAATATACATCCTAGCTCATCTCATCCTCCACTCCACTTTACCTCACAACCAACTACCTTATTCAACCCAGGCCAAACCAAACCATTTCAATCCAACCCAATCCGCACCGAAAAAGAAAGAAACAGAGAAAATGCCCCCCAAACCACTAACAACCATCTACAAAGAAATCCACGGCACAAAAATCACCACGGATATCTATCTCCCTGAAAATGCCCCTCGTCGGGAGAAGTATCCTGTTTGTATGTTTCCTCCCTTCATAGCCTACCCTATATCAGACCCTACCCTACCCTACCCTACATCTATATCCACACCAACCCTTATCTTGAACACCTGAGCCCCCAAAATAACCTCATGAAAGAATAACCCCAACCCTCTCAACCCCACAAGCGTAGAATGCTGATAAGTGAGAAAAGTAATAACAATCCACGGCGGCGCCTTCATGCTCGGCCACTCGAGTTTGATCTCCCTCGCGCAAGTAGACGAGTGTCTCGCGCGCGGATGGATCGTGGTCGCCCCGAACCATCGGCTCTGTCCGCAGGTGAGTATCGCGGAGGGGCCGGTTCGGGATTGTAGGGATTTGTTGGAGTGGGTTTATTCGGATGGAATTAGGGGAGGGGGGTTGGATGGCTTTCTTGCTGAGGTATCATCACCATCTGATACTGGGCATGTGGCTGGGGGTGGGCAAGGGGCAGGAGAAGAGCAGTGTAAGAGAGTCTGGCAAGTCGACAAGGAGAAGGTCATGGCGATGGGGACGTCAAGTGGTGGGTTTTTGGCATTGGCGTTGGTATGTATATCCTCCCTCCCCTCCTCTATCTCAATCTCATCTCCATCCCATACCTATTCCATATATGATACTAACCAAGGAAAAAGGGATATGACACCCCCCGTCCACCCGCCGCCATCCTCAATTTCTACGGCGCCGTCCACTTCACCCATCCCTTCTGGAGCCAGCCACTGCCTCACGTCCAGAAGAACCTACCACCATTAGACCCAGATTTTATTCGCCAGGTATATGACGAAGTGCCGGTCCCTATTCGCAGTGGGATTTCATTAGAAGGACAGTCCCAGAACCAGTCCCAAGGGCAGAGACAGAATTCAGGTCCGAATCTCAACTCCCCTCGCGATCTATTCGCACTTACGCAAATCGCCAACGGCACCGTCATTTCTACATGTCTTCCCTCCTCCACCACTTCCTCTACCTCGACCGCTTCCTCCCCATCGGCTTCAGAAGAGAAAATCCGCAAAATCGACCCCATCCACCGCATCCACCCCACCTACCCACCTACCTGTATAATCCACGGCACAGCAGACCGAATGGTACCTAATTTCCTCAGCCGAGAACTACTATCCCGATTACAGGAACACGGAGTCAGATGCGAGATGGTGGATGTCGAGGGGGAGGACCATACGTTTGCGATGGGGATGGTAGTGGGTGGGAGGACGTGGGAGGTGCAGAGGAGGGGGTTTGACTTTTTGGAGGAGGTTATCTCTACTAGATAGGAGGAGGGGATATGGTATTATGCAATCAGGATCAGAATCTGAATGAATTCAATATTTGGGGGAAGCGGTGATTGTGAGGGTGGGTTTGTTTGAGTATTTATGTTTTGGACTAGGACTGTTAATATAAAAACGGACCCTCATTGTTTTAACCATTTAGATATTGTCGCGAATAAGATACCGTTAGGGACTACTATACAGTGCCGCAGAAACGGCATTTACTGGCCAAATCATCTCATGCATGAGGGCACACAATATGGTTGTTTAGCTAATTTCGCACCGCTAACGGGTCCGTGACATCGTCGGGGTTTAAATTTAATAGTATATTTATTATAGAAAGTGAAATGTATCTACTAATGGAATCACTGCGATCGACTGGAGTATGGACAGTACATACGGAGTACTTCCTATCCTGTCATTCGCGACGAGGATGAGAATTCTCCATGCTATACAGGGTTACGGCTCCTGCCTGGAGTCCCGGCTAGGAATCATCTTGTAAGATACGGACTAGACTCTGACTCACATATCCACCCATCATCACATATTCTATTATCTCGTATTACAGAGGACGTCTCCGTAAGAGATCCGACAATACATTTCTATTTCTCCCTTTTACGCAGAAGAACTAATTGCTATCCGCTCCGCCTATTAATATACGTTGCTGGATCGCCACTGGTGATTATTAAGCTTTCCTGTCTAGTTAGTAGTTAGTTATATAGAAGGGATTCATTTCAATTATAATATAAACATCTCTTATAAGAAGCACTCTAAACTCTCTGATACTATTACGAACTATTCAAGCCTCGACGCGGTCCCCATAAAACCAAGGCCGTAAGCCGAACAGAACTACACTATCCCTCTAGTGCTGCGCGTCTGGGGGAAAAAAAAGGTTACATTCTGGCATGAACCTGGATAGACGCACGATACCGGAAACGAACCCCGGGATAGATGATCAGACAAACCGATATGCACAGACAAGTCCGGATCTCACGGCAGTGCCAAAGGGGGGGAGGGGGCTAAGGAGTAGGACCTGCAGGGTACCGCGAGAAGGTAACTGGGTTACGTGCGCTGCGAGCACGATGATAGGCTATAACTAATCAGATTTAATATCATTAATAAACACACACACACACACACACACACACACACACACACACCCGAGTAACATCGTGCGTGATAGTGCCAATAGCCGCAAGCCACCCTGCGCCAAAGGCTACGTCAAAGATGCTTGACTCATAGGTTTTGGTCTTCTCGCCTCAAAGGATTCTTTTTTTCTGAGGTAAGTGGAGATTTGTACGAGCCTACGGAGTAACTACAGAGTACTCACTACTGCTACTGTAAAGATCTAACTCCACTTTTGGGGCTGCCACGTCCGATTTATTGTCAAAACAGATATGGATGGTGAGAGGGGACTGGGGAGGCTTAGAATGTATTAAGATTCAAGTCATCGGGAAGTGGGGCCGCTTTCAGCCTTTCCTACAGAGTACAAGTACGTATCATCTTTAACCAGTGATCTTCTGGTTTACATCAATGACCCCTGTATATACTACTGTTATTGAATGTAACGTCAATTACGGAGTACAGAACTCCGCGGTAGGATATACCTTAGTGCATTGAAAACATTAGACAAAGAACTTGCTCAATCCAGGGAAAGAAGAGGTTCACATGCTACGACGTATACCGGTCTGCCGACAGATTCAGCATGATTTCTTATTTATGTCTCTCTTAAGAACCTCTATCTGTCAGCGGCCTCATTACTTCGCTAATTACAACTTGACCATCCGAGACTGAGTCATTATGTCAAACTCGCCGATATCGCAGAGACATATCGAGCAAAAAACTCCAGAACAAGAGCCCCTAGCCCTAGATGAGAATCTTCCGGATGAAGAGAAGCGACGAATTCATGGAATTCGAGTAAGTGCGTTAGATTGATATTGAGATATACTAACAGCTGTAGTGGTTTCTTTTGGTTACTAGCACGTTGACAGGCAATTTCATCTATGCTCTGGATAATACCATCGTCGCTGATATTGCACCGGTTTTTTACTTCTCAATTGCCGCAAGAAGGAACCTCTGACCTTAAACGTAAAAGGCTATCGTTAACCATTTCGATGCGGTCGAGAACTTGCCGTGGTTATCAGTTGGGTGAGTTTTGAATACGAAAAGGCTTTCTTGATGAGTACTAAAAATACCCCGGGGTGATAGGTTTATGATTGGTGGAGTGGCAATGGTTCTTATTTACGGCAAGCTATACGCGCTATTCGACTCGAAATGGCTGTATATCACATCCACGGTTATCTTTATGGCCGCTTCTGCACTCTGCGGCGCCGCTCCTACCATCAACGCTGAGATCGTTGGGCGCGTGTTCGCAGGTGCAGGTGGAAATGGAATGTACTTTGGCATTCTAGACCTTCTATCAACGAATACGACCAGCCGTGAGCGTCCGCAATACTTGAGCTTGACGTGAGTCCGCTCGCTCCGTGAATTCAAACGCCAGACTTGTTGACAAAGGACAACAGAGGCCTAGTCTGGGGTTTAGGAACCGTCCTGGGTCCCGTCGTTGGGGGTGGCTTTGAAAAGTATACTTGGCGCTGGGCATTCTACATTAATCTACTCTTCGGCGCCATCCTTATACCGACCTATGTTTTCGTGATTCCGTCTAAAGATCCAGCACCGGGAGTATCCTACCGACAAAAGCTTGCCAGTTTTGATTGGGTTGGCAGCATACTGAACGTTGCTGCATTTGCGACCCTAGTGATGGCGATTAATTTTGGCGGAACTCTCTATGCGTGGAATAGTGGCCAGATTATTGCGTTGTTCATAGTGTCCGGCACGCTTTGGGTCTTATTTGGCATCCAGCAAGCTTTGACTATTGCTACCTCCTTGCAGGGTCGGCTACTGCCCATGTATCTTTTCAGGCAGAAGGAACCGACCCTACTATTCTGTGCTTGCGCTGCAGTAGGAATGGTGACATATCCAACTGTGTACTACATACCCATCTACTTCCAGTTCACTCGGGGCGATGATGCAATCCAATCTGCGGTCCGGTTGCTTCCCTTTATTTTTCTATTGATTGTGGCCATTCAGTCCGGTGGCGCCTTGATGTCTCGCTTTGGTTATTATAAGCCATGGTATTTACTCGGCAGCACAGTAGCCCTGGTCCCAGCAATTCTGCTAGGTGAGGAGATAACTGTCTTTCATGTCTCTGAGAATTCACAGCTAATCAAAGCATAGCTACTATTATCCAAGTCCACACAAGACCGGCCATTCTCTACGGACTTGAAATTGTGATCGGACTAGGCGCCGGTTCATACACTCAGGCAGCCTTTGCTGTGATCCAGGCCGTCGTGGCCCCCTCTGAAGCGGCCGATGGTCTTACTCTGATGCTGCTCGGTTCGTCCTCCAGGGCTTTTGTTGGAGATTCTCTTACATGCTTACAATAACCCAGCTCAACTCACCGGAATGACCCTTGGACTCTCCATCACCGGTGCCGTTTTCGTCAATGTCGCCCAAAATGGTCTTTTCAAGTTACTTCCCCATCTACCCCGGGAGCAGGTTTCTCAAGTTGTCTCAGGAACCAGCAGTGCGCTGCTCAAAAAACTCCCAGATCCTGTTCGAGAACAGGCGCTGGATGTAATCGTGCACGCTTGGCGATATCTGTAAGCGGGGGTTCTCTCGCTCGTCATTTCCCTTATTCCTTGTGGTATATATATATAAACTAATATCATCCTTAAAGTTTCGCTTGTGTGACTTTCGGGGCTGGAGCCAGCCTGCTCTCCGCGGTCTTCATGGCAGTGAGTTTTCTTTTCCCATGCAATCCGCGAGCCAGCAGACCTGGAGTATATACGCAAAACTAACTGTTTATAGAACAAACGTGCCAACATGGTAGCTGCTGCAGGCGGGGCTTGATTTTTAGTTCTGGTTTTCACACCTTGTGTACCGCATGATATGTCTTGCAAGGTGCATTAACAAGATGAGGTAGCGCAAGAGTTGCGCTAACGAACTCTAGCTTTAGCGAAACTAATAACTCGACAGTAACTAAATATCAAGATGATTCCATGGAAGGCAGGATATATTAGTGGAGTGGATTAGAGTAGTAGCCTAGGTAATCTCGATTGGTCTATCACGCAATTTGATGGCAGTGTCGGATTGGATATCCAGACCATCAAGCGTAGTCTTTCAATCGCTGCCGTATCTCGTAAAAAGTGTGGTAAGGTAGAAGCGAACATATCGAGCGGAACATTGAACTTTTCCAATGGTCCTTCTACCAGAGCTGACACATGGACATCATTGAAGTTATATATGCTCCTTAAGGTATCCTCAAGTCATTCTGGCAAAAGCAGAAGGAACATCGTTGTATATTACCGTGCCTCATTTTTTATACCTGTACAATCACGCCGCTTTATCATTTATCTGGGATAATTTTTGATCTGTATGCGAGTGGTGTAGGCATGCGAATATGTCGTTAGCTTATTTATTTCCTAGGCTCCTAGATATATACCATACCTCCAGCAGCAGCAGCAACTGAATGCGAAAGTACAGAATTAGTACTCTTGTAAGCGCTGACGCTGACTAACCTATTTCGCATGACTTTTAGAAGAGGAAATGCTCAGTTATGCTACTGTAGATATTCCGATATGTATAGGTACAGTACATACATGCATGAAGACTGTTGTTATGTCGACTGATTCAGTATGCATGCAAATGTTATGTATACAGTACATACTATGTATGCGCAAGCAAGGAATAGAACACCGATTAATCAGTATGCATCTGATTTGTACCCTGTACATACATGTGCATGCATATAAATAGTCCACCTTCCAGTAAAGACAGTCCTCACATGCAGCAGACCGACTAGCAGTCACGCATGCATGAACAAAAAGAACATGCAAAGAAGTAGCCAGACTTCGACACAAACTCCGTTCCATGCAAGTCGGATGATTACCACCTCTCCTCTCTTGCTCTCTCACCCACAGCATCTCCACACAACTCCTCCACATTAGCTGTAACCTATAACCTGTAACTAAGATGCCCGGGTATATTGCAGTGCATGTTGCTGCCTTGGTCGCATGCGTTGCTCGTGTCTCGTGAACTGGCGTACAATCCCAATCCTGCTTGGCTAGCCAGGCATGTAGATCCGGGCATGAATATAGGCGAAAGAGATGGTTGTAGAAAGTTGAATGAGCTCTCCTGTAGCTGACCAAGATATCGTGTCGACATCAATTTCGGGGTTGGAACCGGCCAAACGCTTCCAGACAGTAAACGACCATTAAAGACCGGTGGTCGACTGACAAACGCTCGATGTCGATTTTGCTCGACTAGGATTGAAGACGAAATGAAGACGAAATGAAGTCGGATCGAAACGAATTGAAGATGAATTCGGAGATATTCACGCATCGTCGAACACAACGATCAATATCCCTTAGCGCTGGAATACCCCGAATCCGGCCAAGTCGTCCCCTTTGGTGCAGACTCAGCCCGTCTAACAGTATGCTTGTCGCAGGTATACCCCACGAGAACCGTCTTCTCCTGCACCACATGGCCTCGTTGACCATATGCCTCACACGGATCAACCGCATGTTGAAAGTAAAGACAGCCGCAGACTGAAAATCGTTCCACCAATTTATAGCACATGGTGAGAATGTTCAAGGTGGTATTATATATGGCGGGGTAACTGCGTAAGGACAATCGATGTCCAGCGGAGAGAACAAGAAAAGACGATTAAAGAAAGGAAAGTCTAAACGAACGCAGAAGAGGAAGTGGGGACTGCTAAACAGTAAACACATGAAAGATCGGATGGAATCATTTATAAAGATCGATTATCAGGCGACCCAGGCGACAGACCATGCTGAACTCACAGACAGTTCCAATTGATAAAGAACGACAGAGATATGTGGTAGCGTTAAGTTACATGTCTCTGTCTCTTGGATTCGGCCTGAAAATAGTGTGACTCCGAGAAAACAAGGCATCCATCGAATTCAACGGGTGGTGTCGTGCTTTTGCCCGGGGAAGAGAACGGTGTACGGTGTATCAACGGGATAGGGATAGGGCAGGGTCAGGAAAAGACATGCTAAGAAAGACGAAAGAAAATTTGGATTAAAAATTAAAATTAAATAAAGAAAAGAAAATGCCCAGTCTGTCGGGCAAGATTAGCACCATACCATATTGGTTTTCTTCCAATCCCGTAGGGCGAACACGACCAACACCAATATTTAGTCGATCAGTGGGGTTTAGTCGGGCTGAAGGAGTCACTACGATTGAGTAGTGCAGGAATAGGATTGATCGATTTGACACCGACGGATGCCCTCAATTGCAGTCTAACAGCTGGATCAACTTCAGCGATGACTGACGGTGACACGGGAGCCTGCCTGAGAAGAGCTAAGAATATCTCATAGACTCATTCATTTCTCTGTCATTGACGCCGTTGACGGTGGCTTGCAGGGGTCGGCAGTTTTCAGCTGGGGTGGTCCGGGATACCAGAAAGAGATACTGGTTTGAGCCATAGGGCCGAGCATGCATGGGACGGTTATGATTCCGAGCGAATCATCGACTGTGCAAGACGCAAGCCCGCAGCCCACAGTCGAGTCGACCGAGAAGCAAGAGTCTGAAAGCGAGAGAAAGAGAAAGAGGGACGACAGGGCACAAGCACAAGGCTGACCGAGTGGAGCATCAGGTGCCCCGCCATCCCAATCCAGTCTAGTGCAGTCACTGGATCCCACCTGACTCATCCCATGATGTCACCAATCACCGCCGTCCCTCCGTCAGGCAACCATTTATCCTTCCAGTCCCTCCGTCTGCACCTTTTCCACAACCGACAAGTCGTGCGCGGTCGACGGTGAAGGACGGTACGAGCCGTTGTTCTGGCTGACCTCGAGGGATCTTGATTTGCTGGCTGCTGCCCACTTTCCAAGGATGGACCGACCGAGCTTTTCTCAAAATAGCACGGCCGACTACCCTGCGGGACTAGGAGTAGGAGGACAACGATTCAACGGACATCCTCATTGCCCTGGACCCACGTGGGAGATGGAACTGGGCCTTGGGGCCACTGGAAAGTTTGATGGTGACAATCGAAATGAATTGTGCTTTAGCTCGTTTTGGTTCCCTGTTTCATGCTGTGGACTACACCGTGTACAGAGTACGGACTCTGAAAGTCTTTCGCACAGAAGATGCGCATCTGCTCGACAAATCCTATGAGTATGTAATTGGGATCAGTGCAAGGCTGAAGTCCGATATCTTGCCATCCTGTCAATTCAGTTCTGTGAGCCAAATTGTGTGGACCTGTATACCTCCCAGATATTTCCAGTAGGAGCAATTGCGCCCTGAACTGGGGACTGTGGACGGCCCGCTGCTGCGCCAAGACTTCAATTCAAAGAAACGAATTCTGGACCGATTCATCCGACAGAGGGGTCTGCGTCTACACTCGCTTGGGATAGGCAACGCTCTAATGCTCTCGAACCGAAATGGCAGCCGCTCTTGACGCCCGAAATCCTTCGATAACTACTCTGTCGTGCTCCATCCTGCTTACGGGCTGAAGCTTATGACGGTATGACCGCCGCTGCAGACATCCTTGAATGTGAATTAAGTTTATGCGCTCCTATCTCAGAGCTTTAACGACAGATGAAAACAGAATTTTCGATCATACATAACATACAATGCTAATGCAGACTTTTGCGCCTTCCTATCAAACAGACCCGAGAGCTCCCGCACTCAATCCCCGCGCTAATCCCAACCGTAGCTTAAGAAGTACATCCTCTCCTTTCACGTCCTCGGGTAAAGAGGCACGCCAGTCCCAACCTCGCTCGGGGGAACCAGCTCCATCTCCAGGGCGAGCGATCAACACGCCGGAGCTGGCGCCGGAGCCGGACATCGACCGATTCCGGGCAGTTCCAACCATGTCGGTTCCGAGGAACGAGAAGGTGCTTGGGGGTGCGAGCGAAGTCACGGACTTTTTCAGAAGTTCGCGCGAAGGAGGCAGAACGAAAGCCTCCGCTGGTGACTGGTCGCCAGAGTTCTGCGACTGGTACTGCAGCAGCGTGGCGCGGAAGCATTCTGCGCACTGTCGATAGACACGTGGTGTGACGGTTTCAAGATCCTCGATTGCAGACAGAATGGCGAATTGCTGGTCTACGGTAAACATAGGGGTGGGTTCTACTCTGGTTAATCCATGTCACATGGTAAAGCTGGGTAGAGCATAACTTACGATCGATAAAGGCAAGGGCTTCGCCCAAAAGCACCAACAGCCCATCCACCTGAATCGCGGAGTCACGTTCGGGATCGAAAAGTCCGCCGTAGATACTGTCCGCAGCACTGCTGATGACCGCAACCAAGGCCTTTGCCGCGGCTCGCCGTCTTGCAAGAGGCTTGAATCGCGGCGGTCCTTCGGTGAGACCAATGGCTTCGTCGCGAGTTTCGTAGAATCGTCGGAGGGTCGCGTATCCACTGAAGTAGAACTGGATGATATTGGCAGCCTCTTCGTCGATGGACGCAATAGAAGAAAGGCAGGTCTTGGGCTCTTTCACCAGGGTAGCAAGTTGCGTGTCCAGGTTAGCGGTCGCGGGATATGCGCGCGATTGCACCAGACTGTATGAAATGAGAAGATCCACAACAGACTTGACCTTGTGTCGGTTATGGGCACGAGCGTAGCACATCAAGGCAAGACCGTATTCCTCGCCCTCGTCGACCGTAAGATCTCCGTAACGCTGCAGAAGTATTTCTTATTAGCGAAGACTCGGTAAAGGTTGGCGACGAACATACCTCAGAAACCCTGCGTCCCTCCTGATGCAAGCCCAACTCGGAGCACAGCAACACCACCCGGTCCATTTCAACGGCGTCGTTGAGAGGAAGCGTGTCGACCATTTCTGACACCTTCTTTTGCATCTTGTCCTTATCGTCCAAACGGCTCATGACCTCCAGCGCGAGTTCCCAGCCAGTACGAGAACCGGACTCGTTCTCAATACGAGGCCGCTCAAACAGACCCGACGCATAATCACTCAGTAGATCGTCCTTGTTCACATTGCGCGACGATGCACTGTCGTCTTGTCCATATGACAGAACCATCAAGTCGTTCTCGCTGAGACCTGATAGCGGCTTCTTGCCCGTTGCCGTGTCCAACCAGCCGCCGGCGGCCGCGACCTCGCCCACAGCAGACGCGATGCAGAGTGACCAGGTCTGGAGCAGCTCGATCACACCACCGACGTCTCCTTCGAAGACAGAAGCCAGACCCACCTCCAGACTGCTCAGGGAGTTGATGCGGAAGCCGGCATTGTCCTTCTCCTGGTTGGTTGCGCTACTCAAAGCCAATTCCAAGCGGCGAAGGTAGGTGCCCGGGGGGTTATTGCCGACGGGAGTCTGGGTCTTCGCCAGCTGAGGACGCAGGAACTGGTTTGAGCTGATCCCAGTTTGTTGCACAGGAGCGTCTTCATCGTCCTCGCCATCCCACCAGACTGTCAAAGCGACAGTGGCCTCAATCCAATCCTGCGAGTGACGCATGATAGCCCCAGTATCGCCAAGCAGAATGCGGTACAGCGATCTGAGGGCCTGATAGATGGCCCAGGGAACTCGGCTTTCCGCCATCCGCGAGGACTGGGTGAACGAGAAGTTCTGCGTGTTGGGGCTCGGCTTCAGCCCGAAATTGGCTGCCTGGAACCGATTGCCCAGAACCGGAGGTTCAGGTTCCGGCTGCTCATTCCCTTCAGCGAATTCCTCCAGATCAGCAACCGCCGCAACCACACGCTTCCTATACAGACCCCACTCCGCGCCACGGACATCCCAGTCATCACGAATACTCGGGCACGAGGTCAGAACCTGAAGAGCGCGATTGATGCACTTCTGAATGTTCTGCAGCTGAGCGCCCTTGTAGCCGGGCTGCGGCAGGCCATCCTCCAACGCAGACCGGGCGTAGTTGAAATCAGCGGATCGCAAGACCTCGGCCGCCTGTGAGAGATGTCCACGTAGAACGGCGGCGTTTATATTCTCCCAGAAATTTGGCGATGACGTAGGGTTGGGTTCAACCTCCTTCAGCGTGCGCAGATCGGTTGTTTGCTGGGCGTGGTTGAGATTGAGCCAGTCTAGGAGGACCTTGGGCATGGGTGTGAGAAAGTCTGACCGGAAGCCAGCGGGCACAAGGGTGCGCGGAGCCGGGAAGCCCAGAGGGCCGGCGAATCCCCCGGTCCTCGCGTGAACCAAAGGACGGTGATGCAACTGAATCAACAGCGATCCTAAGAAGCCTGCCTTGGCGGCATTGGAGGCACGGTCGCCCGGACCGATACCCAATCCTTGTGGGTTATTCCATCCTGCGTGCGTCTTCCATATATCGACAAGCCGAGTGCACGTATCCGAAAAGGTGGCGTTGACTTCCGACTCCCGAAATCCGGCCTGTTTCGCAGCGTCATACATGTTGCAGATTTCGTCTTCCGTTTCGATGATGAGACTGCTGGACTCCTCAACTGATGTGACGCGCGCGCGGGACGCGAAATTGCGCACAATCGACGGCATCGCGGAGTCCTTCTTAGGCGATAGCTTCGTTTTGCGCAGCGGAGACTGTGTCGCCCATTTGTCGTCAAGCTTCGCGCGCTTGGCATTGTCTGGATTGGAGTATAGTGGCTTTCGTTGCTCGGCTGGTTTCGACGGCGGCGGAAACACGGGCTTGTCAAATTGGGAGTCCAGGAAGCTGAAGGGGTTGTTTGCTTTCGGTGCTTGTCCTATTCCCTTGTTCTTGTCGATTCTCTCTTCCTCGCTTTCGTCCTCGGGAAGCATGTCCTCGGCATCAGAGCCAGGGCCTTGGTCCATTTGTGACGAACCAAACTCATTGGATGCCCTCGAGTTGAACGATTCACCGAAGCGACTGCTCCCCACACTGAAGACCGAGGATGCGGCGAAAGATCTGGTAGCCGGCGCTTCTTTTCTCCCCCGCGACACCGGATAATCGTTGGAGGCGATCGAGGACCCAAAGATGCTATCGTTTGGATTTATGTTGCCCGACTTCGTGAACAGGGCCTGGGGGGAGTCAAACTGCGATCGAGAGCTCATCTGGGAGCTTCCGTAAACGGTGGATGGTGGCGGGCCTTGAGGAGTGAAGGAGTTGGCTTCGGACGGCGGAGCACCTCCGGGAGTCATGGAGACATTGCTGAGAAAGCTGCGGCCTTTCCCGGGGGTCGACGGGGGGCTTGAATCGTAGGGGACCTTGAAGGACATGCTGTGTGTTGAGCGATCAACGAGGTAGCGGTGCAGGGAGGCGGAGGATAAACAAAATAATTCTAGAACGGCAGTGAGAGTATCGGAATCTTCAGGATAAGCGGTCCACCCCAAGCTCGAGCTAGAGAGGTTTGGAAGAAGGCAGGCGCACAATTGCCCAGGAAGTTAATAGAGAGTTAATGCAAGGCAGACCAGGGAGTGAATGGCGGTCTTCAATGGCCAGCAGCCGTCACCATCAACGGTCAAAACTCGCCGACTTCTTCTCTCGTTGCCGATCAACGCGCGCCGGTCTTGATTCTTGGCACGGTGCGCCGTCAGGTGATGTCATGTGATCTATATCACGTGTATCATGGACTCTCAGTCACGTGTCTACCCTGCCCCTTTTGGAATATCGTATTCGGCAGCCAAGCCACCCGGTGATCGGCCTTAACTGGCCCAAGGCTGATTCTCCCAGCCCACCATGACTGACGGGTTGGGCAAAACTAGCCAAGAACACCGCCGCGCCCGAGATGTCCTCGTATATTCTGCATTGTGATCCGTGGTGCGATCGACGCTAAGCCTTGTGATTATCTCGTATTAACTTTCAGTGTGGTCTATCATTACGCCTTCCTTGTTTTCATGGAAGATATAAGATGACTGGATCCTCCTCCCAAGTAGCTTACGACTGTGAGATCGTCACTTTCTACTATCACTCATGTTGACACAATGAATCCATTCAAAGATTCGTTCACCGCAGAGGGCGCGCGTGGTGTTCCTGTACATCCCTCAAGTCCCCCTGCCTCATCTTATGATGCTATGCCTACAGCGGACTCTGGGTCTCGCATATACAACATCTACCATACTGTACTACATCACCACTACGACGTCACCCTAGCCGACAAAACACCACTATACCATGTGGAAAACTCGCTGATCCGACCCAAAAAGCCCGATCTCACGGTCCACGCTGGCAACGAGACCGGCCCCGTGGTGGCCGTGTGCAAATTCCTTCACTTCTCGCGACATCTGAAAATCGGACTGGGCGATCCTCAGAACGTCAGCGACGTGCAGTGGGAGGACCTCGTGTGCCAGAACTACCAGCTCACCAAATACCGCTGGCAAATGACGACGAGATCCCCCTATGAAGAAGTGATCAAGCGGTCGTTTGTCTGGAAGCGCACTCATAACGTCGGGGTCGAGGATAGTAAACCCTCGATACTGAGTTCGCGCAATTTCAAGCTGGTGAACGAACAGACGGGGCGCATTGTCGCTGTGTTCACCAGTAACAACCTCAAGAGCTTCACCAAGTGTGGGAAACTTCAGATCTCGGCGGACTACGGGCGCGAATTCGAGTTGATGGTCATTCTTACCGTGCTTGCTCTGTATGAGAAACAAAGGCGTCGCAATAATAGCGGCAATGGAGGTGGTGGTGGTGGAGGCGGCGGTGGTTGAAGGTGAAAAGCAATCGATGACAATTTTTGTTTCTGATGATTTGGACTTTTGCAATGTTTAGATACCTTTTGCTTTTACTGGACTGTACAATATCATGATGAATATCTACTACTGTTCTATTATAAGTGGTTGCAGCTGACCTGACCTCTTGAAAGTATAAGCGGAAGACTAAGTAACATATTCCATAAGCGAGCGGCGCACCTCCCAAACTCATATCAGACGATAAGTGTTACAGACCCGAAGCTTCGGACTGGGAGGGTAAGAATCTCGGCGCAGTCGTCGATAATGGGTGTTATAACCGTCGATCTCTCTACTAAACCAGGTGGACCTATCAAGTACGAGAGGTCTTCTAACAGTTCTACATTACTCAAGACCTGGACGAGAAAAATAATGTATCCGCTACTACGGAGTACTATTATTATTATCCCGCAAGGAGCTAACACTAGTCGAATCCTATCCTACTACGGAGTATATTGATCCTACTCTGAAGTGTCATCCTAGCGTCTGGCTATATTAACCTTAAGCGGCCTCCCATGGCAGCTAACAGGATTAATCTTAGTTTTCATCATGTGGTAGTTATAATATTTGATACAACTTACTCATAGCCATTCAGGCCATTAATGGCAGCTTCCGCTTCTTGCGGGGTGCTCATCGTGACAAAGCCAAACCCCCGACTTCGATCCGTATCTCTGTCCTTTTCGATGACCTTGTTGTAATTAACGTGGTTTACCGTGTCAGTTTACCGTGTCAGGTAGAGAGAAGGTAAATAACATACAGATTTAGTAACGTGGCCATAGTCACTGAAGGCATGATCGAGGTCCTCAGCGGTTGTGTCGAAAGTAAGGTTCCTGTGTTGATCAGAATACGGAGCGGGGAGCAGCTTGTGGTAGGGAGCTTACCCAGCATAGACTTTGCTTCCCATGGCGTGTGATAAGCGTTTGGAATAGAGATTAATGGCTGTTACAAAGGCGTGGGTGGATAAGTATAATTTTTTATGTAAAATTATAAGAAACAGTGAGCGCTGGGAAGAATGTCTTGAGCTTTTAAATCTATCGCCCCATTAATGCCTCTCAGACAAGGAATCATGTGGTAAACCGCATGCGTCTTTGCTAACGTCATGACTTTGCCCTCGATGTCATAGATGACGGATTCCCTTGGTTGGGAATTATAATTTAACAGGCAAAGAATACCTTTATTGAGTATCGAGGGGACATTCGCATTGTATGGTAGAGGGTTTTTCCAATATACTCGACGTCATCATGGATGCTTGCGGGCGAAAAGTAATAGTGCCATCTAGCTTGGTACCATCTGAAATTGGCCAGGAGATTTTTATCAACTCGGACGGCTTCGCTGCTTGTTTATAATTATTAGGCCGTTAACCTTCCAGACAATCTAAATCGATACGCTGGTATTGAGATGGAAACATTAAGCACTCCAATGCGATATTTTGAGCACCAGGTGATGTCATGACGGAGCTACAACTGAAACAATTGCATACCGCCGTAGTCCATTTCAATTCACGACTGCATTGCTGTGATATGAGTCGGAACAATGCAATACTTAAGATGCCCGTGACGCTGACGTCCCAGGACCTTTTTGCTTCTCTAACTCAGTACTTTCATTCGTCGCCGATACTTGCACGTTTTTCATGGTCCGATAGGGAGAACTGAAACTAGTCCTTGTTGTACAATATAAAGGGTAAGAGCGGTTCTTAGCGGAGAAAGGATGTACGGCAATATATGCTGTAAGGGCCCAGTCCCATACTTGCGTTTTTGGTGTTAAGTTTAGTATACCAAACAAGCAAGGCGGGTGGGTGGTTATTCCTTCTATCACGGCGAGCATTCCCGCGGCTTTGGCTACTGTCGCTGAGGAGGAGCTTGTTAACCGGACAGCCCATTTTTTATTTAAAAAGGCGATATTCACTCGATAGAAGCTAAACTACCTCGAAAAAGCGGTAGGAATCGGTCAAGCAAAGAATGTATTAAAAATGCTGTATATTTTACTATATTCTCTCGATCAAAGATGATAACATTAAAATATAAGAATTGTATAAACATATAAATAGATAAATAATGATTTAATGAGCGATTTAATGAGCGATTCGGCGAGACAGATAGCTAAACAACCTAATATTGAATAGAAAATAGAATGTAATTATTTTTTATTGCATTTTTGAGCGATTTATAGTGAGCAAGGCAGGAAGATGGTGATGGGCGAAACAAGTAAATGATAATGAGCGAAATAAATAGATAGGCGGTAGATAGGCAGACTAATCTTAATTAGGCAATCGATTTTATCGATTTTTATTGCATTTTTCGAGCGATTTAGCGAGGTAGACACCTAAGGGGATCCTTACCACCTATCTAGGGGGGTCTTTACCATAAGGGCTGTCCGGTTAACAAGCTCCACGGATAGCGGATGACATAATCGACTGTATGCAGCTGCCTAAGGCTTCCGAGACATCCCCATTATTGCTTCATCGTCATTTGTCTACCTTGCGCATGATGCAACCGCAATGCGAAGCGCAGCATTTCATCCCTGATGGCGCTCCGAAGACCCCATCGCAAATCTCGACACGGCTGCTTAGAATGCAAGCGACGGCGTGTCAAGGTACTCAACCTGCCAATGTTCCCTTTTCTCGCTCCATAATTAACTCGCGCAGTGTGATGAAACTCGACCAGTCTGCTCCAACTGCACCAAGCGTCTGACTGAATGTGAATATGACTCTACAAGCTCTTTTCTTTGGGCAAACCAGGGCCCAAAGCCTCGCCCTGCGTCAAACTTATCTCCGTCCGAAGGGTCCCAGCCTCCAGAATCGAACTTGATCACCGCGAATTCATTCGGGGTGCTGGGGAGACTTGGTGGCGGCGGTAGAAATCCTCAGAGCACCACCGATCTTAACCTCAGCGATCTAGAGTTAATGATGCAGTGGTGCAACTCAACATATCTGAGTCTGGCCCGCAACGGCCAAACCGACCATATCTGGCGGTGCTGCGTCCCGGAAGAAGCGCTCTCGCACCCGTTCCTCATGCATGGCATCCTCGCTCTCTCCGCGCTGCATCTGGCTCGCACGAAGGACGATCATCGCAGTTCCGCGTATGTCGATACAGCTGTTTCGCATCAGAACCGCGCGCTAGCGTTTTTCCGGGAGTCGTTGAGCGACATCACCGAGTCTAATGCTAAGGCCATGTTTGGGTTCGCTGGCGTCGTCGTCTTGTACGCGCTTGCGTTTCCCCATCCGCTCGAGGTGGACGACCCGTGGGTCTGCGTCGATGACTTAACACAGGTGTTCGTGCTGGCCCGTGGCGTGCAGCAGGTTCTGAGGAAAGCCACCCCGTCGATCGTCGCCAGCGACTGGGCGTCCGTGCTTGTGCTGGGTGACTACGACCACACCCCGCCGGAGGATGCCCAGGCTGTTCTGGATCGATTACATGAGGCCAATAACCAGTACGGCGAGCAGGACCCGGCGCATGACACGGACCTCCATCGCCATACCATTGAAAACCTGGCTGATATGATCGCCGCCATCTCCAGCGGCCTGATCACCGCCACCATTTTCTGCAGGTGGGCGATCAAACTGAGGCCCGAGTACGTGGATCTCGTCCGCAATCGTAACCCTTTGGCTCTAGTCATTCTGGCGCACTATTGCGCCATCCTGCATACCATGCGGGGGGTTTGGTACGTGGGCGAATGGAGTGTTAGGGTGCCCAAGGCGATATGGCAGGTTCTGGATGATCGCTGGAAACCGTTGACTCGTTGGCCCATGGAGACGGTCTACGGGGAGAGCTTTTTCGCAGATCAAACAGGCTGAAGTTCTCTCATCTTGTTCGTGATGTTATGGCATACGAGTTTACAAAGATTTACAGTTACGTACAAAGTCTATGTTATTGTGGCGCATGTCTGGGAAATCAAGACTAGACAGGAAAACAAGCAGGAAGAAACCAACACCAAGACCGTTACTCATTCAGGGACATTAAACAGGCATGTTCTTCGCGTTAACTCCCAACCCACCCCTGACGGTCATATACGTCCCCTTGCCCAAGAGGCAGTTCACCTCGCTCGGATGGACGACCACGAAGATGAGCATAACGAGGAACATGAGGAGTCCATCAAAGATATAGATGAAGGCCTCGCTCGACATGAGAACCCCATCCGTATCCCCCGCATACTCAGCCACACGGAAGACGGATCGAATCAGAATCAGCACGCTAGACGCATGCAGCGCGAACAGATGTTTCCGCCAGGGGATATACACGTCGACCGATTGCGGCGTGGGCCGGCGACCAATCCGCCTCTGGAAGAAAATGGCGCTGATCAGGAAGAAGCCGAAGAAGATGATCTGCACGAACAGACCGCCGAGGATGACGCCTTTGCCGGTGTCCTGGGATCCTTTCACCATGATTCCCGCTCCTGTTCCTGTCAGCTTTCATCTCCCATGATTGTATCAAAATCATGAACGCAAGACCTACCGGAAGCCTGCATCAGGAAACTCAACACATCCCCCGCCACGAAGATCTTGGTCATCCAGTTCACGCGGATGATGGACAGCGCCTGTCCTTTGACCAGGTATATAATCCGACCCAGTTCCATATAAATACTAGCGGCGAAGAGGGCGGGCGCGATGAGCAGCAGGGTGCTTTGCATAACGTACGGGCCGAGCGTCCAGTCCGGTGATTGTTTCGCGGACATGGCGCGTCCTATATAGCCGAGGAATTCGACTGTGCGTGTCAGACAATTACCAAGCATATAGGCCAAGAGCGAGTCGCATGAGAACTTACACCAACCGCCTAGCACGAGCGGAATGAAGAACCACGTCCGCGTCCGGATCAGGTGGTATGTATGTAGGAGATTGACGACGATGAAGAGAAGGATGAAGATGACGGCCGCGGCCATCGAGGGGTAGTATTCATAGGCTTTCCAGCCTCCATGGCTGGTGTCGGTGTCTGCCATTGTGCCCAAGGGCATGGACTATGAAGAGTACTTGTTCGCAGAAAGAAAAAGATTTGAGAAACTGAGCAAAAGACCCAAGAGGATTCATCGTTCTAATCAAATTCTTCTTCAATCTACCTACTCAAACCTTTCCACTTCAGGCATCATGATTTGGTGGATCGTCCACACAGCAACAGTAGACGATTTCGTATATCTCGTACCCATTTCCTATTCAGGTCAAGATCGAGCTTTTTGGTGCTAAGAAGAGACAAAGTGGAGATGCGTAAATCCAATTCTTCGCTTTGTTCGTATTTAGTTCCCTTGAGGGTTTAGTGTTCTGCTTCTCTAGTCTTTGGATGCTGATCGTTGTAACTAATTTATACTTGACCGGGAATACTCCCCACAACATACTGTACAAACTCCCCTGAATACCAATTACTCTAAGTCTCTTAAGACATCACAACTTCGCCTGCAACTCCTCCCCATTCTCCAACACATACCGATACCTCGCCTTCCCCTCATGCATATCCCCCAACGCCTCATTCACCTCCCTCATCGCCCGTTTCTGAATCCACGGCACCACCCGCTTCTCCGCCGCCAACCGCAACATCTCCCTGATATCCTCCGGCGACCCAATACTCGACCCGGTCACCTTCACGCTCTTCTGCATCAGCGACCACGCCGTCAACGCCGGCAACGGCTGCTCCGGCGCCCCGACCTGCACAAACGTGCCATCGAGCTTGAGTAACCGCAGATAGCCACTCAGGGGCATATCCGCTGCATCGACCGTGCAGATAATCAAATCCAGCGTCCGGCTGTGCCTCTTTGCCCAGTTCTTCTCTTCGCTTGTCGCGATGAAGCCATCCGCCCCTAGGCCCGTCACCGCGTCTGCTTTCTTGCTACTCGTTCGCGAGATCCCCACCACGGAATCACAACCCATCGCCTTCGCAAATAATATCCCCATATGTCCTAGCCCCCCGATGCCCACAATCCCCACGGATTTCCCCGGCCCGGCGCCATATTTCCTCAACGGCGCAAACATCGTCACCCCGCCGCAGAGCAGCGGCGCGGCCTCTGCGGAGGATAACGCGGCAGGGATCTTGAATGCGAAATGCGCGGGTCCGCGCCATCGCGTCGCGTAGCCGCCGTAGGATTTCGAGTTAGCGTCGTCACGGTAGCGACTGTTATATGTGGCTGTCATACGCGTGCAGTAGTTTTCTTGGCCGTCGGCGCAGGCGGCGCAGTCGGGGCGTAGGCAGGAGGCGCTTTGGGCGCCGATGCCGACGCGGTCGCCGGGTTGGATTGTTTGGTCGTCGGACTGCGAGGGCGAGGATGAGGTTGAGGTTGAGGGTGTGGGAGAGGAGACGGCCGATCCCACGCGACGTACGGTCCCGATGATCTCGTGTCCCAAGACGCAAGGGTAGTCGGCTGGGGCCCAGCCGGAGCGGAGGGTGTGGAGGTCGGTGCCGCAGATGCCGCAGTGCGTGATGTCGATTTCGATGTCGGTGGGTTCGAACGGTTTGGGCGTGAAGGTGGTGAATGTTAGGGGACTCGTGGCGTCGTGGGCGACCCAGCCTTGGAAGGTATCTGAGGACATTTTCTGATGAGTTGAGGAGTGTAAGATGGAGCTGTTAGGTGGGTGGTAGTTGTAGGTTGTAGACGATGGTAGGTGTCGTGGTCTGGATCTGGGCTCAATTCGGGACCAGCACAATGGTGTAATCAATTGAGCAAGATTGTTGCTGGGGAGGAGAGTAACTGGATAGAAGTATTTAAAGTCCTCTACAGCAAAGGAAGCAAGTTGCGGAGAACTAGACTAAATTGCCGAGGTCCATTACACGAGTGCCGAATGCCACGGCGATCAATCCCAAGCCCGATCTTAATGAGCGACATCAATATTAATCATACATGCGTTCCAAAATTAACAAGGCAAACAATTATTCACAAGCGCCAGGTCATGATAGCTCGTCGTCGAATATGCAAGCAACAGAAGTTCGATATATACACATGGACGGATTAAAGAGGGGGTATCAAGCAAAGTCATATCCTGAACACAATGGGGTTATCGGTTATTACACGGAAACGATGAAAGAGGTCACTTGGAGGGCATCCCCATCAGCTCCCCGAGTTCGTCGCTAGTCAGAGTGCTGCGTCGGCGATCGCTCGTCTTCGTCGCACTCTTGCCGCCTCGAGTTCGTTTGCGGCTTTCGCTCTCTTTACGAGCTTGTTCGGCAGCTCGCGCTTCACTCTCCACGGCGGCAAGCTTTTGCGGCACGCTGAGTCGGGTCGAGGGTTCGGACACCGGCTGCTCCTTGCTGGCCAGATTGGACTCTCCTTGCTTCGGCGCTCTGCTCTGATGGGTTGCCTGACGGGTTGTCGTCTGCGATTCTGGCCTCCGCCTGGATGTCCTACGCGTCACAGCCTCTGATCGATGAGCTTTGATTTGGAGGGTTTCATCCTCCTCGCGGGGAGGATCGCATGGAGATCCCTGCAGTCCGGGCGTGAACGAAACCTTCCGCGACAGTCGTGTAGGTCTGATGTTGTCGCTTCGCTCTTTCAATGCGCGGTTAGCACTCCTCTGCGACTTCTCCTCGCGCTTCTCGTTGGCGGCGTCGGAAATTCGGTCGGACTGGATGACTGGGACGACGTGGTCGGCGGCCTCTTCCTCTTCCTCGGCCTCTTGATCCTCGAAGATCGGCGTCTGCACGCCCGTGTCTCGCTCGCCCTCGGCCGCTCTGCCTCGCGAGGAATCCACGCTCAGATCGAGTGTCATTCCCAGTCGTAGCTCCTCCGCTTGCACCGAGCCGCCGCCGTCGGCAATCCGCGTATGCCAGCCATCCATCATAGTGACGGCCTGTCTCCACCGAGCTTCCATCTTCTCCCAGCCTTCTCGCAGTCTCACGATCTCTTCGTCTCGCACTTCGACCTCTTCCAATGGGACGAAAGATGGGTTCGTAAGTAACGTTCGCAGATGCTCCAAGACCCCGTCCATCTGCTCGGACAGATCCTCGCAAGATGAAGGCAGAGTAGTCACGGGGCCCTGTGAAGATTTGTGAGTTCCGACGCTGGCAGATCCAACCGCGCCCTCCTCGTCCTCCTCGGCGTGCGGTAGGCCCTGGAGATCCTTCAGGGTTTGAACGGTGTTCCGCGCCAACATAATCAAAGCGTCGTTCTCGTCACTCAGGTTCTGCAATAGCTCCGTGAGGAAATCGTTCGTCTCCTGTTTCAAGCTGTATCCCGGGTCGTTGACCCCCTCACCCCCTTTGGAGAGTTTCATTCTAGATGAGCGATCGACTGCGGGGTTGATGTTGATGGTCGTGACGCCGAGCCCCTCCCGTTTTCCTCTCTGCCGCTCGGCCAGGTGGGATTTCAACTTCTGCATCTCCAGGTCTCGTTTGCGGATGTCGTTGGCACACTGCGCGCGCACTTGCTGGATGGTGGTCTTCATGCGTTGCACTTGCTCCTTCAGTCCCCTGATCGTAGAGTCCGTACCGGCCATATTGGTCTTTAAGGAGCGTTCCTGGGCCTCTGCCAGAGCCAGTGATCGAGTCAAGTCGGAGGTCTTCGTCTGGAGTTTTTCCTGTATCGCAGAGTCTTAGTATTCTTGTTTGCCAACCTGTCTCCGTAACTATGACCACCTACAATATCGAGCGTCTTCTGCGCATCTTCTGCACGCAGTGTTCGAATCGTATTGGCCAGATTCTCTCGATGCTCTGCTTCGCGCTGCGTAACGGTCAGATGCACGGTTCCGTCAACAATCATGGACTCTCCGATCACATACGTCTCTTCTGAGAACCAGATCATTCACCAGGTTGATGATCCTCCCCATCGTCGTGGCCACTCCGCCCTCGTCATTGTCGGGCTGAGCAAAGTCGATCGGGCTGCCGCTCTTCAGCAACCCGCGAGCAAGGAGGACATTATTAATGTACGTCGACGCCGCCTCCAGGTTATGCGGCTCCATGGCTTGCCAGCAAGCTTGCCTTGAGATTCCTGAGTATGGCGGTAAAGGGGTCGGAAGTTCTAGAAATGAAGGGCAGGGAAGTAAATCAGGGTAAATTTTCCCCAGTGGATCGCAAAGCCGACCGTTATTTTGCCGTCGACAGGGATTCCCAATCGGGACAAAAGTAAACACCGGGGGCGCTGCGGGCGGCGACAGAGACCACTTGTGCAGCCCCACGGCAAACGCAGCGTTGCCCCGTTGACCTCGACCGCCTGACGCGACTTTCTCTCTTCTCTCTTCTCTTTTCGCGTCATTCTCGCTCCCGTCTCTTCCGCTTAGCGCGACGAGAATGTAACTTGGGCTCATATATCATACGATCATGGGCTCGTTAGGTACGTTTCCTTGGCCGAGACACTCATTACCCTTGTCCTTTTACGACAAGTCTTATGCGGTGTTTCAATGGCTAAAGGTTCGTTCTCCTTGCAGGTTTGGCGCGTGGTGAGGCGGCCGCGTTGCAGCAGCACGGCCAGCGACTCTATCAGCAGGGCAGCTTTGAAGCTGCTATAGAAGCCTTTACTGAGGTACTGCCATGTGCATCGAATGGAATCAATTCTCTATCCTCTATTCTAACCAATTGCTGGTTAAATTAGGCCTTAACTGTAAAAGATGCCAATCATCTGGATATTCTCGATGTTCGCGCTGCCACTTACACTAAGTTGGCACAATATGATCGCGCGCTGCGGGATTCCAGGCTGATGATTAAGAAAGACAAGCAGGATTACCGGGTGAGCCTGCGCATGTCAGATCAACGACGGCCTCATTGCTAATACGGTGCAGGGATATCTTCGCTGCGCGAAGAGCCTGCTCCTGGATAGCAAGCCTGAAAAGGCCCTGGAAGTGTACGCCTACGGACTGAAGGTCTTGCCCAGTAATCATCCGCGTCGCTCGGTCAGTTGATTTTCTGGGATCGGACTTCCCATACTCTCTTTCGAACCGAGCTGACTAGCGCAGCTCGTAGAACAATTGCACGACAAACTGATCGAAAAGATGACGGCAAAGTGTCATGATCCTTTCACCTTGTTGCCTTTGGAACTTGCTCGGCTTGTTCTGGAGCATTTCGACTTCAAGCAGATCGTGTAGGTTCTGCTACCCACACTTGGCTTATGAATCTAACGTTTCCAAGTGCAATCCTTCGTGTGTCCAAAGGATGGAACAAATTCCTCTCCTCGATGCGCGACTTTTGGATGGAGCTGGACTTTTCCGTCGCTCGCGGCAAGATCAGCTCGTCATCCGTTCTAGCTCACATTCGACGTTCCAAAGCTCTACTAACCAAAGTCTCATTGAAGAATATCTCCACTCCATCGACACAAAAGGTTCTGGAATATGTGAGCAGGTGCCCACGGTTGGAAAATCTCGAGTTGCTCGACCCGTACAACAATCAGGCGGTTTACGAGCTCTTCAAGGGCTCCAAGCGTTTGAAAACCCTTATCATATCGGCAGACACGGTTGTCCCTCAGGAATACCTGGCCAAATTCCTCGCAAGCCTACCTCTTCTCGAACGCATCGAGGTCCACAAGGCCAAGTCCTCGCCCGAAACAAAGGCACAGTGGCCGTCGAAACTTCCTCATCTACGGAGTATCACGATAGGCTCTATCGAACCGTCCAGACCAATCGGGCATACCCCTGCGCTCTACATTCCCCGCCGAGAAGATGTACTACTCCGTGGCCCCTACTGTTGACCAGATGACTGACTTGCGCAGACCATTCCTTACCCAATTGCAAATTTGGAAGAGCTGCGGCTTGATTCAAACCCTGAAGTTTTTGTCCCCTACCCTCCTACCTTCAATCCGCTGGATCTTCAGCGACTAAAGAAACTGGATCTTAGTGGGATTTATATTGGGGATGAGTTTGCGTTGCCATCTAGTCTTGAATATCTTCGCATCCGTGGTGGTGCTGGAGCGGAAGAGTTCCCGTTTTCAAACGAACCGCCTCTCAATTTTCCAAAACTTCATACTCTTATTCTGAGCGACGTGCCTTGGGTTACGAACCGCACGTTCCTTTATTTTCTGCTCGAGGCCAAGGCTCCTCTAAAGGTCCTTCACGTAGACAAGTGTTTCCGGCTCCATGGCTCTGGCCTGGCCCAACTCCTTTGTGAACACTCCGAAGGGTTGGAGGAACTCAATGTTTCGCACATCTCCGCGATTGATGACAAGGTCGTGGAGATGCTTGCGGCAAAATTGCTCAACTTGAAGGTGCTCAATATGACCTGTACCGAGATAACCGGTATTTCGATCAAGAGATTAGCGGATGTCCGTTCGTCCGAGGCGAACTCGCAGCTGGAGCGCATATTTGCAAGAGGCTGCGAGCAAGTCTCGACCGATGCCGTTGCCTATGGGTGGGCCAGCGGTCTTGAGATCATTGCATAGACTTGTGTATGTTTGAAACGGGTGACCTTGTCAAGAAGGCCTGTTATGACATGCCTGTCGATATGGGAACTTGATGCGAGAACCTATCTTCTGGTTGTCTTGTCTAGGGTTTTTGTTATCTGTCTAGTTTCTTGTGGATTTTGGAACAGACTTGCTATTTTTCTTTTATTCTTTGGCGAAATGACATGCTGGGCGTTTCGGAAAGGACGGGAATCAGGAATTATGATGATGATGTGATACCAGCATATATTTGAATTTCGGTCTATCTTTTCTCGGTTAAGACAGGCATTGGTCATTGTTCATTAGCTAGTTGCACAGAAGCATTCGAATTAACACTGGTCAACTTTAACTCTAATTTGAGTTTCAGTGAATTCAAACCCCCCTCTCCTTACACCACTTCTCCACCTCCTTCGCCAACTTCTCCCTCTGATCCTTGACCATCTCCATCATCGGCTCCACCTGTTTCTGATACGAGGCATCATACCCGCTCAGTCCGTGAGCTCCGACTTCCCCGTTCTTCTGTGGTGCAAGGTACGTGTCATACATGGATATCATCATATCCATAACAGCGGAGAGTTGATTCGGAAGCCACTATCGAACCAGAATTAGTCAACCAACCTCACCCAAACCAAGGACACTAAAGAACAAGAAAAAAAAAAAAAAAGAAAGAATAAAAATAACATACCGTAACAATCGGACTCCCACCCGTGGCCGTCGGATGCGGCGTTCTCCGAATAATATACTCCCTGGCAAACAACCAATGGCGCCACCGGAAGCTCCGGACGTGGTTCAAGGTCTTCAGGAACAGGATGGTCGTTTCGGTATCGAGGACTGCGAAGTCGCGGACGCCTACTTCGGCTGATTTGGCGTTTAGGTAGGCGAGAAAGGTTCGGTGGGGGAGGGGGCGGTAGGCGCGGAATTCGTGGAGGATTTTGGTGAGGGGGGTTGAGGGCATGGGGATTTGGAGGAGGTGGTCTAGGAGGGGGATCTTGATTCTTAGTTAGTATTGGTTTTGTGGAAGGGGGTTTGGGTGGGTGGGAGGGGCATGGTCTGTAGGTTTATATAGCAAGGGAAAAGGGGGGGAGGGGACTGACCATGCTGTCGTTGGCACCGCTCTCTCCGCGGAAGAAGAGCGGTTGATTGTCGAGAACGCCGTCGTAGATGACACCGTTGGGGAACATGGACTGCGAGGTGATTCCGAAGATGAAGACACGGAAGGACAGGTAGTCTTGGGGTTTAGAGTTGGCCCACATATCTAGACCTTAGTCAGTATATCATATCATCATCTTTACAAAAGAAGATTAGGTGCTAACTAGACAGAGCAGAGACATACCTTCCATACTGGCTTCGATCTTCTCCATCGAAGCCAGGATCTCTCGGAACCCATCGTTGACCTCAGTTCGAGACCCGGCTTGCTCAAGCGTATCGACGACTTTGAGCGCCCCACTGATCAGTCCCTTTGACTCCTTGACCATGTCCACGTGGGTCAGGATGAACCCGGCCTCGGAACTCTTAGGGTCAAGGCCGTGCTCGAAGGCGCGGACCAGACGGAGGTTAGGATAGGTCAGGCCCTTAGATGGTTCGGCTACCGTGTAGTTGAAAAGGGAGTATGCGGCGGCATAGGACATGAAGGGAGGGATGTCCAGGCTGGATGGTGGTTAGTATAGGCATTAAGATAGTAAGACAGAAGAATAGGAGGATAGGAGGATAGGAGGATAGGAGGATAGGAGGATAGGAGGATAGGAGGATAGGAGGATAGGAGGATAGGAGGATAGGAGGATAGGAGGATAGGAGGATAGGAGGATAGGAGGATAGGAGGATAGGAGGATAGGAGGATAGGAGGATAGGAGGATAGGAGGATAGGAGGATAGGAGGATAGGAGGATAGGAGGATAGGAGGATAGGAGGATAGGAGGATAGGAGGATAGGAGGATAGGTATTGCAGGAAAGGAGGAACATACAGCTGAGCACATCGATACATAGGACAAGCCACGGCCCGAGGCAAAAAGTCTCTTCCGAGACCATACCCATTGTCCGGGTTCTTACGCCAGTTCTCCCAGCAGGGCTCAAGCAAATACGCCGACGCCAGGAAGGAGTAGTCCCTGAACACGGCCGTGACTGCGTAGAGATCCGGGGAGCCGTCAGCCGTGACGAGCTTGTCGACTTCAGCGGTGAGGTCAGGGAGCTCGGCGACGGCAGGTCCCAGCTCATAAGTCGCCAGCAGACCAGGAGTGCCGTCGAGCTTGGTCACGGGCATCCGATCAAGCAGGGCCACTAGAGGCTGGAAGGGCTCGGGGAGGTTGGTAGGGGACATGATGAAGGGCATGAACCCTGTAGAAGTGGTGATGGTAAAAGGGTCCAAGGACCGAGGAAGGGTAGCCGGGTCATGATGAACATAAGGGAAACACTTCAGGGTAGTAGTAGAAGTACGAGGGGTTTTGATCTGGGTCATAGTGCCAAATAACAAAGGAAAAAGTAAATCTATCTATGTATGAGGACTTGATAAGGATATGAGACACTTATAGTTCTCCAAGAGGATAGGAAAGTTTAGAGGGGGAAAGAAAGAAAAATTTTCAGAAATGTGGTAGAGACCAGAATAGGCTTGTAGATTCAAGAGAAGGAAGGGAAATCCAGCGGGTGAAGGCGATTCTTATAACTGCCATGAGGCCGGATTCAATTCCGGCCACGGAGTCTCTATTACGTTTGACCGAGCAAAAAGGCGTGGGGACTGCATTTTTGGATACATCTTCGAGATATAGTATCCGATAAGCAGTTCAAAATAAACCGCTTGGGTTCCCACAGCATCTCTGAAGAAAATCATGCCCTCCCCCAACTCTAGCTGCACAGGAAGCCATCTACGTCGATCTATATCAAGACTTGGCAACCAAGGGCAGCCAGCATCACGGGACACGCTAGGCTCGATCTAGTAGGAGCTGCCAAACGCACCCACGAACTCAGAAGGCGAGGAATCCCGACATATCAAGTCCGTTGATCATCCTACAGGGCTACAAGTCTTCTTGCACCGAATCTCAAACATCTCCAGCCCATAGGTTGCTTCAAAAAACAATAACCACCACCAATGCCCAGGGATGTATTAACTCCAACGGCGTATGGATTGACCATATGCCAAGCAATGCAGCCCCACTTGCCGCTATATTGTGATTGGTCTGGCCGGAATCTTCCGGCCTCCGTCAATGGCCGGCCTCAGGCTCTCAGACCGTGACTAGCCGGCCTTTTATGCGTGTTATGCGCCCTGCATTGATACGACCAGCCAACCACTGTACTCCGGCAGGGTAGTTGGTGTTGGCTTCACTTATCAGGGCCAATGCCTTGCTTTATTAGGCCCTACGAGTCTCACTACCACCTATCATTTGGAATGTGTATTCGGTCTTATCGGTACCTAGGCTTGGTACTGTGAGAAGCACTCGGACTGCACTTGTTACCGCTTCACATTGCCGGTTTCTAAGCCTGACTATCTTGCCTCTTCTACGTGGTCATTGTCAATAACGTAGCAAAACATTTGTATCCATCAAAGTCTATAAATTGAAAGGAGAATTCTAGTTCATAATATACACTGTGGGTATTGTATACACATATCTTCAACAATCAGACAGCGCGAGTCCTAAGTCCTCAATCAGCACGGGGCCTGGTCCTCGAATCTGATAACTTACCGAATGCAAATCTATCACCGGGTGACACCGTCCAGGTACAACCGTAGCCCAATAGATTATTCAGTTCCCTCACGGCCCCATTCTATGTCCCCTTCGCTGGATTATTATCCCCTCCTGGCGACGACGCATCTACGCTCGGTGAAACCTTCTGGAGCTTCAGGTATTCCTCCTCGAGTCTCTTCTGCATCTCGAAATCGGCCTGTCGTTCATGTCGCACGCGCTGCTTCTCCATATCCCGTTCAACGCCCTTGTGCATGTTCTAGAATTTATCAGCCCCAAATCGCTCCTATGACATGAATATCCTCAGTCCGAACATACCGCTCTCTCCTGTTCTTGCGACCAGTGCACAAAGTAGACGATGCCCGCAGTTCCGAGGCCCGTCGCGGCCAATGTCAATTTCGAGGCTCGAGACATCTTATCTTCCTGTCTATAATCAGTACACAAACCAGCTAGTTCTGTGAGATGAAACAAAAACTCACCTTAACCCAGACAGCAAAAAGAGTACGTGATGGCTTAAGGCCCAGACCGGCTCGAGATTCATCGGCGATTATCACGGCGGTCACGGATGGCAGAACCCTGACCGCCTTGTCATTGATCATTCGTGGCGTCCCGTCGGGGGGCGCATGGGACGGGCTCGCATCACGAAGCTCCCCGACCTCCGCCTTATCTGTACTTCTATCCCCACGCCCTTGACGCCCTCGTTTTACCGGTCTATTATTATATACAGGGGTCTTTGGCAATATGGTGAGTTTTATGTATTTCACTCCTTTTTGGATGTCGTCAGATGCTAATACCGTGCTCTATAGTCCGCTCAGAACTCCGCAGGCATTCAGACCCTCCTCGATGTAGGTCGCAGCATAGAAGTCCCCGCGGGTTTGATCATGGATTGACGGTGATTACTCTAGGCCGAGAGAGAGGCTCAGAAGATTGTTCAGCAAGGTATGTCCCGCTTGGTTGTCTTGCTCCATGACCGTCCGTCTATGGGAATATGCTAACGTACTCGCATCGTCTAGCCCGTGAATGTACGATCGTCGCCCTTACGCACTACCTATCGATCAGCCACTGACTTATACCATCAGACCGCACGAAGCGAGTGAGGGACGCCAAATCCGAAGCGCAAAAGGAAATCGAAGAATACAAGAACCAGAAGGAGGCCGAGTTCAAGAAGTTCGAGGCTGAGGTGAGAGATCCCCGATAGCCAGCGGTTCAGCATGGACTCCTCTCGACCCATAATTTCGCGAGATTTGCAACGCAAGCTAACACTATCTTCAAACCAGCACTCGAGCGGATACAAGAAAGCCGAAGAGGATTCGAACAAGGAAGCCGAAGTGAAGCTCCAGGAGATCAAGCAGGCCGGAAACAGCAAGGGCAGCAAGGTGGTGGATGACCTGATCCACGCCGTCGTGGAAGTGAAGCCCGAGGCGTCGGAGAAGATCGTGGTCAAGACATAAAGTCGTTATAGCCGTGCGATGGAGGTCTCTCTGTTTTGATTTATACTATTGCTTTGCTTTTTTCAGGGCTGTGAATATATGGTTCTTGCGATTTGAGCTTTGTGCAAATACCTTTTGACGATTTGAATCGATCTGGCATGGCTTGTGGTCAGCACATTAGACTGTAGTATCTGTAGTCTGTGGGTATCGGGCGAGTTTAGTAGATCGTATTCTCACTAGAGACGAGTCGATAGCATCCACAGAATCCGCGCAGATTAGACTACGCTTCTCAGTAGTTAAGCGTTACCTCATAATAAATTAGTTTGTAGCGAACTATCTGTCTCTCGTGTTATGTTCTGCCTGAGGCAACAACCGGCTCCGATTCAGGAGTTGCGTCATCAGGCACGCGCCAACTTTAAAGCGATTATATGTACAAATATGGCCAATGATATACCGTCCTCCTAGAAGATAGGCAAGGTATTCCAAAGGGAAAATGAGGTATATAGTTAACAGACTCCGTCTGAGTGTTAAATCAGCCAATTCGACACTTGGTGTTCAGTTCGTGCCGATTGCTCACGCGCAACACTTCCGCTCCTCGACACGCGGGTGCAATTCCCATGAACAAAGGAGAACTTACGCGCAAGATCCACGACTGGAGAGCTTAGGGAAGGTAATCAAGGATGAATATGCAGTGGTTCGAGACAGCTACGGTGAGCCTACCTCTACTTGTCATCGTCAGGTGCAGTACTATTCGTGACGAATCGGCCGTTAACCAGATACCGCGACAGATACACCTAAGCACCCCATCGTCCTCGCGCATGGCTTGCTTGGATTCGACGAGTTGCGACTAGCTGGTCCCTATTTCCCGGGGGTCCAGTACTGGCGAGGGATCAAGGAAGCGCTGTCTATGAAAGGCGTCCAGGTCATTACGGCGACGGTGCCGCCGTCGGGGTCTATTGAGATGCGCGCGGAGGAGTTAGCGAGAGATATCGCTGTCGGGGCGGAGGGTCAGGATGTTAATATTATTGCGTATGTTGTCCTCGTTCTCTCGCGTTCGTTTAGCTGAAACGAGGTGTGCTAATTTGGTGTAGACATAGTATGGTAAGATGTCGTGCCTGGCCATAGATTATCTATGTTTATTGACTTGGGGTCTAGGGGTGAGACTCTTTCTGACTGTCATGACATTCTTTTTCTTTTCTTCTCTTTTTTTCTTTTTTGACTTCCGATTAATATCTCCAAGTGGTCTGGACTCCCGATATATGATCAGTCGTTTGAAACCCAAGGATTTCAATGTAAAATCCTTGACGACCATTGCAACTCCACACAGAGGTTTGTACAATCTACATACATGTTGATATTTTCCCACTAATACCACTATTAGGCTCGTCGGTTGCAGACTATGTAATCAAGCAGATTGGAGGTACAATGAAGTCCGCATCACCCCCAGATGAAGAAACTCATACCATGCCTTGCAGATGACCGCCTTGCCCAGTTATACTACGCCCTGGGACTACTGAAAGTCGAAACGGGAGCTTTTTCCCAGTTGACGCGGGAATACATGGAGAATACATTCAATCCTAATACGCCTGATGTGGATGACGTGCGGTACGTGAACCTATCAACCACAAAGAAAAAAGAAGAGAAACGAAGAGAAGAGAAAAGAAGAAAGACGAATAAAAAAGGGGCAACGGAATAGGGCTGAGACTAGACAGATACTTCTCGTACGGGGCGAGCATGCAGCCAAGTTTCTGGTCGGTCTTCCGCCAGTCCCATCGGATTCTGGAGCAAGTCGAAGGGTTTAACGACGGGCTAGTTAGCGTTGCTAGTAGTCGGTGGGGAGGAGAGGCAGGGTACAAGGGGACCCTCCTTGACGTGAGCCACTTGGATTTGATCAATTGGAGCAATCGGTTGAAGTGGCTGGCTGGGGAGATTACGGGCAATCGGCGAAGGTTCAACGCCATTGCACTCTACCTGGATATTGCAGGTACGTGACACACTGACAAGCATTCCTTGTCAGACTATAATTTTGATCACTGTGGCTGACGGGTCTCATCACACCAGATATGCTGGCGAAGGAGGGTCTTTGACGAGAAACATGCAGAGTTGCAGCGGCTAACGGGGAAGAATTTTGATGCCTAGAGGGCACAATACGGGAGGGATCTAGGCAGTCGGTTTAGAACCAGTAGTGATACCCAATGAGATGAGTCACTGATGTAGTATGACATAGACCGGACTCGTAGTTACTGCTCAGAGTGCTCTGAAGACAGAAGACCTGGACTCAATTGACGGGAAAGGTGGCGGTGTCTTCGCGTCCCAAGCATCCGAGTGGCTTAGCAGCCCTGTGTGAGACGATCTCATCTCCGAACCTCTGACGGCCTAGACTTCCTCACTCACCATGATGACAGTTTAAACAACTGAGAGTCAGACAAAAAGATAAAACCCACCTGATTGCCAGCAAGTATTTCTTGGGACCAGGAAGGGGTTTCTTTTTTTTATTTTCTAATTTTTTTCCAGTTCATTCCCTGATCAGGATCCCGACCACGCCGAGAGTTCCTTTGGCTTTGAACCATCGATTGCCCCACGCCCTCCGGTCTTCTTCTTCTGCCACTTCCTTCAACGTCATTTTCCCCCTCGTATCTTTTTTTGTATGCCGAACTCCCGTTCTCTCGCGCTCTCATCCCTTCAATCCTTCTCTCCCTATCCCCCACTCCTCATCGCTTAACCCCTTCCCAAGTAGAGTATTCCCAATATTATCAACGACATAATCTCTTTCTTCTCCCCATCGAATAAGCATATCTCAATCGGCCGTGTCGCTAGAGGCCGACCCGGGTCAAGGTGTTCGCCATGTCCGCGACCATCCATTTAGACAATTCACATACCCACTTCACCAACCTTGACTTCCTGTCCGGCAGAGTTGTGATTAATCTGCCGTCTGAAGCAGCGATAGGTGGTATTCAAGTGAAGCTGGAGGGAGAAAGTCGCACGCGTCTGTCGGGGCCCCGAAATCCGCACCATGAACAGTCCGATAAGAAGCGCACCGAATTAGAAGTTCATAAGGTATTAATTCTTTCCCTTACTCTTCTGAATTTCATTCTTCTCGTCTCCCCTGTTGCATCGCTTCTAGTTGCTTATGATTCGCAGCTCTTGTATAAAGTCGTCACCGTTTTCCCTACCCCGGAGGTGTTCAACTCCAAGGCTCCGAATACGACGTATACTTTTGCGTCCGGGACATATGAATATCCCTTCCAGTTCAAGGTAATTTGACCCATGAATCGAAATCGTTTCGTTATGGCACTGATTCTTCGAAGTTTCCCTTCAACAATGCCTGCAGCATGCATAATAGCATGCTCACGAATCTGAACATCACCGGGCTGAAAGTCGAAATGGCCAAGGATACGAATCGGCATGTCAAAAAGACCCTTCCTCCTTCTCTAAGCGGCTTTCCGGGCGAGGCAGACATCAAATACTATCTAAAGGCGACTATCATCCGGCCACAATTTTACAAGGAAAACATCAGAGCGGTATGGTCACTACAAGCAGCGGGGTGGATTACGGCTGACACTACGAGTCTTAGATCCATGACTTGAACTTCCTTCCCATCGAACCACCAAGGACAGGCAGCCTAAACGAGGAAACGTATGCGCGACGCCAGCATCAGTTTACAAAAGCCCCCAGTGGTTCCAAGACGAAGAACTTATTCCAAAAGGTCTCGTCTACTTCCCTTCGAGATGGTGCCTCGGACACTCCTCGCGTCTCTGCAGACATTCGACTTCCGAACCCGTCCATCCTCACCTGCAATGAGCCCATCCCGCTGCGGGTGTTGGTGAGCAAGGTGTCCGAGTCATACGAAACCATCTTCCTGCAGATGCTGCAAATCGAGTTGATCGGGTACACGCACATCCTTGCCCACGACCTAAGGCGAACGGAAAGCGGAAGTTGGGTTATAATGAGTCGCAGTAACATGGGTATCCCCCTTGGGAGAGGAGGTGATCCGGCGGGCTCGGAATACACCATCGACGCCAGCATGTGGAATCGGGTGCCTCTGCCTAGCTCAGTGGCTCCGAGTTTCGAGACATGCAACATCTCAAGATCCTACGAGCTTGAGGTCCGAATTGGATTGACTCATGGCAGTATTGGGAACATGAAAGTGAGTAACGACGTGACGATCTTTCGGCTTGACCTTTTGTGCACTCGGCGTACTAACTTGAATAGCCTCAACTTATCGTACTCCCGCTAAGAATGCCTGTCAAAGTGTTCTCCGGTATTGCTCCACCCCAGGCACTTCTGGACGCCATGGCTGCCAATGGGCGCGTCAAACCATCGGCGCAGGTGCCACCTTCACCATCAGTCCCAGATCGACCCGCGGGTAGTACCAGTTCGCGTCCACCCATGCCTCCCAGACCTTCAGCGGCTCCTGTTCCCGTGCCCGCCTCGGAGGAAAACTATGACGATGCTCCTCCCAGCTACGAGGATGCGATGGCCGAAACCCTCAGTCCCGTAGATGGCCCCCGTCGCGAGTATAACCCACCAGATGCCTCTTCCTCTTCCGGAAGACCCGTTGAATCTGGAGCTGATCCAAGCTCGTCAGTGTACCCGGTAAAGGATCGTGAGGCTCAGACCCCGTACGGCAACCGCGAAGCGAATTCATCCTCGGAGTCCTTCGACATGCTTCCTTCGACGCCGCCGGAATCCCACTCCGGCTCACCCCCGACGTCTCCCGTTGCTCGTCAACAGAGCATTTTGAAGATCCACAAAATGGCGCCCCCTCCGGAGGACAACCCGCCTCAGTACCAGCCAGTAGCCGACAGTCACCTGCAACCAGCATCCCCTGGTCCGGCAGAACGGAGGCCCTCCGGTTCTGAATTCCGTCCCATCAGACTCGGTGTGCCCAGTAGGAAACCAGTCCCTCGAAGCTCAAGTTCCGGAGGTCCTTGAGCCAGTTCTAGGAACAGGTAATCCAGCACCTTCTGGCCACTCCCCTCTGTGTTCGATTATTAATACATAACGGGGTCGAACTGAGTGGCATCCGTAATTTATCCATTTCGAGGAATATCGGAACCTTCTAACTACCAACACGGATTATATACGACTTTCCTCAGCGGTACCAAACCACTATATACCATGGAACATGGATCGCGTCTAGTTGGACACCAACCACTCGCATATAAGCGGTCTTTATCTTGATTGAACGCCTTTTCTTTTCTTAAAATGTTCGTCATTGCCATTTGTCGCATATTGATACCATGTCTTGCTTCTGCTTTTGTCTGAGCTGTGGATTGTTGGAAAATCTCGATTTTATATCACGATTATCTAGGTAGTGAACATCATCTTTGACAGATTTTCATAATTGGCACGACGGTTTACCCAAAATAAATATTCACAAGCAGATAGCGACGTCAGAGTATAGTTTTGTTTACATTGTCCAAGAAACGCAACAAAAGTAATATGCCTACATGCATGAGCATACATCACATTGCCGCAATCACATGCAGATAAAGGCCCCCCAGTCAATTGCATAGACTTTGTATAGCCAGGAAAGAGTCTAAAAGGCAGAACGACGGGTCCAAAGTAAGGAGAACAGGAAAAGAAATCCATCCTGTTTACACTTCCGTGAGTGCCTGAGGCGGGGATTCCCGAACAGGCTTAGCTCGAGCCGGAGGTGTTTGCATCACTTTCGAGTCTTTCCTTTCCAGTCTTCACCTTCACCGTCTCTTGTCCCGTCTGCTTGTGTTGCTTTTTCTTGCTAAACGCATCGCGCTGTTCAATTCCCTTCCTAGTACCATGTATTTCTATGATTAATCTAATATTCTCCCCCTGATCTTCTCGTTGCACCTCTCGACCTGCATCTGCCCTCCGCTGTCAGTTTCTTCCCGCGTGGCCCACTCACAGCTTGCTTGCTCTGAACGCGACCGATCGACTTTGGAGCTCAATTTTCGCGAGTCGCAAACACGGCGAATCTAATACACTTTTACCCTCGAACATTAATCACTGATGCTCTGATAGCAATCTTCCATTGAAGAATCGGAGGAGAGCGCACAGTCACCCAACATTCCATCATGCGTCTCCACCTCGTCATCCAGCGTCACGGACTGCCGGTGACGCGCATTCTTTGGACGACCGCGCCGCCCTCGCTGTTCGGTCAGAATGCGCCCGGTACCTCGGCCGTCATCCCTGCCGCCTCGTCTGCCATCACGTCGACGCGCACCCCTAATGCGCTGTATGCGAACGGCGGCTATACCATTGCGCAGCTCCTGGAGGATGTCAACGGCGTGATCCCTCTGGAGACCGAGCCGGCATTGTTCGACAGTGAATGTAGTGGGCAATGGGGCCTAGAAGACTACGTGGTTGAGGTGGCGGGCTCAGAATGTCTGCATTTCATGGAAGTTGAAGGTCTCCTCAGAGATGGGGACGAAGTCTTGTGAGTACTGTTTACGCTTGGGTCCCTGCCCATTGGCGTTCCTCTTCCTAACTTTGTGTCTGTCTAGAATACGAGCTCTGCAACTCTCTGACCTGCGCGCCCGACGCCTTTCCGGTCGACACCAAATATCCACCGATGGAAGGCATTTGATCGATGGCGTGCCGTTCGGAAAGCCTTTCCTGAAAAGACCTACCTCGTCGAGACCCGCTATCACGATACCGCCGAGAAAGAAGAGGCGCACGAGCGTGGCGAGCTGGGGCAATGGACCGGCTGGCTACGAGGAGGAGGACACGGAGTGGGCGCCTGGGCGAGTCCGGTCGTTGAAAGAGCTGTCGGCCCTACGGGATGGTAGTGGATCCGACGACAAACCTGACGATGATGATGATGAGTATGAAGATGCTTATCAGGACGATTACGAAGATTTCCATCAAGTCCATGAAGAAACCGGTGATGGCACGGTCATTCGATATAATGTGGACCAGGACGAAGATGACCAAGCGTCGGAGAGTGATGCCGATATATCTGACTTTGATGCCGGGGATTTGACCGAGGAATTGAAGGACCTCAAAGAGGATCAAGAGACCTCTGAGATGCCTGGTGTTCAGAAGACAGGAGACGACAAAGCTGATGGCGGTGGCTATCCATTGCGCAAGAAGTCAAGCCTGTACATGCTACCAAGACAATCGATCTTGCATAATGCCAGCAAGAAGGTTGCAGACGCCGATGCTTCGCGACGAGACTCTAAGGCGGTCAGATTCGAGGGACAGGCGCCGCCACCACCGCCCTCTGCTCAGCAACCTCCAGTCATCAAAGCACCAGAGCCAGAGCCAGAAGAAAATTCCGTTGCAGTTCAAAAGGATAGCAGCAGCAGCAGTAGCAGCAGCACCTCATCTTCCGATGAATCCAGCGATAGCAGCTCTGATGAGGATGCAAAGGTCTCGTCTTCGTCAGACTCCTCAGACTCAGACTCCGATTCCGATTCCGACTCTGACTCGTCCAGCTCTGATTCTGACGATTCGGCGTCAGATTCCGAGTCAGAAGAGGTTTCTGGTATAGCCTCTTCGACGATGAACCCCCCTGGTCTGGGCTCCCAACGAACCAAAAAGAGCAACCAGCGCAACAAGATGCGACGACGGTTAGCCAAACTCAAAGAACTGGGTGCTTTACCGGCCGAAGCAGACTTTGCTGCTCTTCGAGACCTGGAGGAGAAGCATGGAGGGTCGTATCAATTTCCCACAACCACACCCGGTACGAACGAGAATGAGCAGGCAGAGTTCGAAGCGAAGCGGCAGAAGCTGCTTCGTGATCTTGAATCTGGAGGAATCGACGTCACCGAGAAGGAGAATGTGCCATCGAGTGACAAAGAGAACAGCAACCAAGTAAACAATCAAGTGCCCGAGTCCGAAAAAGAAAACGCCATCCCTGCTGCGGAAACCGCCAATGAGGCCAGTGCCGAGTCAAAACGCCGCACGCTAGACATTGCCAGCTCTCGGCGACTGCTCTTCGGTTCCCTTGGTGTACGGACGCCTCGAACCAAAGAGGACGAAGAAGCCACGCGCAAGAAGCTGGCCGGCAAAGTCAAGAGTACCAATGGATATCCCCGGAAGTCGGTCACTGAAGAAGCACCGGCCGAGAGCGAAAGTGACTCGGACGAGAACTGGCAAGACAAGTTAGTCATTCGGGCCACCGAGTGCTTCTTTGAAGATATCGAGTTGACTGCGCCTCCTTTTCCTTTTGAGCAGCGATGGGATGCCGAAGCCGACGCTATCATTAGGCAGCGCAAGGGATGGGGCAAAAAACGGAAGAGAAAGCAGCGCATTCAGGTGTACGACGGGGAATACGAAGAGGAAGAGTATTATGGCAATGATGACTATTATTATCAAGATGAAGAAGATCCACAGCTCAACTACGATGACACGGAGCAGCCGAGCCACGAGATGGAAGGCATTGAGCAGAATGGACACGAGGACATGCAGCCATCAGACGAGACAGAGGGCGACCTTCCTCAAGTTCCCGATGATCCGGCATCGCTCGGGGATCTGGTAGAAGACGACTTGAAGAAAGGCTCAGTCATTGCCTTCAGGCAGCTGGACATGTCCAAAGCGACCAACTGGCAGCCCACGGTGTCAGAATATCGAGTAGCCAAGATCCACGACGTGTTCGAAGACCAGGTTCTCAAACTTCGGCTGGCCAAGCGTGATCGAAGGCAGCTCAAGGAGACGGAAGATGACGAGGACGAGCCAGAGTACAGCGGATTTGAAATGCCCGGTTTTGATGACGACGAAGCGGAGGACGATGGGTATCGCGAAGTGCCACTTTCAGATCTCATTGATGCCAAGCTTCTCCGAGCGGGAAATATTGCAGGCGGCCCCGGAGAAGCCGAGAAAGCCAGCTTGTCAGTACATTAACTTTTCCTTTTCACTGTGTTCTTCTGGCGTGCATGCGCTCACCGACCAAAGCTCTCCGGCAGAGCCGCCTGAACGGAGACCAACGCCGGATGCGAAAGCAGACGAGAAGGCACCTCCGAAAGACCGGCAGTCAACTCAAGAAGAGCCCGACGCACTAACGAGGGACGCAGTCGACGCCGTAGGGGCCTCTGGCGAGGATTCCAGCTCCGGCGTAAAATCGCCGGAGTTTCACGGATTCCAGTCCTGCGAGGAAGAATCGGCCTTGGCATCACAGGCATCGGGCAGTCTCCAAGCAGAAGCAGATCATGAAGGCGGCGCTGGTGACGAGGATCCGAATTCGGGCAGTCGTCTTTCACGGCCATCCACGCCTACTTTCAGCGTCCCGCCGAATCGGTTGAAGAACGGAGCGGCGCCGCCGGTGACCGGGTCAGATCTAGACCTCGAGCCGATCAGCAGTCCCGAGAGTCCGGTGTCCTTCAATCGCCTCATCGCATCGCTATTTGACAATAAGGCTGGCATCAAGTCCCCAACTCCAAGCCAGAAAACAGAGAAGAAGCCTGAGCAGAAGTCTGGGCCGAAACAGAAAGAGGCTGAGCTCAATGGCGAAGACAAATCAGAACAAGAACCGCAGCAAGAAGAAGAACAAGTACAAGAACGAGATGAAGAACGCGCACTGTCGTTATCTCGATCCTCGGTCGTTCCCAATCCCTTCTACGAAATCGACCGAGCGTACGAAGAACAGCGACGCAATTCCAAAAAGATGAAGACTAGCCTCGGTGCCAAGGACGGCGATACTACGATGGACTATCTATCGGCAGCTGAATTTCCCTCCTCCCCGGTCTCGTGCCAACCCCCGGCCCCTGCCGAGCGGCAACCATCCCAGCCCGAGTCACTCATCAGTGCCGTGCCGGAGACTCTAGTCGAGGATTCTATGCCAGGCGAGGACGGTCTACCGCCGGATTCCCAAAAGTCCGATATCATGATGATCGATTTGACGCAGTCCAGTCCCCTCGTGTCACCGGGGGGCAGCGACGAGGACTTTGCTCGATCTAATCGACTGCCTCGAGGGCCAGGATGGGTGCAAAAGAACATACCGAAGACGAGGCGACAGACGCGACAGTCGTCGGCGGGGGCACGCATGCACCGGTTGCAGGATGCCAGTATCAGTCCGCCAGCACCGAGGCGACGATGGGGGAATTCCAGGGGATGATGTGGAATGGGAATGGGAATGGATGAAACTACTGAGCATGTATGTGTAAATAGGGGAATAATAATCTGAAGAGGATTGATTACTCAATACTTCATCCAAGTGTTCTGAAGGTCTGACGTGGGTGACAAAACCTGTCCCGTGATTGGCTGCGGTGTCCACCTCCCAACGACGTCATTGTTTTTTCTCTGAACATTCCTCCCTTTCCTTTCCTCTCTGCCAACTCAATTGCTTCACTACGATGTCATGCAAAGACCACGCCATGTCCCCGATATATTCGGTCATCCTGCCAGTCTGCCCTCTTAAAATTTTCTAGTTTAATTAACGCTGGCCCTCCCCTCCCCTCCCCTCCTCAATGTACCTCCCCCTCCTTCGTACTACTTCTCGTCAGAGCTTCCCACCGCCAGTTACTACCTGGTCGTGTTCTAGCCGATTGGTCTGGCGCTCTGCTTCATCCTGCACGCATACGCATCCCCGCCGCAGTTGTCGATGTGGCTGTCGTTCTGCTAGTGGCTGCTCGTGTTCTTGTTGTCTTCATTCCCCCTCTTTCCCCTCTTCTTCGTTATCTTCTATTGCTAGACCGCTCTCTTCCTTATCCTCCTCCCCTTCCTTCTTAACACCATCCTCAATACCAGGACCATCTTATAGGAACTTCTCCTCCCTCTCATCCCCTCGTAAAAGATCATTCTCCACCACCATGAGCCAGACGCAGGAATACAAACTCAAATCCATAACCTCCCTCTCAGACCTGAAGGAACTCGATAAACTCGAGTCCGAGGTCGAGGGCATCGATGACGCGAAGATCCTCCTCGTCAAACATAACGGGCAGGTTCATGCCCTCAGCCATAAATGTACGCATTATGGGGCGCCGTTGAAGCTCGGCGTCGTTGCGCCGGATGGGAGGATTACTTGTCCTTGGCATGGTGGTATGTTCTTTCTCTTTTTCTTTCTTTTGGCTTTGGGGTTGGTTTTGTTTGTTTTGGGGTTGAGAAGAGTGGCTTTCTTTCGTGGTTTGGAGGGAGGGGGTGGTAGGGTATAGAGATCTTTGGGCTGGGGTGGTTTTGTTTAGATATGTGTATATGGTCTGACTAATATTTCTGTCTGAATAGCTTGCTTTAATGTCGGCACCGGTGATGTCGAAGACGCCCCCGCTCCGAACGCGTTGAATAAATTCGAAGTCGTGGAGAAGAACGGCGCGGTTTATGTCAAGGGCGAGGAATCGGTGATTAAGTCCGGGCAGAGAGATCCTGCTGTGAAATGCAGTGTTTCGTCGGCTGAGGCTGAGAAGGTTGTTGTCGTTGGAGGGTAAGTCTTATTATCTAAACCATCTCATATTAGGGTTTGATTTTCCTGGACTGTCTTGGATATCAGCTAACGATGGAACGTCTAGTGGCTCCGGAACCCTAGGTACCGTCCAGGCCCTCCGAGAGATGAAATACAAAGGCGCCATCACGGTCATCTCCCGCGAACCGAACCTCATCATCGATCGGACCAAGCTGTCCAAGGCTCTGATCCCCGACGCGGAGAAGATCCAGTGGCGTCCGCGGGAATGGTACCAGGAAGCTTCCATCGACATGGTCTCCGACGAGGTGACCGGCGTCGACTTTACCAAGAAGACCGTGGCCACCAAGTCCGGCACCAGCTATCCCTATACCAAGCTGGTTCTGGCCACGGGAGGTGTCCCGCGCGGTCTGCCCCTAGACGGGTTCAAGGATCTCGGTAACATCTTCCAGCTGCGGGACGTGACGCACGTGCAGTCCATCCTGGCAGCCGTCGGCGAGGAGAAGAACAAGAAGATCGTAGTCATCGGCAGCTCGTTTATCGGGATGGAAGTCGGCAACGCCCTCGCCAAGGAGAACGAGGTCACCATCGTCGGCCAGGAAAAGGCCCCCATGGAACGCGTCATGGGCGAAAAGGTCGGCCGCATCTTCCAGAACAACCTCGAGAAAGCCGGCGTGAAGTTCAAGCTTGAAGCCGGCGTCGCCAAAGCCACGCCCTCCAAGACTGACGCCGGTAAAGTCGGCGCCGTCCATCTGAACGACGGCTCCGTGCTGCCCGCCGACCTGGTCGTGCTCGGTGTCGGCGTGCGCCCGGCGACCGATTTCCTCCAGAACAACGCATCCGTGCAGCTCGAGAAAGACGGCTCCATCAAGACAGACGAGCACTTCGTCGTCCCGGGCCTGAACAACGACGTCTTCGCCATCGGCGACATCGCCACATACCCGTACCACGGACCCGGCACGGACCCCAAGACTGGCACATACACTCGCATCGAGCACTGGAACGTGGCCCAGAACGCGGGACGCGGCGTGGCGCGCGCCATCGTGCACAGTCAAGCCTCATCCTCCTCGCTGCAATCCCTCAAACCCAAAACCTTCATCCCGATCTTCTGGTCCGCGCTAGGCGCCCAGCTGCGGTATTGCGGTAACACGCCCAACGGCTGGGACGGGCTGGTGCTGCAGGGCGAGCCGGATAACGGCAAATTCGCCGCGTACTACACCAAGGGGGAAACAGTGGTGGCCGTGGCCACGATGGGCATGGACCCTGTCATGGCGCAGAGCGCGGAGCTGATGCGTCGGGGGAATATGCCGACGAAGTCGCAGATTGAGGGTGGATTGGACGTTCTTACAGTTGGTGTACCGAAGACGGTGAAGGTATAATTACCTATATAACCATATCGAAGAAGTAGTAGTGGGAAAATTTGTATATCCTGGTAGTAAGTAAGTAAGTAGGTAGGATCAGTTTATGACAATGATTTGACCTATATTAGATGTGTTTCTGGAATAGTGTAATCACGGGAATTGTAATGTCTTTACTATTTCCATTGGATGTATGGAAATTTCATGCAAGATTTCTATCTATACAGGGAGAATGATATTGGGTCTTTTCGGTGAACAAGCAGGTCCTCCTCCTCTGCCTCCTCCTCTGCCTCCTTCTGCTACTAGTGTAGACAGGCTGATCAGTCTCGACAACCAGATAAACTTACCCACATATCCATTCAACTAAAACACCTCAAGCTCCTCTCGAAGCCAAGCCAACTAGCCACCATAATGGCGACTCGAAAGGGGACCAAAGATCGCGTATATCCCTGGGGCATCTAGTGCAACCTAGTGTCTCTGGCTCGACCGCTTGTACATACGATGTCAAAGTTTGAAAGAGTCCTACTAGACCTGCGTAGCCATCTCTGGATAAAACAGTGGGTTCAAGATCCAGAGTCCAATGCGTTTTCTATCTATTCGATCACGAAAAAACGAGCTGTTTTGTCAATGTGAGCTCGAATTGAGATCAGATAATCGGTCTCGGGGTCCCATGGTGTATAGTCGATCTCATTTTGTTGGATCTTCATACAGAAGGGCAGGTAGTGGTCGACATGTAGCTATCCATGAATCGGATCAAGCAGAGTAAGCATCTCGACATCGAGAACTGTATCCGGATTGTATCCTGGTGGAACATGATAGTTGCCAAACCTGAGCTCTGAAACATTCGCTACAGATGGTGTATACGACTGGGTTGCAGATTGAGAACGCATTGAATGTTTTCAGGGTGAATTTGTTGAAGATGGTGAAGGTATAGATAGTGAAGGTATAGCAAGTGAATACGCATATCAAGCAGAGTTAATGGTATGAAATTTGTATTCCTGGTAGTTAGTTTGGCCAATGATACATAATGCATAAGAAAAAAACCAAAGCAGAAGAAATTATATGCAATGAAGATTTTTATTCTCCTCGTAACGCCATACATAATAGAGACAGACAGAGTTGGACAGAGTTGGACAGATAGACAATCGGAATATATAACATGGAAAGTGGAACCAAAAGAGTAAGCGTCTAGGAACAGTTAGAAAACATAAGAAGGAAACCCTATCTTCTAGGTCATTTCTTCTCTTTTTCCTTCTTCTTCGATTTGGACGATTTCGACTTCTTCTCCTTGTTCTCCTTGCTGCTGCTCTTCTTGACCGGGGATGCTTGTTCGGGCTCTTCAGCCTCAACCTCGACCTCTACCTCTGCTGCCGTCGAAGAGGACTCCGGAATCGCACCAGACATGGCGGTAGTGGTCTTCGGATCCGTCCGAATCGGCAAACTCGCCGACCTCCGCGGGGTGCCTGGAAACGAGGACACGACGCCATTGCGCTCGTCCTCGACAACCTGGGCCTCCTCTTCAGGAGTCAACATCGTGCCCTCGATGCTCATGAAGCCACGATCGCGCTCCGCGCCAGGAATCACGTCGACGTCAACGACACGGAAACGCACGGTGCCGCGCACCCGATGTCCGGAGACGGACTGGAAGTAGCCCTGCGCGGCGGCGGACTCGTCGGACTCAGCGGCCGTCGCGTCCGTGTCCAGGAGGGGGTTGGTGTCGGAGGCCAGCGTGATGGGCTTGAAGTGTTCCTTCTCGGGATCGAAGGTGGTCGAGGGTTCGGAGGAGGAAGAGTTGTTGTCGTCATTGTCGTTGTTCTGGGACTCAGTCTTGATGGAGTCGTCGCCGTTGGCTTTATCGTCTTGCCCTTCTTCATATTCACCGGGTGCAATCCACTTCCAATCGGATGGCAGTCTCTTGCGCTCGATACCCACGGAGAACAGGTTCAGGGCCACGGCGCCCAGGAATCCCTCGGACTGCACGTTGACCCAGCCTTCGAGGATCTGGCCGCGCTGGGGCCGGAACACCAGAAAGGTAGCGGTCAGGTAGACGTACAGGACGCCGTACTCGCCAGCCGTCTTCGCGAGGGTCAGAGGCTCCGGATTCGGATCGGACGCGGATCTGGAGGACTCGGCGGGGTCGGTGCTGGAGATCGTGGGGTTGGAGTAGGCCAGGACGACGCCCTTCAGGGGAGCATAGTAGGTGAGGATCAGCGGAGAGAGATGCTCCGCCATAAGAGACGCCAGCGCATGAGTCGGGGAGATCGAGATGGGAGAGAGAGGCAGATAGAGCGTCGCGGTGGTCAGGGTGTAGGGCGAATCGAGAGTAGACGCAGCGGCGGACTTGGACTTAGAAGACTTCTTGCTCTTGCTGCTGCTGTCTTTCGAGGATTTCTTGCTCTTCTTTTCGCGCGTGCTGGATTCGTCCGCGATCAAATTGTTGGCGTCATGCTTGCGCTTCTTCTTCGACGGTGACGATGAAGAAGCGTCCTTGTTCTTGTGTTTGCGCTTGCGTTCCTTCTCGGGCTCCTGGACGGAGTGAGACGTCGGGTTCGAATCGATTTCCATTTCGTCGACTGCCATTGTGTGTGATGTGTGGCGCAGATCAATGCGCCTTTCCTCCGAGGTTGTTAGAGATTCGATGGATTTTCCGATGTCGAGATCTTTTTTTTTTCTTTTCTTCTTTTTTTTTACTGTCCGCCGGGTGGAGAAGACGGGGAAGGCGGTGAACCGGGCGGTGGAGGGGGATCAGCACTCGCGAGAGACCAAATCGCGACTTTATAACCCTGAAAGAACACTAACATCGCGCTATCGCTATACATTCGTTTTCAGTTAGTGGAAGTCTGGCTGGGGGATTTCGATGGACTCGAACTCTTAGTTTCAATCATGTCGTCTATTCTTTCCTTTGTTGGATGGGCGGTGCTTCCCAACGTGAGTAGCTGACTCTCCGTGCGGAGCTTCTCCGGATAACATGATATCTTGTATGGATTGACTGACTTTCATGGCCATACAGTATGTCACCTCCCTAGTCCAAAGCGTATACTACGGACTTACCATTCGCGCGGGAGATCCTCGCCCTCAACCCCCCTCCCCGCGCTACGCGCGCCATCGCCGTCGCATCTTCGTCCTAGTCGTGACCGGCTACCTCCTCTACACTCTCTATGAGGCGTTCCACCGCATCCAAGTCGCCGGCGACTTCTACAAAGCCCTAGGCGTGTCTCCCCTCGCCGACGACCGTACAATCAAGTCGCGGTTCCGCCGACTCGCCGCACAGCATCACCCGGACAAGATCACCCAAGGCGAGGGCCTCCCCGCCGATAACTACTTCGTGTACTTGAAGTTGGCTCAGGATACGCTCTTGGATCCTGCCAAGCGGTTTGCGTATGACCGGTTCGGTCCTGATATTCTGGGCTGGGGCGATCGCAACAAAACGATGCAGGACTTTCTGATGACGGGGTTGCAGCGGTCTTTGTTGCCGTATGTCGGCGGGTTCGTCACGATAATCTTTTTGAATTTCACCTGGTGGGCTAGTTGGGGTCGTTATGTAAGTTCCTCTTTCGATACATGTGCCCTGATTTGTGTGTTCTTGTTATTAATGGGATGTCGGTTCCAGTGGCGCTTCTTTACCTTCGCGGCCCTGCTCACTCTCGAGCTGACTCTGATCACCCAACCGGGGGCCTTCTTCATCCCATCGACTTACATCCCGCCTGGTCTGCGCGATCTCCTCGGCATCTCCGCCGAGAACCCCAGCTTCTACCTGCTCCCGTTCCAGATCCTAACCCTCGCGCAACGCGCCTCGGTCACGCTACACATCTTCATCTCGCAGGTCACGCCTCCGGAAGTGAGCCAGAAACCCTCCGGTCCCAGTGATCGTCTCCACCCGCAGACGATGCAGCGGCTCGCGCAACTCCTGCAACTGTCGCGCACGACGGACGGCGAAGCCACGCGGCTCTTGCAGTTGGGGTTTGCGCCGTTCCGTGGCGATCGCGAGGGTGTGGCGACGCTGCGGAAGGGCATGAAAGAGGGGTTGGTGTTGAGTAGTGTCAGGGCTAGTCCTGGGGTTCAGGCGGCTGTTGGGGAGGTTGTTGAGCGGAAGATGAGGGAGAAGAAGGGTGAGTAGTTTATGGATTGGATTGCTGTTTGTTTGAAGATAGGATGGTTGGATAGCTAGTGTAGATATTTGGATATATGAAAATGGCCAATAGAACAGTTTATATGGTAACTTTTCCGGAGTAAGAGGATCAGACTATGAGCGCTTGGTTGTAGATGATTGAGATAATTGTATACTTCGTGCGATATCCTGATGGAAACGGGACACCCAAGATATACTTCTTTATAGCCGTCAGGAAGCCACACAATCCCCAAGTTCACTGCTCGCCTAAGTTCCATCGAGAGAAACTCCCTAACTATAAGCATCCCCGCTTTCTAATCTATTCAGAATATGAAATGCACGCATAGGAAAAGGTAATAAGGAGACAGCCCTAACTAGAGGCCATCCGACATCTCGTACCAGTGGTAGTAACAGTACAGTAATGTTACAAAATCATGTGACCAAAACTCTAAAAAACCACAGATTTCACATGACATCTCGGGTGTGGTTCAGTCAGACAATAACAGAATTTGTATGCAATCCAACAAACAAACGCAATTCCCCCCGCCAAAAAGAGGGCAGAATGTACGAAATCTACGCAAAGGGCGAACATATCTACCAGCTATCTAGCTCTTCTTCCAGAATTCGATTATCGGCTTTATTGCGGGTCCAGGACCCGATTCAGTTCCGGCTGGCGGCCTTTCCTATGTTTTGGTGAGGGCGAGTCTCGAGATGACGGTCGGCGCTGACGGCCAAAGTCAGGTGCCTGCAAGCGGGAGTGTCATGTGACCAAAAGTATAAAAACCATAGATTTTGTCTGGCTTTCTGGGTGTGGTTCAGCCAGACAATAACAATATTTGTATGGGCCAAAATAGTAAAATGCGTTTATCCTTCTTAAAAAGAGTGAGATCTTTACTAAACTGAGGAGACTTGTGCACAAGTCCAGTGCCTATCTATTCCTCGGATATTGGAACGTTATCGCCTTTTCGGCGGCTGTGAGAGTTGATTTACATACAGCAGCGCGCTTTACGCCCATTTCGTGAGATCGAGGTCTGAACGGGTCAGATCGGCTGAAAGCGGTCAGCATGGGGTTGGCGGTCAGGTTGGTCTGAGCCTCGTTCTGCCGATCGCTGTCCGGGTGCGGAGTGACTATCCCGCCGAGACACGGCGCTCTATAGACTGACCTACTCCACTCCTGTCTGATGCATACACGAAGACTTCTTGAGATTCTGGCTACGGAGGCTACGTCTATCGCCTTTTTACCTAGCTGGCAGCAAATGTCTCGCGTAGGATGTGTCTAGCACCAATTCTGTTTCACGGCAGACTACTAACGGATGACAATAGGATGCTCGAGAACTGGATTTCGAGAGGTGTGCTAGACTACCACACTGGAGAGGAATAGTGAAAGACTCAACATGATCCAGGCAGATTTGCTTCACCAAGGTCAAGTTGTGAATTTAGCAGGACACGACCAAGTCCGTATGCTTAGGGAATATCAAGTCGTGAATTCAGTATCCGTGTGAATATACGAAGCAAGTCACTTACCTATCTTTCATAGCCAGAGGAGTAGAATTTCCATTACATTGTCCTTCTTACAACCTTCAGTTTCTTAAATCCCAATGTCCCAGAATCTCTAGATTGCAGCATCGATATAGCGTTTCGCTCGGTCACTCAGGGGACCTGGACTGGCTATATTGGCCAATGCCGGGCCTGTCACTGCGTTGAGCAGTTCTATATTGGGTTGGGACTCAAACTCATGGTAGTCCCAAGCACCAACCTCAATCGGCTTGTTACTCGGTCAAGTAACGGCCGAGAGGGCGAATGCTCTCATCAGTTCCTAGAATTGGCGGCAGCAAACTTCTCGTACCAACTTTTGTGAGTTAAATCAATCTTACTAAAATTTCCGGAAATTAACAACCGCAGTTCTGCCAACAACCATGGTTCTATGGACCGAGGCCGAGATCCAAAGACGCATCGCGCCTCTATATAGAACCGGCTTACATCCGCATCTGTACTCCATGTCTCAAATAGTGGCGTAAAGCGATAGATCTACGCAGCAAAGAACATACATACCAGAATCGGAAAGCTGCGGGAGAAATAGCTCTAGTCTGTCCATTCTAAAACCATCAATCATGATTACCCCCAATTGAGGAAAACGCCCAGTGTTCCTCTCGCTTTGCTGGGCCTTTCAGCCAAAGTTGTCAAGAACAGAAGAATGAATTTTTGCACCCGGTGTACGGAATAACCGCAATTGGGCGAGATGCGCGTTTCTAAGGGTGTATAGAAGTATAAGGCATCCCCCTGGTCAGAGGCACAGTTTCTGCGTCTGCGGACATGGGAGGACTACCTTGCCATAGAGCGCGAAAATCAACGCCTCATCCGCACGGATGTGGGCTGGGCAAAACCGTGACCGGGCTGGCGCTTTTGAAGTTTGCGGCCCAGGAGCAGCAGGCGGGCTGCTACAAACCTTTCAAGAGTCAGATATCAATCGTCTCCGTGCTGAGCTAGCTACTGCCAGACAAGACCTGGATCGTCTTCACTGGATCAGAAATCAGAGCTTTATGCCGAATTTCAACCGCCATGAAGAGTCCCAAGCCGAGAAACATGAACAAGCACGATTGAATAGCCCTGATTTGTTGGAACGGGCAATGCAGACGCCATGGTGGCACAGCACAGATATTGCATATGAACCTCCCGATTGTGACAATTTACAACGAGGCAGAGAACCTCCTCGAATATGAGGTACATTCTAGTCGCATAGTGGCCATAAAGATGCGGATCCCCACGATAGGCAGCGTGCCCCCTTTGATACGACTGTCGGACCAGCACGAATGTTCACAACATGCATTTTTCACGACAAGTAGAGTGTCGATGAAAGACGTCACGTTCTATAGGAGCACCTCAAAGACGATGGGTCTTTTAAAATACTAAGCACGCGGGTGTGGACCTTGGGAAGTCAAGCTTCATGATCTGTTATGAACATCATTATCCCGGGCCAAAGGCAAAAACCTTCACAATCGTTGCGGGATTTTGCGATGAGAAGGCAAAAACTTCATCTCCCTCCTTTACTGGTGTTTTCATCAATGGAGTGCAGGGAATATCGCGCCTAAAGACGGGATTATCTCTGGACCTGCTAAGGCTAAGAGACGAGTCAAACAATCGAAACACTGATCCAGGTGCGTCCAATATAGCACTCACCTGTGGATAATTCTTGGGTTGTGAAAGAATTGCACAAGGAGTGCCTCCGCATGCTCCGCCAAAACTTGTTCAATCGTTTGAAGATTCTTCGAGTCAGAGTACTTTGACTTCGGAGAAGAAATAAATCTAGCTGGACTAGATTTGCATCAAAACAATCATTATCAAAAGCCATGTCCGTCCGGAATCTCAGCAGGCTAGGCTACTGAATTAGCAGCAAGGCCAACGGTAATCTGCGGTATAGACAAGCCCTTTCTCATCTTAAGTACCCAAGTTATCCGAGTATGGGTGTTATCTTTTGTTCTATAGAAACATGTCCATACTAATGAGTTTTAGCACTACGATATCCCCGTCAGCAAGCCGAAGAAGAAATGCTCTCCCTTGCTAGTTGAACTCCTCTAGAGTGGCTTCGAAACAATTGAAAATGCAATCAAACGCAAAGGAGAACGGAGAAAGAGAGGTCAACAACCTGCCCTTGACTGTCGCCAGAGCAAGTGGTGCGAATGGGTCGTGGTCACTGAGAATGGAAAGCCCCCAGAGAAGTCAAACAAATGCATCTACAAGCGAAGGCCATATCAATGGCATATGGGATGCTACCTTGAATTGACCAGGCCTCTTCAGCAAAGATTTATGAGTACCATCGACACAATCATCTATAAGATGTGTGACCTGTAGGATAATATGCTTGGTAACAACCAAATACTGATAAACCATCGTGGCTCGTGCTGTTTGCCGACATGCTTCTATAGCTTCCGCAAGCCTGCTACTATCCACTCGATAAACAGAGCCCACTACATCCCAAGCATTACAGTTCGACATGATTCTCTAAGTTCAACCCTTGAGGTTTGTCTCAAACAAGCTGCAAGGCATCTAATGGAAATAGTTCAAGCGACTGGCCACACTCCTAGTGGCTACTCCATTCTATTGCCTAGAAACTCCGCATGGGCTTACCTCAGGCAATGTTTTCGACACAATGGTAGAACAGAGCAACCTTGTTCGCAAATTTACCGCTCCGCTCGAGGTTGACGATCATTGTCCGCCTGGCCTGGCATTGGGACAGGACCAACAGGTCCCGTCGACCGCGACTCAAGCACTGAGGGACCATGACAATATGAACACAACCAGTTATGTACTCCACTCAGTCGTAGCCCTTTCATTCTTGCTGCTTGAATACCGCTTTTTCACAGACCATGCCAAATGTCAAGTGACGCAAAGCAAGATGAGACCAAAATGCAGTGGTTTCAGCATACATGCCTGTCATATATGACCATGCTACCTTCATTGTAATAGTGCAAGCGACTATCAAGTCGCCACATTACCTCTCCATTTCATACACACGAACAATTGGGTGGTGCTCGTTCTGCAACAAACTATATGGGAGCTTGATAGTCAATTTGATGGAAGAGTCTGGGGTATACCATGGTCGATTGATTAGTCCAACTAGGGAAGTAATAGACGGTAGCATGTATGCTTTATCATCAATTTTGTGGCTTCTGATTTCGCGTTCATCGATTCAGGGTATTGATTTTCCTTACTCCGAAGACCCAGCAGTAAAGCAATGTAGATATCCATGGTCTATCAAGTTAATCATTAGCCCGGAACCTTTCTGATGCCAAATGAACCATGTCTACATAGCAGTGCACTCTTCTTGAATATAAAGTTTACTGCGTAGAGAACAGTCGACTGTTGAATGTTGACTGTTCGAGAAACCTCATATGGAGGCTATTGCACTAGAATGCCTTAGTATACTCACATACGTACCAGCTCACAAGTCCACCTCGGTCATACTCAATGGTAGATCACTGGAACTACTCTCCGTCGTCATGATCCACACGTCCGCTATTCGACATCCACATTGGCATCCGGTTAAGGTGCTTCTATGGCTTGACAGAGTCCTTCTCTCTTGAAAGAACCTTGACGGTAGGGCTCTTTGCCCAGTCCATGCGATCAAAGGGAAGCCAATCCGATATTCTGATAGCAACGGGAAGAGACTCCGAGGGAGCTCGGCTTGGTTCGGTTCGGTTTGGCATGTGGTTAGATACCTCTATTCCCTTGTTGTAATCGAGTCAAGACAGACGATGTCTCTCATCAGACTGCGATACGAAGGTATCTTGAGGGAGTTAGATCAATTCTGTATAGGAATTTCCAGAGCTGGTGCCCATTGAGGCGATGACGCTATGTCTTCTTTCGACGTTCATTACTCGTTGCCACGTCGCCCTGGCGCTTCTGCTTAATTCGCTCGTGGGAGATCAGAACGTGCGAATTGAGGATTAGGTATCAAGGCTCTTCATCGACGTCTTGCAAATGCCCAGTCTGTTTCATGACACAGTGCAAGTGGGTAGGTACAACCTTGACAAAGGGCAAGATATTTATTTCATCGTGCGGAGACACACGAGAGGAGCTGTCTTCGGAAGGACAGGGGAAATAAGTCAGATCTTGGCTGGAGGTTGCTGGGGAGGCGGTAAGCGGGTCAGGCGAGTTGCCTGAAGGGTGATACTTTTTGAGTTCCTCTGGAGTGATCTGGATGAACATGGATGACCTGATCGGGTGCTATATTTCAATTACTTGTTGATGTTTAATTCTTTGTCTAGTAGGTAATAGTATGTACTGAATAGTAAAGAATTTAGTCTAGTGTGTCGAGTACCAAGTTGGTTTCATGGTCCGTCCGTTTGCAAGCGAACAGAAGGATCTGGGATGGAAATTATTTATTATTTTCATGTTTAGTTTACTGAGCGTCGAAAACCAAAAAGACCGGTCGACGAGCCAGTGCATCCCAAGGGAAGCAGAAACAGAACGGTGGATAAACCGGGTCAGTCGGGTTGAATTTTCGAATAGGTGCGCCTTTTTTTCCCCCATCGTCCCGGTCCATGCGTCAATTGCGTTCCGACTGTGGCGAGCCGGATTTCTTGGGTCGTGGAATCGTGATTATTGATTGTCCGCCGGTCGATCTGTTAGTCGAGCCAGGGCGTCAAGCGGTTTGATTTGCAGGTGTGTTCCTTGAGGTTAGTTCAAATAGAGAGAAAAAAAATAGACAAAAAAAATAAAAAGAGACAGGCCAACTCTTCTGATTGTGCCCGGCACTCCAATCAGTTCCAAAGAAAGAATGATTGTCTATCCACATGATGCTGGTGGGAGATCGTGACCCTCTGGTAAGTTAGTTCGTAGCAGGGAGACGCAGTGGAAAGGCAGTCCAGGCTTTCAGCCCGTAAGAGTCAATACGAGAAGAAAAGTAGAAAAATCATCCGATGGAGCTGGAATGGATCCTCCCGTAATTAATTGGGCCTGATCGCTGCGAATGAACGCCGGACGGAAGCGGTGGAAAGGCTGGTTGAATGCGGAGGCCTGGTAAAGGTATGCAGATGGGGAGAATGGGGAGAAGAGCAATGAACGGAAGATCAATTCGAGATATTAATCTTGGAGGATATTGTCAGAGGCCTTGGAGATGATCCAAGTACATCAGATGAGAATGGATAGAATGTGAACAAAAGAGAGATTGATGTAAATGTACTCCGTAGATGAGGTTCAACAGGACTGGCTGACTCATCCACTTGCCTGTTTGGGGACAGTAATCAGTCCTGGCCGTAACGCCGAGCCGTACCTGCTGCGTACGATACCTGTACGCTACCGTAACAGAAATACCAGGATCTCCCTGATCGTCTCTATCGAGCATCGAGAATACTTGTAAATTTGGTCACCTACACGTACCAGATGACGTCCGCGTTGACTGCTCTCACGCGTAAAGCTGAAAAAAAAAGACAAAAAACCCTCGGTACCGGACGCGTACCTTACAGCCCCCCCGTCTCTACCTTAGGGAAGGTCTCTTCCCTTTCTCTTGCAAATCCGCTGGGCTGCACCACAGTCTGCCGCCGCAGAACAAAGTCTGAGTCTAGTAGTAGACGAGATGAACACACCAACAATAATGAAACCACATCTTTATCCCTTCCATCCCCCCGGCCTTGCCGTCTCGCACTCCTCTCCTTTTCTTCCTCTCTCCCATCCCCCCTTCCCTCTCTCTTCCATCCCGACTCATTCTCACCACCTTCCCTCTCATCTTCAGCTTCTACTCCACCACCCCCGGACTATGTCATTTCGGCCTCATTTCTCCTATCGTCAACAAGCCTCGCCGTGACCGTGACTACCGACTTGCCGCTCACCTGTCGCCTTTCTGGTTCGGAACCACGCAACCCCATCGCAACCAATCTTCCACCGTGCTTCGTCACACACGCTCCCCTCCCCTCCCCCGGTGTCCGTCTCCCTTTTTAAACCTATTTCAACACTACGACCCCCGACCTGCCTCAGAAAAAAAACACTGCCACTTTGCGCAGGGGACGGCTTCCACCACTTATTAGTCCAACACCCCCAGGGAAGGAATTCTTCACCGGCTCAGTGAATAGCCTTCTCTCCAGCGACAGCACTGCATCTCTCCTACAAGTCGTTGCCAAACGCAAACCACTAGGCCGTCAACGTCATGCCTGCCTCTAGCTCTGCTACGTCGTCGGCCACCAACGGTCGCTCTAGTCGATCGGGGGCCTCCAAAGGGGTCCTGGTCCTCAAATTGTCTCCCGAAGCGTTGAGCCAGTTTGCCACGCCGCCTCCCGAACCCAAGGACAAGAAGTCCAGGAAGAACAGCACTCCTAAGATCCAGGAGCCCGTTGCCGAAACCCCCGTCAAGGAGAAGGAAGCTTCTCCCGCCTCGTCTTTCGCCGAGGCTCCGATCCCTCCATCTTCTGTGGACAACGCGTCCGATGCCGCCTCTACACCAGCGGCCGCTACGTCGGCTGCCGACACTCCTCGCCGCAAAGGCATGCCGGGCCCCAAACCGGGTAGTAAGAGAGGCCTGAACCAGACGGCCGAGACGCAACCCAAGCCGAGAGGCAAGCCGGGTCCCAAGAAGAAGCCCCGACTGTACGTTCAAATCTTTCTATTGTCTCCATTCACGGAATCACTCATACTAACTTATTGTCTTGTAGTGACGACGGCACCGTCGACCACGTGAAACTAGCGGCAAGCCACCGACTCGGACCCAAGGCCAACACCGGTGCCATCAACGCCGGTCTTCGTGCCCTGGATCGTACCGGGGCTCCCTGTCGCAAGTGGGAGCGAAAGCCTCTTCAATTGAAGAGCTTCACGGGTGTAAATTGGAACCTGTCCAGCTGGCGCACCCCTCGGCCTCAAGTCTCGGAAACGAACGGCGAGATCAAGGAGGGTGTCCTCGAGACGGGTGACAGCGACAGCAAGGCCAACCAGAGTGCCAGCGGAGTTCCCAGCGAGAAGAGCAATTCAGGCGACGGGGACCTCACGCCGGTTCCTCCCAACCTTACTGAAGCCTCCTCGCCTGCGCCTGCCATGGCCATGGCTGCGTAGGCCATTGACCTACGTCCACCATTTGCATCTCTACATTCTTTCTGTACATTATCTTTTTGACTCCGATTTTTCATACCTTGCCGCCCTGTTGTTTTTATTTGTGTTTTCCTTTCCATCTATTGGGCAGATACTGGAGCGTTTCTTGTTCTCTTTTTGTCGTCTGGGGTTGTATTTTTTTTTTTTTGCCGGTCTGGAGTTTACGGTCAATATTTTGTAATTGGTCTATCTATTGTCGAGGGACTGGCCTAGCGGTCCAGTTTGAAAGAGTGGAAAAAGATCGTTGTCCCGTTCATTCACCACAAGGACGTTTCATCTTACTTTTCTCCCTACGAACCTGCTTGGTTCCTTTGTTCTTCACGTTCTCCCTCTTTCTTATCTTACCTTTGCTCTAATTGTTATCTACGAATAAGTTATGTACCACTAGGGTTGTGAAAACATTGGATTTGGTATCCCTTTCAACGCAGCATCTGTCAGTTCCAGTCGGTGTTATGATAGGGATGGGGAAGGAGGAAAAAGGCATGCGGTAGATAGATAGAAAACAGATGGAACCACAGATGGGGATCTACCTGGACCAAAGCATGAGAGGATTTAGTATATGTTTTATTCTATGTGATCGGAACTGGATCCTTTGTATTTTGCAAATTTGACAGCAGGGATGATGGATGGCGGGGATTGATTCGTTACTTGGTACATTCTGAGTATATATTTGTTCCGGGCTCATACGCTCGTCACCGTTTGGAGGGACCGGGATGATGAAGTCATGGCGAGAGGGGTTCGAAGACTGATCGGATAGTTGCATCTGAAGGAGAAGGAAGAGGGGTCAAGGCCAGACATGCAAGGAATTCATTGTCCTGAGTATTGAGTACCTACTGAGTAGCAATTGAGCGTTACGTACGGCCGGCTCATCTTCAGGCCCAAAGCGCCCGAATCCCGTGCTTTCTCTTTCTTCCCCCCCGCAGCATTCCTTGTCAGGCCAGTCATTCATTCATTCATTCCTATTGTTTCTTGTCGGGTGATTCTTGCCGTCTCGTTCTCCTCGACTCTACTTTTTTTCTCCTCCCCTCCCCACAATTTCTGTCAGATTTACCGTATTGGAGGATCTCCCTGTAGTGTTGGAGTTCTGCTTTCCCCGACCTGTCACACAGACCAAACGCAGGCTATCGGGTCTATGCTGGTTCCCTGATTCTGTTGGATCAAGACCGTCGTCCAGAACCCCCTTTTACTGAGCGAATCTTGTTCTGATTGAGTCCCGTTGTCTGCCTCCTGTACATGGACACAGAAGAAAGATACTCCAAGGCCTTGACATTGACGCCGTGGGTGACTTGTTGCTACTACGCCGGTGCTCCACTCTCCGTTTATGGAAAGCCGTGACCTTCCATAGGAACACTGCGCAAGATCGTACAGAAACACGACATTGAACCCGCTCCGGGACCTCGACCAGCCCAGTGGACAAGTGCGTGAGATTATCCGAGGCAAATGGTGGTGTCTTGACCGGACCGTTGTCGAGTAAAGCACCCGAGCAGCTCGCGTGAGAGGGGGAGAAAGCGCGATAGAAGAGAGAGCGCCAATTCTTATGCCCATCGAACTAAGAGGGAGTACCCGCCGCCGCCCCGTTCGTTGGCTCCAAGACCCGCGAACGATTCCCCTATGGATGCACCTTTCCCCCCCTCCGATGGAGCTCGAGCTCCTCTAACCTCATCTTCCGGCCCAACAAGTATCTCTTCTCTTCCCCGTCGCTCATCTTACGCCTCCGTCCTGTCCGGCACCGCACTGTCGCCCCCGAGCAACGACTACTCGCATCTCTTGCCCTCCACCTCCACCTCTTCCTATCCCCCACCCTTTCATCCCGAAGGCCGCCTGCTGAGGCACTCGGCCGCCGTGGATGCAGACATGCAGATGAACAACTCCTCCTGGAGGACGTCACCCGGCGATTCCCTCCCTCCTTACTCTCGCAAATACGCCGACTTCTCTCGTTCCGATCTTTTATTTCAAAACCCGGGCGGGCTCTCCGATCCCGTCGCCCCGTTCTTCACGCCCTCCTACCTCCGCAACTCCCGCTACATCTCCCGCCTCGATGCCGCCCGAAGAGCCAAACAGGCATCCCAACGAGATGCCCTCTGCTCCGCTTCGACCCCTAATAATCCTCTCTCCACATCCTCCAGCCAGGCCAGCCTACCTCGGATAACGCCCTCCCACCGCGGGATGACGTATGATATCATCGAGAGGGAGCCGCCCGGTGACGACGATCATCTCTTGCCTCTGCCATCTCGCTGGAGTGATGGCGATAAATATGCCGGTCTGGAACTGACAAATGGGGGGCTGGAGGTCCGGTACACGGGGCCTGTCAACAAGCACGAGCACGAAGCCGCCGCCGTACGTGCAGATAATCCAATGCCTCCGCAGTGTGGCATCTACTATTTCGAGATAACGATTCTCTCGAAGCCTAAAGAAGGGTATGTTCATATGATACAATGATTCCAGGTCTCAAAGCAAGGCGGGGAAAGGGAAAGTATTAGCATGCTAACTACCACAGAATGATCGGCATCGGGTTTTCGAGTACAAAAGCGTCGGTTGAACGACTCCCCGGGTGGGAGCAAGAATCGTGGGCTTATCACGGCGATGATGGTAAATCATTTTTTGGCGAAAGCCAAGGACAAGGAAAACAATACGGTCCTACCTTCGGTCAAAACGATACCGTGGGCTGCGGAGTGAACTTCGCGACGGGATGTGCTTTCTTCACCAAGAACGGCGTCTTTCTCGGTATGTACAAAGCTCTTGAAATTTCTGTATTGACATAGGGCTTACTGGGTTAATTTTCTCAGGCAACGCTTTCCGGGAGTTGCAAAACGTCAAGGTGTACCCGTCGGTGGGCATGAAGAAGCAACCCCCCGTTCATCTGGCTGCAAACTTCGGCCAGCAACCCTTCATGTTTGATATCGATGGAATGGTCAAGGTACGTTTAAAGAAACTTCTTTTATGCCATCCATGGGCTAAACGGGTCTCTAGGAAGAGAAATCCTCGGTCTACTCAGATATCCGGGCCACCAACACTGCCAACCTTCAGCCACCTTTAGACGAATCTGCTTTACTTCAAGAGCTCGTTGCACAGTTCCTGGCTCATGACGGTTACGTGGAAACGGCCCGGGCTTTTGCCGAGGAGGTTGCGTCGGAGTCGGCCGCTTTGGAGAACGGTCGCCAGGAGCCGCTCAAGAAGTATGAGGTGGAGGAGGACATCGAAGCGGTCAATCGACAGAGTAAGTATTCTGATACTGTTACTCGATGTCTCGGGCTTGACTAACTGTATGGGCAGAAATACGAGCGGCTATACTGGACGGGGATATCGACAAGGCCTTGAAGTATACCAACGCCTATTACGCGAATGTTCTGCAGACATTCCCCCATATTCACTTTAGATTACGGTGCCGGAAATTCTTGGAGATGATGCGACGCTGCCACGAGCTGTCCCTTGCGGCGTCCAAGAAGGCCAAGGCGTCCAACGGACTACATGACAGCAGCGCCATCCTGGACGAAGAGATGGAGCTCGACGAGCAGAACGGAGATGGCTGGGAGGCGGACGGAATGGACATGGAGGAACCGGAGCAAACCGCCAAATCCAACATCCTTCTCACCGAAGCGGTTCAATACGGGCAGCAGCTGCGCTTGGACTACCTGAACGACGAGCGTGGAGGCGACAAGAAGATGCTGGATGACATCTTCTCATTGGTGGCATATCCAGACCCGAAACGGTCGGTGCATGGGCATTACCTCGACCCTGCCGGACGGATTGCGGTTGCAGAGGAGTTGAACTCGGCCATTTTAGGTAGGTCTTTTCTCTTTCCCGGTCGGCCTTGGCGTTAGGAGAGATATTTGAACGGGTAGAAACTAACATCTGACAGTGTCTTTGGGCAAATCTTCATCGGCTGCTCTGGAGCGGCTATACCAGCAGACCGAAGTGTTGGTTACCGAGATTAGCGAAGAGGGCGGCGCCGGGGCGTTTATCAACGTGCGAAATGATTTTTTGCTTTGATCTCTTCACTCGCATACCGGGCAGAGATGGAATTGTTTACTATTGTTTATTTACTTTTTCTCGGGCGGACCTGGCATCTTGAAGACTGACTCGAACGACCATTCGTTCCACTTTTCGTTTCCCAACTCATTTATGTATCCCTTGATTCCGAGGCCCTTTGTCCGTTCTTATCATCACCACTCAGAGGTACAGGTTCGGTGGTTATGAACCGGTAATATAGTCCCCCATGTCATGAGTCGACGCTTCTTTGTTTTTTTCCGCTTCAGTCTATTTTCAACGCTTGTATTCTTTTTGCCGAGGGGCGGACAATGGACAGCGGACATAAGGCCTGTCAGCGAATCGATATGATGCATCTGCAGGGGGCGCAGGAGATATTGGGCGTCAATGCGAGGTGACGATCCTGGACGCGAGCAATGCGCTGTGCAGAAGTCATTGTTCCCTGGGATTAACCTGAGGATTTAATATGTGGGACATAGGAGTTAAGAATACAATCTATGCTATGAGTTTGAAGTGATCTGTATCGGAGTATGGTGTATGTATGTCTTGCAGTGGAGAGGAACGCTGAAGAGACACCTCAGGCATGAACTGCGTCATATGCTGGATGTATTGCATGTATGGATGATACCACAATACCGGCGGGAGTGGCGGTCACGGACGCTGACAAAACGAGGCGGTGACCGTACGGCGGTCTCTGGAGGCGGCAGGCACGACCGTCGGTCTTTCTTTCTTTTCCTTTTCCTTCTCGATTTCGAAGGTGGAGATGAGAGAGATTCCTGGGCCGATCTCTCCGTCTCTCTCTCTTTCTTTCTTTCGTTTTCTTCTTGCTCTGTCATCGGTGGTGAACTTCGTCTACAACTCACTCCCGACTCCACCTACCCTGTTTCATCACTTTCTAGCTCGATGATCTGGCGCCTCCACCCCCCAGCTCACTGCTCCGTCAAGGGGTGCCAGCACATTATTCTCGCTCGTGCGAAAGGGAAAGGCCGCATTCTACTGACCAGCCATGGATTCCTCCCGTCCACATAGTTCGGACCTGGCTAGTGAGGTTCCCTGCATTCCTACCCACTCGGCCACCACTCCGACGGCCCTCCGCTGCTGTTGTGGCCGTGATGATTGCGCATTCCTTCACCACAATAATGTCGCCTTGGAGGGGCTGGAAAAGGACCTTGCGACTGCTGCTAGATTAGGTCAGGTACGTATTAGGCCTCTCATTCTTTGTGCCTGATGATCCATACCGTCCCGTCGTCATTGCCCATACTTGAGCGGGGTTGTGCCTGTTGGCCTCGAGCTCGTTTGTAGATAGATTCCTGCCTTTCCTTTCCCTTCTCTTTATTCCTTGTATACATCTATCCATTTCGGTGGGGCTTGTGCTTCCCTGGTTGTTTACTTCCTCTGTTTACGCTCTGGAATTTGCATATTACCCTTTTCGTCACACTCGGTCCCAAACCGGATGAAGAACAAACAATGCATTCGAGTACTCTATCAACTTCCACCTCACCTCCGATGGCGACGGCAAAGATCGGGTCTCCTATCATATCCCACTGCGTTATAGTCCGTCATGGCTGCCTCCCATGAGAAAGCTGCCTCGGCGGCCGTCGACATGAGCTCGTCATCGCTAACCTTTGCGCTGCAGGCTTTACTTCATCGCCATGAATCCTACATGGCCGAGGCCGAGGAGGACCGTCATCGGTTACTCGCCAACATCGAAAATCTCGAACGCGAAAAGCGGCTGGCCCAGGCTGAGAACGCGCGCATTATCGAGGAGAACCGTGGTCTACTGGAACAGCTGGACGGTTTAAACCAGGCTGTCGCGGATTCGGATTCCCATGCTAAATCGCTGGCCGTCAGCTTGGAGAACGCCGAGGCCGAGCTTCGCAAATTAACAGCGTCGGCTGCGCGTGCGGCCGACCTCGAAGCGCAGCTGGCTCACATGGAGGCAGAACAGGTTAAACTGCAAGAAAGCCTGCTGTCTGCCCAGGAAGACTCCAAGTCGGCGGTGCAACGCTGGAAGAACGCCGAGTGTACCCTGCGGGACCTGCATGATCAGGTCGATCGGATCGAAAAGGAAGCCCGCGAAGAACGCGAGCGTCATTCGGATTTGGTCCAGCGCATGGAGCGGAGACGGGCCGTGGAACGAGAACTTGACGGCGCCGCCGGACGGCTAAAGGGAGCCGCGGCGGCGCAAGAGTTGGGGCGTGAACACGGCGGAACTGTGGTGTCGCGCTTCGTTCGGGATATATTACAGGACAATGCCAACCTGCAAATGGGGATCGTGGAGTTACGGGAAATGCTCGAGAGTTCAAACCAGGAGGTGCAAAGTCTGCGGGATCAGATTCTGTCACACCAGCCGCTGGCATCGACAACCGAGGGCGAGGTTGGGCAGGGACCCCCACAGCTTGCAACGACTCTGAGTCAGGAACTCGAGTCGAAAGAACCGCGCCGAGTGTCGCAGGAGTTTCACATCCACCATCATTACCATACGCCACCGGTGTCAGCCAGTTCGAAGAAAGACAAGGCCACGCTCTTCCGTCGCTCGAAGAAGAGACGCTCTCTGGGCAGTCCTTCGGTCTTGCATTCGGCTTCTGGCACGCAGCTGGCCCGCAAGTCCACGCATCGATCTCAGTCTTCCACGTCCTCCACATCTACTATCTTATCTCAAACTTCAGTCTCTATTCCTCCCGGGTCCTCACATCGGTGGTCATTGCAATCGCCCACGGCCGATTCGCTGGCGAGTTCGCCGCAGTCGGCGTATCGAACATCGTCTATCTTCGACCGGGTGGACCGCGGCTTCTCGTCCCAAGCCACAAGTCCCGACAGTACTATCCTCCTATCTCCTCTCCGAAATTACGGCGGCAAGAACGGTCCGTTCGATGCGGGGTCTCGCCCGCTGGATGAACCAGATGGGCTCGACGGTCGTGGCGATGATCACCTGGAGGACGACCTTTTCAACGAGTACAGCCTAGATCTCGGCGACAGGGCGCCGCTTGAACCTATCATCCCAGAGGAACGGGAAGACTCTTCGTCGTCGGTGCATTATGCGGGATCTGAACGGGCTGGTTCGCCAGCCATCCCAGACGAAGCCTTCTCCACACCTTATCGATCCCATCGCCGGGCCGCGTCTCACGAAAGTCTCTTCTCGGTGGCAGGAATGGACATTCACACCCCTAGTCGCCGCCCGTCACGCCTGAGCGAGCTGCCCTCCGCCACATTACCTGTGCACATGACACGCCGAATCATGTCGTATGGGACCGACCGCTTCTCCACCACTCCGGTGACCGCAACCACCACCGTCACTGCCGGTCGCGAGCCCTCCAGGAGCTCAGAGCAGTCTCCCCAGACGTTACTGGCTTCTGTTGCTGCCAGCGGAAACCCAGTTCCGGAAGCCCGACCTGCGTCCATGGACGTTGTTCGTCCCCAGTCCACCGCCCCTATACCTGCTCGGAAAATATCACTCAGTCGCCGTGTGGGCGGTTGGGTCCGGGGGCGCTGGGGCACCGCCGCCGTGGCGACTGACGGATCCTTAGAGCCCCATGCAGAAGAGGAAACAACGTCTTGCGCTTCGTCCATGCGCTCGGGGTCCTCCAATCCGTCTATCAGCAGTAAAACATCGAACCTCAAAGCCGAGTCGGTTCCGAGTTTGCGGTTCCGGTATCCAGGGGTCAACCAAAAGGGCCCGATCATGGGATTCCGACCTTCTCCGCGAGCGCCATCTGCTATACACGCCCAACAGATTGACGAAAATCTGTTGAGGGAGAGTCTAGCCGAATGATCCTGCTCACAATACCTGTCATGTACCTTGTGTATACGTGGCTCCCACTATGTTACTTTGCCCATCCTTTTCTTTGTACTTATTATATACTTGCACTGAGCCGTGCCATCTTGTCCATCCTTTATATATCTCCTACTGTCTTGCCTTTTGCATGTGATGCATAGCGATTCCATCACAAGGCGTCTTTGTTTATAGATCAATTTTGAACCTGATACCCCACCGGACCTTATTCTTGAGAGGAATTTGTTGCTAGCCATTCTATCTAACCAGAGAACGAGATGCAGAAGGGTTGACTCGCTAGAAGTGGTAGCGTGGCCAACAGATAGAAAGCCTACGTCAGATTCCTGTCCTTTAAAATGCATGATAATTTTTACTTTGCAACATCCGGGCAACAGCCAGCAAATAGATAAGCATGTTGGCTCTTTATTCATTACCAAGAGTTCTATTACTTTGTCTCTGTAATCCGATACATCTGAATAGGCACATCTGTCGAATGAAAGAACCCCGTCTGTTGCTCCCTGGACGGCGATTCAAACGATACTTGCTCCGCTGTGAACGAATTCTCTTCTACACCCATGCAAGTAAGCTTCGACCCGACAGAGGAGAAGAAAGTGGAAGGGAAAGAAAGGAAGAAAGAAAGGGGAAAGAGATGAGAACATACCACAAGCGCGCAAAAACGTCCCAAACGTCTCCTGATTCCGCAATGTCGCTGCGATCACGAATTCCTTGATTCCGTGGTTTTGGAACAGGTCGTGGACTGTGGAGATTAGGAGGGGGATTAGGTCTGTGTCGTAAATCTGGGAGTTGATGGGTTAGTAAGTACGTGGGTAGGTAGGTTTGCGCGTGAGATCGGGTCTTGTGGTTTAGTTTATAGGTTGTAGATGTATCTAGGTGTCCTTTACCCAACATCCATTGGATATAGTATACAGTATATACCATGCTACGAGGTAGAAGGGTCGGAAGGAAAGGAGAGGAAAGGGGAGGAAAGAGGAACGAGGGATGATGACATACCAAATCAGCACCAAGGGCAACGTCGAATGTAGGTGTGGCAGCAGTCTCTTTCTTTTCATCATTCGAAATCGGCTCTCCGTCCTGTTGTGCAGCCGTATCCATGCTCTCACCATCCAACGGCGTCCCCCATTCCCAGACCGCAGCGCTGAATTGTCCCTGCTCTTCTCCATCCCCAGGTCTGTTTTCAAGACAATTCCTCCCCGCACAATCCCTCATATTCTCAATCAACGCCGGCTCGCGATCCGTCGCCACCACCCTCCTCGGCCGCAGATACTTCGCACAGAACATCGACACCAGCCCCGTCCCCGCACCCAACTCAATGACCCTCTTCTCCTGCACGAGCGCCCCCCCGGCAGGTGTACTCGACAGATACGTCGCCAGATGGAGAGAAGCTTCCCAAGTGCGGAAGCCCGTGGTGCCAGCGGCGAGGATCAGGCCGCGCGATTCGGAGGTGATGATCGTTCGTGGGGGGTCGGAGGATGACGATGACGGCGGAGGCCACGGCGCGGTGTATTTGATGTAGGTTAGTTGTTGGGCTTGGTGGATTGTGGAGGACGGTTTTGGTTGCGAGATGAGCGTCGCCCAGGCGGAGATGAGGTCGGGGTGGATTTCCTGGATGGGGAGAAGAGAGAAAGGGTTGTTTGATAAGATATTTGATTTTTTTTTTGCATTGAGAGAGAATTTATATGTATATGGGTATATAGATTTGCGATTTGCAGAACAGAAAAGGAAATGCGATCAATCGGCAAGGTTGGGTTCATACATCCTCCTCAGGGTCGCTGATCGCTTCTTCGATCCGTGATAGAATCATCTTCAGCACTCGCGTCTGGTAGTTTACCGGGGGGATGGGCCAGACTGAGGTCTCGTCGAACATGTGCGCATAGATGGCGCTTTGTACGGCGGGGTGAACGATGTCGCGGCCTTGGGGGAGGGGTAGGAGGGGAGGGTCGACCTGTTCGTGGAATTGGCGGGTGAGAAGGTCGACATGGTGAAGAACAGGTGAAGTCATGATGAAGAGGAACAACTGCAATAAAGATCCAACATGATCGCAAAGACCGAGTACAAATTACAAAGGGAAGAGCGACAGAGGATAATGAGCGACTCCACCCCCGGTGCCAAGCATATCACGTGCCGCCTAACCCCAAGTGGCTAGCGCAGAAGGCTAGCCGAGAGCCCACGCTGCACAACGAAACGGAACCCAAAATTGTCTTGAACATCTCGAGCCCGCCGACAGCGACTTCGACAATCCCACCCGCCTCAACTTCTCCGTCCCTTTCGACGACGCAGACTACCGCAAAGATGGCCGACACTCCCGTTACCCTGCGGACTCGCAAGTTCATCCGCAACCCCCTGCTTGGTCGTAAGCAGATGGTCGTGTAAGACTTCCACTTTACTTTTCCATCCTACCTGTTTTTTTGATCCCGGTTTGTGCTCGGCGGTTGCGAATTCCAGTACGGCAAAGGGTGGTTTTCAATTTCGTCTTGGGAAAGAAAAGAAGGGGGAGGAGGGGAAATGCTGCGTGAATTTTCTTGAACGAGAAAATATCTGGGTTTTGAAAGCGTTATCCGATACGACGACAATCCATCTTCATCATGATTGAAGAAATTCAACAGAAGGCAAACCAACTGAATGGAAACTGAGATTTTCAATCTGGAATCGCAACCACCGATCGAGCCAGCATCTTCACTCTCGTTTTACCATCTCCAGATTTCCTCATCTAACAACTCCTCATACAGGGACGTCCTCCACCCCAACCGTGCCAACGTCTCCAAGGATGAGCTGCGCGACAAGCTCGCCGACCTGTACAAGTCCAACAAGGACCAGGTCTCCGTCTTCGGCTTCCGTACGCAGTACGGTGGTGGCAAGAGCACTGGTTTCGCTCTCGTCTACGACTCCACCGAGGCCCTGAAGAAGTTCGAGCCCCGCTACCGTCTCGTCCGTATCGGTGCTGCCACCAAGGTGGAGAAGCCTTCTCGCCAGCAGCGTACGTTATCCTTCTCATTCTCCAGATCTGGACGATCCACTCGACATCCAGATATCGCAGATACCAAGTACACAATACTAACGAGAGATCCCTACAGGCAAGCAACGGAAGAACCGCTCCAAGAAGTTCCGCGGTGTCGCCAAGGTCAAGGGCCCCAAGAAGTCCAAGAACTAAGCGCATTCTCTCTGTGGAAACTCGACTGGGTGAATGGGAAGGCGGTGGTTGTTGGAGATGGACTCGGATGCGGCCAGGGGCTGGGGATGATAGCGATGGAGAAGACGATAATGATAATGGCGGCCCTCCTATGGGGGTGTATGATAGGTTACAACCTGTGCAAATGGTCCATTGGGTTGTCTATCAGTGTGTTCCATACTGCTAGATCCTTCTACCTTTACCATCTTTGCCCCCGTTTCGATTATCATACCCGTGGAAAACCAACCCTTGTGACGATTTGAACAAAAAAACAAAGGCAAACCAACTGAGAAAAGAAAAAAACTAAAAAAGCGAACTTCCTTTTCTTTTTCTTTTACTTTGTTTCTTTTCCACGCCCAAGCCAGCGTCTTCCATATGTCTATCTGATCCGGACTTCCTGACCGACAGACTGACCCCGAGCCGAGATGAAACCTTTTTTCATGTTTTTATTTTATGGGGAGAATAGAATCAACTTCTCGGTGTTCGGAATCGGGGAATGGGACGGATTGAACAACAAAATAAATGATTTCCCCATGTTTACCTGTTTTTTTTGATATAAGGAATCTTTTCTTTTTCCTGTTGACTTTGACCATTTCCATCCCAACTTGCTTCATGCCTCTAGAATCCAGTCATTGATATGATTCGATATGGTTCAGATCAGCTCGACTCATTCAATACATATCGAATGAAAGAGAAGAAATAACCAAAACCAACACTGTCGATCATCCATAGGATTTTGATTCTCTTCCCATGCCCATGCCCATGCCCTTCCCCAGACCTACATTCACATACTCATGTAGTTATGTATATCCATCCCCCGTCTCACATACTACAGAGTAAAGTACCCTAGCTCCTCCCAGGAACCACCCAGTTGGGAACCTCGCTTCCGTCTCCCTTCTCGTCGGAGCGACGATCAAGTCGCACGAGACGTCCATGTCCCCAACATGTAATGTTTGGCCTGGTACAGGTCCTACCGGTTTCCCCCAACGGCGTATGGGATGTTCGGGTTTGGTGAGAGTGTTGATATTTTGGTAGTAGGTAATATGTTCTATGTCGGTAGTGTTATATTTGGACCTATATCTGTACTAGGGAGGAGAGTGGTACGTTACCTGGTACTGTTGTTAACTACGGTACGCAGGTGCAAGCAAGCAAGGAAGTAACTCAGGTAGAGTATGTATGGCCTGATCAACAAGCAGGAACACACGGAGACCTCCCGGGAGACAGGCTTTGCTACCTAAGGTAGAGCATGTAAAAATGTAAATATAGCCGTGTACATGTAACCCTTTCTGTCTCCTGTCTCGAAATACTTACTTGTCTCTCTCTCCCTTAATCTAGATTTGTTTGCTCACATCCCGGAATCCCGGATCCAAGATCCAGAATCCAGAAATCAGTCCCCTCATCCTCAATCCACGATTTCAGCTTCCATCCGCTTCAGCTCGAAAGGTAGAAAGGTTAAATTCGGTCTAGAATGGACTACTACTACTACTACTACTACTACTACTTGCTGACTGACCGAGGTAGGTCTCAAAGCTAGTCTGTGGCTGGCCTAAAGTGAGGGATTTAAGGAATCCAAATAAAACCATCGACAAGACATGGAAGTCTGGTCTGGTCTGGTCTGGTCTGACTGGGTGGTTGTTCAAGTCGTACATGTTGAGATTATTCAAGGGTCTAATGCGCCTCTCTTTTTTTTTTCTTTCGTCGGGGGGTGGGGGGTTGCCACCTTCCTTCGTTCGCTTTAACTAATTGGTATGGAGATGATGAATTAGCTAGTAGTTAATTGGCTAGGTGTTTGATTCCAGTTCTGTGATATAGAGCTAGAGTCCAGGGTCTGTTGATCGTTCTTTGTGAATATTGAATTAGTGTCTATGTATTTATGCAAGTGTATGTATGGTCTGATGGTGGAAACAGACCATATGAACGAACTACTACATCTATACAACTGATCTAACTACTAACAACCTCAGACATCTGACATCGGACATAAAATCTAAAATCTACACAACCAATCCAAGAACCCATGAATCCAAGCAAAAAGTCCACCCCGCCACTCTCCTTTGTCCGAGTTATTTTCATCGTATGATTTGGAATCCCCAAACCATGAGGGCGTAACTACAAGACAGACAAAAGTATAAAGTAAGACAAATTAAAGATGATTTCTTTGTTCTCAAATGAATGAAGTAACTACCTATGGCTGACTACTTTCGCCGTTTAGGTTAAACACATTACAAATCGATGAAAATTCAAACAAACAAAAAAAACCAGAAATGTTAGTTAGACAAGAGCCACACTATGCGCCGATCCCAATTAGGCGGTGGTATCAACGAGTCAAGCAATAATGGATCAGAAAAGCAGGGCAGATAAGACAAGACAACAGAGGAAAAAAGACACAGATCCATACAGGATAACCGCCAGGAAACAAAGAAAGAAAAAAGATCAGCCAACCAAACCAACCAACACGAGCTGAAAACGCCCCTGAGAACTGCGGCCCGGTCCTGTTTGTACCGGTGTTTATCTCGCGGTGGGCGAAAAATGAAATGAAAAGGAAATAATGAATAATGAATAATGAAAGAGATTGCCGACCCTAATGCGACAACACTCCTGCGAACCCAGCCCCAGTATTAGTGTAACATTATTCTCTGGTTCTTAGAATGGCAAACAGTAAGCAGGAATGTGTGGATGTTCCAAGGAAGTAGTACAGTCAAGGGGATATTTGAAATCATTTCCAGGCCTCCAGAACAGACAAGGAAAAGGGTGGGTGGAACCAAGGAGAGGGGATCAAGAACACTGAAACAAAGATAATCTAAAGTAGCAACAGGGAGAGAAAGAGGAAAAGAGCTCGTAGGGAACATCAAATGAGGGAATTATCTGATTTTTGTTCCCTGGTGTGTGAGCACAGAGCCATTACCGCTGGTACTTGGGGCTGTAGACGCCAGCCATGGGATACCGTCAGGCGCAATATGTCCCCAACGAATCTGCATTCATGCATCAGAATCCCCCCGGGTTACTCAGAGCGGGGACTGGCGGACGGTGCACCTCGGTGGATGTACCCGTGCAGAGGGCACCGTACGGCAATGAAACTTCACAGTCCGATGGCTTGGGCCGCGTGTAGGGGAGTCCATTGACCAAGGTCCCAGGCCGTCCGGAACCGCCCGCCTCGGAGCATTTCTTGCTCGTCTTATCGCTGGTGATATACCGGTAGGTATCGGAGCCGCCCTCCATAGACAGCAGGCGGCTATTCTCGCGAGAAAGGGCCCTCGTGAGTCGGCCGTCGTTGCTGCGGATTTCATCTCCCGACTCAGAGGGATCCAGGGCTGCAGTGGTAAATGTCCCGCTGGATGATAGCAATGATGACGGCGTCCCTACCGTAGTCATTGGCAAGAAACCTAATACCGGCTCGTGTGTGCTCGGAGGGAATGGCTTCGTCATGGAACTGGTTCCCATGGAGCCTCCGTTCGAGCTCGGCAGTCCGGGGACCCGAGTGGCACTGTCGGGTGTTGCAGTAACGCCTCTGTAGCTGCTCCAGGGGTTGGATCCCCTGTAGTCTGGAGGAAGATGTACGCCCGAAACGGCTTCCGACGAGGTCGGTAGACTCGGAAAGCCAATGTGATAACGACCGGCAGGGTTGGGAAGAATTCGGTCGGCTACCTGCCCTTCTGGTGATAGGGGTGCCATTGGGGGCGCCACTGATGATGGGTCAGTCGACGGTGAAGTTGCCAGTGTCGGAATCAGGTATGGGTAAGCCGGCGGGTGCACGCAGCCTTCGGAAGTTGGAGCTGAGAACAGGATATGATGATTCGGGACCCGGTGGGTGCTGGCACCGCCGGAGCTCCACGTCTTGGGGTTCCATGGGGCTTCGCAGTAGTCTGCCAGAACGGTTGGGGGCGTGTTGGGGATCAAGTACCCCGAAGTCTGGGGAATACTGTATGCATCAGAGGGCTCGTCCTCGTAATTGATTGCATGATCAATGCTGAACGGGTGGCGGCCGTAGGGATATGGACAATCGGTGGGCCCCATTTCGTAAGTTGTTGGCACATGTCGTGATATCGAGGCGGCACGAAAGCTAGACGGATTGGCCGACAGTGGTCCCATCTTCGGAGTCATAGAAGGCGCATAGAAGCCTATCCTCTGGGACGAAGAGATCGCGGCATTCATCGCGGCATACGGCCAACCGGTCACTTTTGGCTGCAACATTGCCGAATTTACCTTAATTCGATCGTCTCAGCATACATATCACTCAAAAGTCTGTCTTTCTCTGCTCAGAGGCCAGAAGGGTCAATCTCACCCTCAAGAATTGGCAGTTCACATTTCCCACGGAAGCGCAATTCGAACAGCCCTGGTTGTTACCCATATCACCGCTGCATTTGATCTTTCTTTTCCGACATCGCTGACACTGGCAGACGGTAAGAAATGGATACTGTTCATCCCCGAAAGAGGTTTGAGTACTTACTGCAACCTGGATTCGACGACGCCCCGGGTTTCGGCCTTTGCCATCTTGTCCCGGAACAGGACTCGGGCAGTCGGTGCTCCTGTCTAGCAGGTCGTGGGCTCCATGGCTTTGAACTGGATGAGGTATGGGTAGAGGGTCTCGCTTTATAGGTTGGTCAAAGACGACCTCATCCTCGGAGGTGTAGAAAGGATGGGCCATTGCTTCGTTCATTAGTGTGGACGAAAACATGGTGGTCTACCGAGACTCACTCACATCCAAAGTCAAAACCAAGTCCAAGAAAGTTCGAAAGGAACACCAGGTAGAAGGGAGCCGGGGGACAAAAGCATAAAAGGACACTGGGTCAGGGATGGCTTGTGTTCAGCATGTTCCAACTACCGTCTAGTATTCCAAGAGGAACCGGAAAGGATGAGGGGGGCTTAAACCGGCAGCAAGGTCTGACTTTAAGGTCCATGTGTCAGTCTTCCCTTGTTGCCCTGATTGTTTTCTCCAATTTCCTTTAATTTTTATTTTACTTTCTTTCTCTCACTGTTCCTCCTTTCCTGTTGGTCAAAGCCATACGATGCCCCGTTGATTCGCTGATGGGTGTTTCGACCGGTCATAACCTCATCTGTGAACTAGAATATTCCAAGAACGAGTGGCTTTGTCCATTCATCTGCTCATGCAGAAGAGGTACCCAGTTTGATACCTGGTTCTCCTCTGCTTTGTCGTACTGGAACCCATGCAGACTTCCGTCCAATTCCAATTTCCTTTTTTTTTTTTATTATTAAACAAAACAAAAAAGAAAGAAAGAAAGAAAAAAGAAAAGTTGGGAAATCCACCTAGGGGCTGGGTCGTCCACAAGCATGCTCAGTCCTGATAGAAGGCTAGACGGCCAGAATACCCCGGTGGTCTGAGGTTGTTGCACTGGGTGACACCAATGTCGTACAGGTTCATCTTGCCTGGTATTCGCCAGAACGAGTCAAGCTGAAAACTGGGAGAGAATGATCGCTGCTGCGAGTAATTTTCGGCCAATGGACTAGCAGACAGGGTCCACAGCTGCTCTGCCTTTCACCAGCGCTGTCTTTGAATAGTGGGGGCACCTCAGCCAAACCCAATGCGATAAGCAACGCCAATATCAGGATGCATGCTGTCGCTGAGCCGGACAGCCGCCGGCTGCGTTTGCAGGAATCCCCTCCCTTTGTCCAGCCAAAAACAGTCCATTGGGGGTTGTAAAGCAACGGCTGTGGGGAAAATGTTTGCTCGTTGGAATCCTGGATGATTGGGGCGCCTATTGGCTCGGCTTTGGGCCGTCGCCAATATCAAGCAAACTGAATTGCTTTGCGGCAGCCTGGATCCTGCAGCGGTACTTTTGGCAAGTCGTGAACTTTTGTAAAACAAAATTATTTCATTTTCCTGTGGTGTGGATTTGAGTGGCGATGCCCCTTTGAGAGTGAGAGACTCACTAATTAGTGGATGGTTGGTTAAGAGAGAAAAGGTAAAAGTAACAATGACACAATTTCAAACAAGGATTGTTGTGGAGGAAGACTACTGCAAACGAGTATAAGCAGATGATTACACCAATGTCTCAAGACCAAGGCAGTGAAAGACCACTGGGTCAGATCCATTAGATCATCTTGGTCTCATGAAGGGCAAATGAGGCTTAGTAGCCAAGACCGGACCAGAAAGAAGCCCTGGCGAAAATGGACCGGCTTAAAACCTGTGTCCAGGTCACCGGGCTGGATCTGCATCTGTGCATCAAGGTGCGTCGTCCTTCTCTGAGCACCCACCCCCTTTTTTTCTGGAAGGAAATGGTTTCTGTAGACCCTCCCTCTGTCTCATTCTCTTACCTAGGAATTCCAAATCTGCGACGGTCCGTGTTAAATTGGTGGAGAAGCTGTAAAATCGCAAGGGCTGGCATGAGAGAGCAGAATAAAGTTAAGATAAAGGAATCAAAACCAGAGCTAAAATTAAGGACAACGATCAGCCGGCGTCATCAAAACGGGATGACAAGTACGTGGGCCCCGAGAAGATCAGTATGCACGGTGTTCAGGGGCCTAAAGGACTCTGCCCGATGTACATAAGTAGCTGGTTAGGGACCAATGTCATTCGATTGTGTCCAACCAACAATTGAGGGTCAGCCTTGATTGGAATGGTTTCAAAGCCAGCCCTTCAAGGGTCGAGAGAAACGGAGAAGGAAAGCCAAGGAATTCGATCCGTCCCTGTTCAGGCTTGATAGTCAATCAAAACTCAGCTCGAAGGATTCTGTTTGTAAATGCCACCCAGAAAAAGATAAATTAATGACAACAATATTAAATTTGAAGGCGAGGATCTTCGATACTGTCGACATCATAGCCAAACGTTTGGTTAAGCGAGGGCCTGCTATTGGCAATAGGGCCAGCCACCGAATGCCCAGAACCAGTCAGACTTGCTCGTTACTCGTTAGCCCTAAAGGGGTCAAGAGGATGAATAGGAATGATAGATAAAGGGACGACGCCCGCCACGTGTGTTTCCAGGGAGTTATGCTAGCGTCGTCACCAATTTTGTACGAGTGGAAGAAGATTGGCAAGACTAAAGAAGATGCCAGACCTGTTCCGTATCAACTAGCTGTTGGGTCCGAGCTGCAGGAGACCGCCCGTTTGTCCAACGCCTGTTGTGAAACACTGATGAAGACAGAGAAGAACGGTCAAGCAGCGGTGCCACAGTAGCTTTCCGCTGCGCTGAGTTTTGACTTCTTCTTCACGGCCAAGATCGTATTCTACGCGGGCGTAGATAGTCTCAATGCTTAACGGTCGATCGTAATAGCACTTGGACTCATTCTAAGATGTTGAGGGAAAAAGGAGTTCGTCCAGGGACCTTCACAGCAGACCATCTGGCGCGAGATGTCCGAACAAACGGCGATCTGCTGAAGCCTGCGTTCAGGCCCGTTGTTTTCACTAACTGGATTTCTTGTCCAACGGCTCTACCGGAAGATATGCCGTTGGGTTCAAAAGAGCAGGCGTTACACAGTAGAGCGCCGGATGGTCCATCCGAAAGTTTGGAGTCCCTCGAGAGTCGAAGAGATGCGGAGACACTGATAAATCAAATACATCTAATTTGCAGTAATCGTATGATGTTTTCCAGCTGCGGAGAGCCTAGAAAAGAAAAGAAAGGAAAAAGAACAGCAGAGTCAACCCCGGGGAGGGAGAAGAAAGAGTAGGGGAATCCCTGCGGATCGACGCGTTTGACGGGGAAGCAAATCCATTCCGCCCTGCTGATTATTAAATTTGCCGTCATCAAATTAATTGCTCGCGCGCTGCTTCTCTCTCTCGTTCTCTCTCTCCCCCCCAATCCTGCAGCTCACAAATTGCTCCACTCAACAAATTCTTTTATTTTTTGCCTTCTAAATTATTTGATTCGATCTTTCTTCCCCCGGTCAATTTCAGGTTTGTTGACCTGTCGGATTCTCTCCTTCTTCATTTCTCTCTCTCCTCGCGCATCGTTGGTTGTCGCATCGCACGCGCAGCTGCCGGTAGAACGCCATGAGCGTACTACTCGAAACTTCTCTCGGCGACATTGTCATTGACCTCTTGGTCGATGAGTCTCCGAAACCATGTGAAAAGTAGGTGCACTCCGTCGTTTACAGTAAAACCACCATGGCCCTGGTGCGTATGCAATGTCGAGTAGCTGAACCCGAAACTAAAGCCGTTCACATTCTCTCGCTCTAGCTTCCTGAAGCTATGTAAAGTCAAGTACTATAATTTCTCGCCCGTCCACAGCGTGCAAAAAGGCTTTACATTCCAGACCGGCGACCCCATTGGCCCCGATTCCCCCGAAAGCGACGGCGGCTCGTCAATTTGGGGCCTTCTGGAAGGCCCGTCGAAGAGAACTTTCCCCCTCGAGATCCCTCCGAAGTTGAAACACGACGAACGCGGAACGGTCAGTATGGCAACGGTGCCATCGCCGCACGACGACGATTTACGCATCGCTGCAAGTCAGTTCATTGTGACGCTAGGAGATAATTTGGACTACCTAGACGGCAAAGCGGTGCCATTTGGAAAGGTGGTGGAGGGGTTCGACGTCCTCGAGAAGATCAATGATTCTTTCATCGATGATCGAGGACGACCGCTGAAAGACATTCGAATCCGCCATACAGTCGTTCTAGACGATCCTTTCGACGATCCCGCGGGCCTGACGGAGCCGCCAAACAGCCCTGTACCGTCGAAGGCACAGCTCGCGACTGTGCGGATTGCCGACGATGAAGACCTGGATGACAACATGGACGAAGAGTCCATGGAAACGCTTCGCCGAGAGCGCGAGGCAAGAGCTCAGGCGCTCACGCTGGAAATGGTTGGGGATCTTCCATTTGCCGAGGTTAAACCGCCAGAGAACGTCTTGTTTGTCTGCAAGTTGAACCCTGTCACGCAAGGTACTTCTTTCTTTTCTTTTCTTTTCTTTTCTTTTCTTTTCTTTTCTTTTCTTTTCTTTTCTTTTCTTTTCTTTTCTTTTCTTTTCTTTTCTTTTCTTTTCTTTTCTTTTCTTTTTGTTCTACTCCCCGTCGTACCGGCTGATGCTGAACGCTAACAAAATGGACCAGATGAGGATCTTAACTTGATCTTTAGTCGCTTTGGCCGCATTCTTTCATGCGAGGTTATTCGAGATAAAAGAACAGGAGACAGTCTACAATATGCCTTCATTGAGTTTGAACACCAGAAGGATTGCGAACAAGCCTACTTCAAGATGCAAGGCGTTCTGATCGACGATCATCGCATCCACGTAGATTTCTCTCAAAGTGTGAGTAGACAGTCTTGGCCTTTGCTCTGACCCATGCACTCATAATCTTTTTACAGGTGTCAAAACTATCCGACAGCTGGCGGAACGCTACGATTTCCAAGCGCAGTAGCCAACGGGGTGGATTTGGCGGCGTAGCTGGCTTGGAGAAAAAGCGTCAGTACCGTACGTCCGACAACCCTCGTCATCGGGATGATTATTCCATGGTATTTGAGAAGCGCGAAAACAGGCGACGGTCAACCTCTCGCGAACGACGCAGCAGTCGGAGTCCTCCCAGGGGAAGCTCGTATCGTGAGCGGAGACCCAGCCGAAGCCCGCGGCGCAGCTCCAATCGAGATCGGTACCGAGATCGATCATACAGTCGAAGTCCCCCGCGGGAGAAGAACCGGGATCGATACAACGACCGCGAGCGACGAGGGCGAGGCGGTCGGAGTGACGATCGATACCGGCAACGTGAGCGTCGTTGAGTCTATCCAGGATATCCTGGGTAGTATCCAGATCACAGGGGATTGCCAGCGACAATAAATAAATAGAATCAATCAATAATCGGAAGCTTTGGAAGCACACTAGCGAGAGTCGGTGAAACCGGCCCCACGACGCTGCTCGACGGCGCACCCCGCCGTGGTGGGCGTGATTGGCCGGTCGCATCTGAATGGTGGCTTGTCCATGGAAGCCAGTCCCTAAGAATAGAGACTGATCATAATATTATTAGATGGTCTGAATCAGAAACAGGACACACCCAGAAGTAGAAGCCCAAGAAAAGAACAAATTGCTCTCTCGTGGCGGTCAGGGGACACTGGAAACCTAAGCTTCAGCTTCACCCCGCGTCCCATTAAAAGCCCCCTCCCTCCTTCTTCCCCTCCTGTCTTCCTCCCTTGTTTTCTTTCATTCTTAAATCCTAATCCTCTCTCTTCTTCCTCTCGTCTCTTCCCTCTCTTCTGTCTCTCTCCTCCCTTCCTCCCCTCCATCTCTTGTTGGGATTATTTATCTCAGATACATAATCCTTCCCTTCCGTAAATAAATAAAACAACCTCCCATCATGGCTGCTGCTATCAAAGAGACCGTCTCCAACCTTGTGGACAAATTCTCGGGTCACCAGGATGCCCCTCGTCAGCCCTCCGACGAAGAGTTCCAGCAACTACAGCAGAAGTACACCGACGCCGGACAAGGACACCTATTTGCCTTCGTCGGCGAGCTGAAGCCCGCCGAGAAGACTCAGCTCTTCCACCAGCTGAACAACTTCAACCCCACCCGCATCAACGAGCTGGCCGACAAGGCTCTGAACCCCGCCAAATCCCAGGAGGGACCCGTCTCCCTCGAACCTCTGCCCGAAGTGGCCACGGCCTCGATCCTCGACTCCGACCCCAAGGACATTCAGAAGTGGTATGATGAAGGTCTGCAGCTCGTCGCAGCAAACCAGGTTGCCGTCGTCCTGATGGCTGGTGGCCAGGGTACTCGCCTGGGAAGCTCCGCCCCCAAGGGCTGCTTCAACATCGAGCTGCCCAGCCAGAAGTCCCTCTTCCAGATTCAGGCGGAGCGGATTGCCAAGCTCCAGCAGCTGGCCCAGAAGGTTTCCGGCAAGGAGGCCGTGATCCCTTGGTACGTGATGACCAGTGGACCTACCCGCAAGCCTACGGAGGAGTTCTTCCAGAAGAACCAGTACTTCGGCCTGAGCTCGAGCAACGTCGTCATCTTCGAGCAGGGTGTTCTGCCCTGCATTTCCAACGAGGGCAAGATCTTGATGGAATCCAAGTCTAAGGTACGTGACCCCTCAGCCTTATGTACACTTCCCTGTGAAAATCGGAAGACTGACCGCTGCGGAATATTTTGTAGGTTGCTGTTGCCCCCGACGGAAACGGTGGAATCTACCAGGCCCTCCTCACCTCCGGCGTGAGAGAGGACATGCGGAAGCGGGGTATCCAGCACATTCACACCTACTGTGTCGACAACTGCCTGGTCAAGGTTGCCGACCCCGTGTTCCTCGGATTTGCCGCCTCGAAGGACGTCGACATTGCCACCAAGGTTGTCCGCAAGCGTAACGCCACCGAGTCGGTGGGATTGATCCTGCAGAAGAACGGCAAGCCCGACGTGGTGGAATACTCGGAGATCGACCAGGAGACTGCCGAGGCCAAGGACCCCAAGCAGCCCGATGTCCTGAAGTTCCGTGCCGCCAACATTGTCAACCACTACTACTCCTTCCGATTCTTCGACTCGATCGAGACCTGGGCGCACAAGCTGCCCCACCACGTTGCCCGCAAGAAGATCCCTTGCATCCTGGCCGAGACCGGCGAGGCTTTCAAGCCCGAGAAGCCCAACGGTGTCAAGCTGGAGCAGTTCGTCTTTGACGTCTTCCCCTTGACCCCTCTGGAGAAGTTCGCCTCCATCGAGGTGCGCCGTGAGGACGAGTTCTCGCCCTTGAAGAACGCCAAGGGTACCGGGGAGGACGACCAGGACACCAGCAAGCGGGACATTATGAAGCAGGGACAACGATGGATCGAGCAGGCCGGTGGCATTGTGGTCACCGAGGACGAGTCGGTTGGTGTTGAGGTGTCCCCGTTGATCAGCTACGTAAGTTTCTACAGTTTTATACTTGATACATTCCCTGATTGATGAACCTTGCGCTAACATGCGGAATGACAGGGCGGCGAGGGACTCGAGTTCCTGAAGGGCCGTGAAATCAAGGCCCCGGCTGTGATTGAGAAGGAAGAATAAGGGGGAGCAGGAATGAACATAAATTGTTTAGTGGTATCACTGTCATGAGCCTTGAACTAGTATAATATGCATGAATGAAGTACATCATCGTCATCTCACTACTGTCTGCCTGCAAGGAGGAACCCGTCATGTGGATGACTCAGCCAGGTCAATCCTCGGGAACGTGTGCCTCAGGCCGTGCGTCCCGTGTCAATCATTCCGGGGGTTTTTCAACCATGTACGCAACACGGGTCGCTTCGGAAGTCGAAAGAGAGGTTAACATATGATTATGGGTAGGAAAGGATAGGTAGCTGTACCTTTGTCCTTTACTTGTGTAGACTGTAGGACTGCAGTGGTAGGTAGTAAATAGTAGTAAAAATAACTGTCTTGGAACACTTCCATGGGTTCCCCTCCCGCCTTTCCCTGTTCGGCCTCGTCGCTTGTTCCGTTCGATTATTTCTTACGTCTTTTTGTGGGCAACCGCTTTTTCTCTGGAACGTTAGAACCATCCTTAGCTCTTTCATATCGCATATCGCATCTTGCTCTGAGGCCCGGAGGGATTGGAGTGTTGTGTGAGGAGAGTTGCTGTAAGTTTTCTTCCTTTCGTGCGATTTGTGTGGTGCCTAAATTATTATACTACATTCTTTTTTTTCCTGCCCTCCCTCTCTTAGTTCGTTCGTTGGTCGCTTGTCTTTGTCAGCCCACCTTTTCCGAGTCTCGAGAGTGGGCTGTCGAAAGCGTTGCTCCTCCAAGGTTCTCAAGCTGACTGTCGGAAAAGTATTCTTGTCAAGGTGATCTGAAGCTTGTTGTTGATCTAAAAAGAAGTGTGAGTCTCTCGTCGACCGTCAATCCCGTGACTTTGGCTCTCGTTGCACCCTTCGCTGCGCATTGCGCGCAACTCCGAATCTTTCTCGCATTCGCTGCGCTTTTTTGCTGCTATTCTCGACCGATCGTCCTTCCTTTTCTCCATTTGTATTTTCTGCGGGCACCGTTTGTCTTTCCGTTAGAATAAAATCCCGACTCTCAAAGCAGTTAACTGCCTTCCGGCTTGAATGCCTCCGACGAGTCAATTCATACCTTCATGTGACGATGCGAAAGAATGTTGCAAGCGGCTAGAGTCGCATTACAAAAATGGCTTGGACTCGAGTGACTGACGGACGCTCTTCTCTCTTTTGCAGCTTATCATACCGACAAAATGTTGTTGTCTCGACGTGCTTGCTACAAGTGTGGCAACATTGGCCACTATGCTGGTTAGTTGCTTTGGCAAAAGACGAATGAATTCGACTGCCGCGAAGAATGTGCTAATCGGGTGACGTAGAGGTCTGCTCTTCGTCCGAGCGTCTCTGCTACAACTGTGCGTGAAACAACCTGCTACCCCGCTGCTTTTGTTTGCGATTGGTTTCCATTTGGCTGACAGATAGACGGTTGAACAGGCAAGCAGCCTGGTATGTTGTCATGTGTGCCACCGACGACCTCGACCGAATCGTCTAATTCCTCGATCTAGGACACGAATCCAGCAGCTGCCCGCGTCCTCGTACCACCGAGAGTAAGCGCTCTCTTGTTCTTCCCTCGAGCCGTACATGGGTATTGATCTGTTTGTCTAGCCAAGCAATGCTACAACTGCCAGGGTCTCGGCCACGTTCAGGCCGATTGCCCTACGCTCCGTTTGAACGGTGCTAACGGCCGTTGCTACAATTGCAGCCAGCCGGGCCACCTTGCCGTATGTCTCTACCCTTCCTGCTCCGCTCCGTTTCTTGTTCAATTGGTCTAATTCGGGTTGTCTTGTCTTGTTCAGCGCAACTGCCCTGCCCCCGCTTCCGGTGCCGGTGCCCCTGCTGGCCGTGGTGTCGGTGCTCCTCGTGGTGGCTTCAACGGTGGTTTCCGCGGTGGATACGGCGGTTACCCTCGCGCTGCCACTTGCTACAAGTGCGGTGGTCCCAACCACTTCGCTCGTGACTGCCAGGCTCAGGCCATGAAGTGCTACGCTTGCGGCAAGCTTGTAAGTGGTTCCCATGCTTGTCACCCTCGCTGAGACAACAAATGGTTCTGTTTTGCTCACTCTCTGTAGGGCCACATCTCCCGTGACTGCACTGCTCCCAACGGTGGCCCCTTGAGCTCTGCTGGCAAGGTTTGCTACAAGTGCGCCCAGGCCGGTCACATCTCTCGGGATTGCCCCAACAACGAGGCCTCTGCTCAGCCTGCGGATGCTAACGCTGCCGCCGCTGCTCAGGCCGCTCCTGCTGCTGCTGCCGTTGAGGCTGCAGAGGCCGCTCCCGTTGCGGCCGCCGCCCCCACGGCCGTTGCCTAAACGGCCCTCCTACATGACTATCCTCTTTCTTCACCTTGATTGGTTTTATGCATACTTTCAAGGGAGCCTGGTTTCCTTTTCTTTTATTTCCATCATAGTTTATTTCTGTATTCAGGTCTGCCGACCTAAGTCTTGAATTCTTCTTCTCCCATGTTTCTTCCTTTGCATATATTACACCCCCCCAAATGTTTCAGGTTTCGGCACCGGCCTTTTTCTATTATGTATACGACGAACAAAAAGTTTCACGATGTCTAAGGTTCCTTTTACGGCTTGGATCCTATACACGGCTCAGGTTCTTATGATTGGCGTCTATTTGATCTCCTCGGGTATCTCTCTCATTTGAATTATAGGTGCGGCAAGAAAAGAAGGAGACGAGGCGATGCGACGGGTTAATTGAGCGCAGGAGAGACATAGGTGGACTGAAGCAAGTGGCGTGGATATACATGGGAAGAAGGCTTCAAGGTAGTACGGATGGGTTTGTTTGTGCTGAGGATCGTGAGCGAGTGAAGAATGGTACCTGGCGCGGCCACCTCCTCATCTTTTCGTACTATATTCTCCTTATATTCGTTGAATGGGAAGCAAAAATAAAAATTCAAACAAACAAACTGTGTTACTGTCTGGAAGGGTGTATGTCGAAGTAGGGATTGACAAAGATCTAGGGAGCCGAGCTGCTATGTATCTTTGCATGACATTGATGCCTCTGCTTCATTGCGCAAGAAGGTATGCCGAGTCGGAGTGATGTTGTCTGGTTTGCCTTGAATCCCGTGATGCTGGCCCATCTCTTCTTCCTCCCCATCCCCATCCACCTCACCAGCCAATCCTTCCTGCTGTTTTCGTATATCGACCAAGTATCTTCAATTCCTCTCATTCAGTGAACATTCATCAGAAAGTACACCATGCCTGAATCTAACTCAAGTGACGAATTCGATGACGATGTACAGTCAACCTTCTCGTGATGAAAGCACATACCTTCCCAATCCCTTCGTCTAATGTGATTCACAACAGGTTTTCATCGTAGATATCGACTCCATTCAAGCTCATGGTATGCACTTGTTTTCTCACTGCACAACAGGGCTTACAAGATTCAGGGATCGGCGTTGCGGACATTACAAAGTTGAAAGCGAATGGCTTTTATACTGTGGCGGTACACCGTCCCTGTCCGCTCGGTCTCTGCCATACTTACTGATTGTCTAATTCAGTCCGTCCATGGGGCTACTCGGAAGACCTTGTTGAAAATCAAAGGATTCAGCGAGGTGAAGGTCGAAAAGATCAAAGATGCAATTCATAAATGCTTAGTATGCCATTCTTCCAGGCAACGAATATCCGCGCCACGCTGACTACTCCATCCAGCCCTCTGCCTCCGGCTTTATCACCGCCATGGAACTATGTCACCAGCGGAAAAGGGTGGTGAAGATCTCGACGGGAAGCAAGCAGTTCGACTCGATCCTGGGAGGGTATGAATGTCTAGTCTCCTTCCGCTGGATATGCTCCTGACCATCACAAACTCTAGGGGTTTCCAGAGCTTGAGTATCAGCGAAGTCTTCGGCGAGTTTCGTTGCGGAAAGACCCAGCTGTCTCATACCATGTCTGTGGTGGCACAGTTACCCAAGGAGATGGGTGGCGCGGATGGCAAGGTTGCCTATATCGACACGGAAGGTACATTTAGGCCCGAGCGCATTGCACAGATCGCAGAGCGTTTCGGCGTCGACCCGGATTCCACCCAGGAGAATATCGCCTATGCGCGAGCCCTGAACAGCGAGCATCAGTTGGAGCTGCTGAATACCCTGAGCAAAGAGTTTGCTGCCGGGGAGTATCGACTCTTGATCATTGATAGTATCATGAACTGCTTTCGGGTGGATTACTGCGGACGTGGAGAGTTGGCAGATCGTCAGCAGAAGCTGAATCAGTTTTTGATGAAACTTGCTCATATGGCTGAGGGTATGCTCCTCATTCTTTTTCTCAGTTGGTGTCCCGTTGATCTAACATGGGTTTGGATCTAGAGTTCAACGTTTGTGTTTTGATGGTCAGTACATCCTCGTCCCATCTATGGATTTAATGTCTAAGCTTCTAGGTAGACGAATCAGGTACAAAGTGACCCCGGTGCGAGTGCTCTTTTCGCTGGAGCCGACGGCCGCAAACCTGTCGGTGGACATGTTCTGGCACATGCGTCGACGACTCGGGTGCTTCTTCGCAAAGGTCGTGGAGAGGAACGAGTTGCCAAGATCCAGGACTCCCCTGGTTTGTATCCTCTCGCCGTGTTTGAATCTAATCTAACTGGTAACAGATTGTCCTGAACGCGAGGCGACATATGTCATTACCAACGGGGGAATCAATGACCCTGACAAAATATAGATTGACCATATGGGAATGGTTCGAACAATGAAGGGAGACTGAATATTCATTCTTGAAGGATTCCACCGGAAAACAAGTCACTAGTTTGATCAGATTCGATGTCAGAAAGAGCATTTCGTTTCCAAGCTATGCGTTGTTCTGTTATCTGTTGTCGAGTATCTAGTTCGATTTTAGTTCGTGAATCTTAGATGGCGGATCTTCTCCGCCTTCCGAGCTCAAATAAAATTTCCCGCGCCAATCTCCGATATATTTTTTTCTCCTGCGCCGCCTACCGTTTCCCCTCACCCTACATTCTGCAATTATCTTGAATTGCTGACGATCCCAATTTGCGAAATAATCTTTCCTATTCACCGGCAAAATGAAAAAAGAACCCCAGGAAATCGCAGGCTACACCGTCCTCCCGATCCAACTCCCCGAAACCCCATCTGCAGACCCTGCCACGCATTACCTCTACCTCCGGCCTCATGAACCACGCATCCCCGACCCCGACACCCCTCGCTCGCTCTTCGTGGTCAACCTCCCCATCGACACGACGGAACTCCACCTGCGCCATTTCTTCGGCACGCAGCTCGCCGCCGGCCGCGTCGAACGAGTCGAGTTCGAAGCCGTCCCGACGAAAAAAACCGGCGGCGGCATGCAAGTCGCCGCGCAGGGGAACGTGTCGAAGAACAAGAAACGCAAGCGCGTCACCGCCGACGAGCTCCAGAACCAGCTCGACGACATCGAGCTGCCGTCTACGTGGGACCGTCAGCTCCAGAAGAGCGGCGCGCACGCTGTCGTCGTCTTCGCCGATAAGCCGAGCATGGAGGCCAGCGTGAAGGCGGCTAAGAAGGCATCTAAGAACAGAAAGAAGGAGTCTGCCGTGGTTGTTTGGGGTGATGGGATTGAGGACCGGCTGCCGGCTCTTGGCCTCCCCCGGTACTTGCATCACCAGGAAGCGCGGTTCCCGTCGCGCGCGGAGCTGTTGCGCACGGTCAACGATTTCATGACGGTGTTCGAGCAGGTGGCGGAGGTGCGGAAGCGGGACGAGGCGCGCAGGGCCCAGGAGCCCGACGAGGATGGGTTCATTACCGTCACCAGCGGGCCGAAGCTCACGTCGACGGCGCACGAGGAGGAAGCCAAGGCGCTGGTGGAGAAGCAGAAGCAGAAGAACCAGGGTCTGGATGATTTCTACCGGTTCCAGTCGCGCGAGAAGAGAAAGGAGCGACAGCAGCAGCTGCTCAGGAAGTTCGACCAGGACAAGAAGAAGCTGGACGATTTGAAGAAGCGCAAGGGGAAGATCAGGGTGAGTTTCCCTCTGTCTTTCAGATCAATTATTCTCATGAATCAAATTGCTAATCCATGCCTAGCCGGAGTAATGCGGTCTCTCATGTCGGCATCGATTCGTTTAGCGAGGCGTTTTAGGGATTTAGACCAAAAGTTCTGGGGTTTATTGTATCAACGGGTCGTGTGAGTTTTTCCATTGTTTTCATTTGTCTCTTGTTTCACTCCTTGCAATGATGAGTCCGCTGGGGCCAGAGTAGCAAGACTCGAATGCGATGTCATGCCATGTCTGCAAAAACCAGCGTCACAAACATATCTTCTCACCTTCTGAAGCCAAGCACTCTTTTCTCGATATTCCGCCTGCAGTAGTATGCTTCCTGCTAATGATGGACTTTGGCTAGGTACAATTCTTTCTTTGCTTAGACATATAGACATATGAATCCGATGCTATGAGTCTGTCGGCTCAGTGCAAGTCAAAATAATCCTCGTATCGTCGTATTCCTCGTATCTTCTAGAATGCTGAGTCTGCTTTGAGGTCATGCAAGTCATGCGATTCACTCTTTGTGGCCTCCACGCACGGACCAACGAGGCTTGGCATGACATCTTCATCACCCGTTCGCCATCTTCATCATACTGAAGAACAAGATCATAGTCCGAAGCTCAGCTAGCGTTAACCATTCTCTCAACTGCAACATAACCTGTATCTAGTCCATCCGGCCAGAATTAGACTATCGGCAGCCATCTCCACCTGGGATCACCACAAGACAAGACACAGCCAATAACCACCTACCTACATAGGTACTTACATCAAATGGCATCAACCTCCGAGATCCCCAGCACAGCAGGGGGCTTCATGCAACCTTCTCTGCCATCTCCCGCGCCCTCATCATCCACCGCCACGCCATCCATCCTGCCCAAGCAGAGATCGCATCCACTGCGGCCAGGCTCCACCAAGGAAACGACCGTCATCAACCACGTCGACCGGGTCATCTTGACTATTAACCGGCGCCATGCTAAGAAGTTCAGCAGCGCCTACGAGGATCCGACGCAGTCTGGCTCGGCGCAGTTGGAGCGCGGGTATGAGGGGTTTCAGGAGGTTGCTAAAGATATAGAGGGGTTGGTTGATGTGCTTTGGGTTAGTGGGACTCGTATGTTTATCCTTTTTTTCTATTGTGTTTTGTTTTGTTTTTTTTTTTTTTTTTTTTGGCTAGGTGGTTGGATGTGTATCTGCCTACCTACCTACCTATAGCTGGGTCGTGTATATGGGATGATCGAGTCTGAACTCCGACGTCCTACATGCCTTGCTCCCCCTCTACCTCCTTCAATCACATCAGAACCAGAACCCTGAAAACAGTATGACCACACCCTAACCACCCCAACAGCATCCCTCCAAATCCCATACCTCATCTCCCTCGCCGTCCTAATCAACACCTACCTCCCGGACTACCCCTTCACGCCGAAGCCCACCTTCCGGCTCCTCAGAAAGCTAGACACGGTCTTCGCGTCGCTCCTCACCGGCGAAGACGCCGACTCCGGCGCGCCTTTGTCTGGCTTCGAAACCCGACGGAACGTGGTCTCCATGACGGAGAAAGTCCGCATCAAGAGCATCGCCGAGACGTGTCGTGTGACTGTTGTCGAGGCGCGCGAGACGGTGGATGAACTAGCTGAGGATGATGACGACTCTGACGATGATGAGTTGGGGATGGAGATGGAAGATGTCTACGGGACGAGGGGCGATTCTAATTCTAACTCTAACGCCGATGTCAATGTCTATGCGGATGCCCCCGGACGGTGGGAGATGGAGACGGCTCGCGTGTATGAGAAGACGATCCAGTTGCTCGGCGATGAGTTGGGGAAGGCGGGCGAGTTTTGTGATGAGAATATGGCTATGGGGGATGAGGTTGAGGGGGAGGGGGGTTGTCGGATATGATTATTCTCTTTTCTCTCTCTCTTCTTCCTTTTGGGTCTTTGGTCTTTGATGTTGTATGGAGTTTGTATGTTCATTTCTGGGATTAAGGTGCTTGGGGATGGACTTGTATATTGTATGTTATGTTGTACAGTACGGAGTACACCGGAATAAGCTATCTTTCTTTCTTTGGTTAGTTAAGGTGATTGTTGTCGTCATTAATGACTAATCCATTCATAGCCTGATTCCTTCCTGAATCTGATTCCTGAGGCATTTACATAGGCATAACTACCTAGGTACACTTCACTCACCATAATAAAAAGATATGAAGACACGAACCGCGCAATTCCATACCTACCTATAGTCCATCCAATCTAACACGACCCAGACAAAAAAACACGAACCAGAAAGAAAACGAAAGAACGAAAAAAATCAACTCTAACCAAACCAAACCAAACCAGCCACAGCTGAACGAGTGGGACCGACCCAAAAGAAAGAGAAAAAAAAGAAAAAAGAAAAGAAATTAGTGCTTACACAAGAAGAAGAAAGGTGGATCGTTGGACAGGCGAACCCGAACCCAGAGAAAGGGCATGGGAAATGAAAGAATCTTGCTCGAACGGTAGTCAAACCACATGGCAAAAAAAGGAAAAAAAGAAAAAAAAGAAAAAAAGGCGAGGTTTCGGAGGAGGGCGGATCGTTGTTGAATGGATCTTTCTTGGTTTGGGGTTCGTGGGTTTGAGTGGTTCGATTTTTTTTTTTTCGGTCGATTCTTCTATTTGGTCTATTTAGTTTAGTTTATTTTTTATTTTTATTTTTATTTTTTTTTCACTTCCACTGAGTACTTCTACAGTTCTACTAAGTATAGACTTATACATTATACCTACAAATCTTGGTTATGCGCAGGTGGCAGCCGGCAACGTTGAAGGTTGGGATGGGGATAAGGCGGAAGGGTTGTTGGGTGTTGTTGGGCAGAGGCGGTTCCATGGTTTCAAAGTCCATCAAAGGAAAGCATTGACTTCTTACTTACTCAGTGTAAGTAATGACAATTCCTTCAAGGGATGAGGAGAGCATTCAAATGAATGGGCATCTGCAAGGGACAGACCCTAGCTCAGGTACCTACAGACAGACAGACGGAGATGTATGTCTGGTCGAGCATGTGCAGGTATCTGCCAGAACCAGTCATCGGTCTGATGCAAGGGAAAGAAACAGGAAAGTCGATTGATTGCCTTTTTGCTTATACTAGCCAACTACTTGTACAGCAGTGAGATGATCGCGTCGCGTACGCGTAACGTCTGGGGGAATCCTCGGGGGTAAGAATGACAAGCCCCAAATACCAAGTCGAATTGCAAATACCACATCCTGCCTTTCCGATGCCCACGAGCCCATCGTGACTGAAAGGCCTCACTCAGGTACAATTTATCCCTCCCATTTCCTGCCCCAATCGACCGCAATCAAAATTACGGGCGCTGGTCGAACCCTTCCAGCCAATGAGACTAGGGAACTGGCCAGGTTTCCATGGCTCTGGTTTGGTGGAGTTGGTCTTTAGCTTCGTCGGCCTTTCTTTCTTAAGGGCTGTTACTTCTTGCTCTGCCTGGCTTTTCTCGCCCCCCTTCCTGGAGAGTCAAGAGCTGCCGTTCTTGCTTCTTCCCTATGAATCCCCTCCTTCTTCTCGTGTGACCTCCCATGTTCTTTAGGGCTGTCCGGACAAACCCTTGATATCTCAAACACCGATGGCACTAACTTGCTAGAGAGCAGCTTGGACCACCCCGTGTTTGCTATTATTAACCCTGAATTCCCCCATCCCAGCTCGAACGGCTCTGATCTGGTACCAGGTGGGTATGAGGTAGTAACTGAAGGTATTATTTACCTTACCGTGGGCCTCTCTCATGCATGAAAGAACCTGCGTGAATTATTAATGAAACAACATGAGCCCTTGCTGCGTCTCGAATTTTTCCTTTTTTTCTTTCCCTGCCTCGAGAAGTCGAGAGAGATCCACGATCCCATGGTTCTGGCACATATCCGGTGGAGCAATTGGGTTGACTTTTTTCTTTTTCTTTCTCTTTTTTTGTGGCCCGCCCTCTCAGCTCCCTTCCCCTGGCCTCCAGCTCTTCCCTGAAATCGCCCTGTTTCGAGCGGTCTTAGACGCCTGGAGCTGTTTTTTGCCCGGCTGAGCAAGACGGGGCGATCCAAGGAAACAATGTTGACTGGTGTGCCCGCAAACGGAAAGGGATCATCGAATGACCTTCGCGCATTGGCAGCGACGGGCGGAGACACGGCCACAGTTATGACGATAAGGCCCATGGTCACGAATTGGGGCTCGACGAGTCACAAGAGTCTGATGGCGGAGAAAAAATCGACTTGAGAAGAGTGTTCCTAAGGGAGGGGTTCTTCTTTTCCTCTGTACACAGTACAGTGTACACCGTGTATGTGCAGGGGAAAGAAAAGAAGAAGACTGTCGCGAGTCTTAAGCCTCGACAAACTCCGTCAACCTCTGCTGCTGCATGTGCGCATCACCCTAGCTTCTCCGTACGGAGTAGTTATTCCTCTGTACTTCCAGTTCTTCCGACCCATGTACACCGTATCGTTCGCGGTTGGTAGCGTCACCAAGAACCATAGTTTGCCCTTTCCGTACCCTTGCTTTTGGCGACAGGGCTGGATACACTTACACAACATGCTTGTCTCAGTGTCTCAGAACCCCCCTACATCAAGTCGAGAGATCCTTATTAAAACAACATCGGTGCAGGGATAATTGAGTCTTTGGGGACCTCGTCAAGCAAAGCTGTGTGGGTCAGTCACCACGGTGTAGTGTATCTGAAAGCCGGGGGTATATCGTGTCTAATGACCAGGAGCACATTTAAGGTTGTTCGATGAGAATTTCTTAAGTCGACGCCTCATTAGATCAATGTCCGAAGGGGCTCACGACTTGCTTTTGAATGATCATTGATCATGGAACAATTCGTACACCGTACGTGGTTAGTGCAGGTGGGGAGAAAATAAGAATCATGTCAGGTTCGACCTGCTTCAAAATTAAAATACCGGCCCTCGCATACCTGCTGATTTCTCATCACTGCTGATCTCTTTGATGGATGCTTCAGGCAACGAGCTTCTGACGGATGATAACAATGGATACATACGGTGTACACTAGCCATGAGGCAATGTGTACGGAGTAGAGACCACAGGCTAGACCCATTGGAATGGACGAATACATACAACATACCAAGACCCGGTAAGGCCACGATCCCACCGGAAATCCAGATCTACACGCTGCTGTTGCTGAGCCGAAAAGTGCACCGCCAACCAGGAAAAGAAAGAAAAAAAAAAAGAAATCAGACGGAGGAGTCGGCAAACTTTCATGTCCCACTCAGCTGGCTGTGCTTTTCGCCCCTCTTTCCTCTCTTCCTGCTGGATTGGCTGCTGGTTCAGGTGTATTTTTCCCTCTTAATTACTGCGTACAGAAAAGAAAATTATTTAATTCAATTAATTCAATTTTCTTGGGATTCCCAAATTCGTTTGTTCGTTCGTCTAATCGACTCTGCTGCTTCTGCCGTCCTTGGGCCCTAGTATTCTCTGTCCTCGGATTCTTCCCTTTTTTCTTTTCTCTTCTCCCTTTCCCTTTCCTTCCCCCCCCCCCCCTCCCCTCCATCCTGAAGAATATTATCTGCTAGTTCTTCTACCCCTCTTCTTTTTTTCTTCCCTTTTTCCTTTTGCTTCTCTTTTCCCTTTCCTCCCATCTTTCCCTCTCCTTTCTTCTCCCGTTTCTTGTTCTTGTCGGAAAAGACGGAGTCGGTTTTGCGGATAGTTTAGTAACGCTTTCAGTGTCTTTTCTATCTTTTTTATTTTCCTCTATTGTTTAGTTCTCGCCTCATCTGGCCGGAGTTCTCTCGATTCTTCCAGTATAACGTCTTAACGCATACTACTTGTCATTTGCGCCACGTCAAAGCAACGCATCTTTTGTGCAAAATATTTACGAGCTTGCTTTTCTTTTCTGTTGCTTGGTAAGCCCTTCTCATGTTCATCTTTTTTTCCATTCTTGTCTTTCGTTTTGTTGCCTCTTGTCTCGTTTGTTCTCCCGGGTGGTGATGGTTACACTTTACCTCATGTTGGACCGTTATCCCTTGACCACCCCTCCCCTATCTGGTTCGCTGCCGAGGTGCATACTCTCTGCCATGGATCGCTGCGATGGCGCGGGGGCCCTTACCTGCCGTTGAGCAGTTCCGCGCAAACTCGCTCTGGGGCCTCTCGTATCCAACCGACCGATTAGATTCAGCAGCGGACTCGATGCGCCAGCCGATCGATATCTTGCCGTGGTCACCAGTAGTGACTCAACTATCGATGGAGGTCATCCTGTTGATCGTCTCTATGAATTGCTCGGACGATGGCATGGTCACCCGAATTTGGCTCTGCAATGGGGGTTGTTCAGCATCGACGGGAAAAGCGGATCAATGCCGACGAAGACGGTCGCGATCGGGACGGATGGATCCGGGGACCATTTATCGACGAAAGCGGTTGCGACTTGGGGAATGCTTTTGGATCCTCTCGACATGCGCCGTGTTTTCGGTCATTGAACTGCACAGATAATCGAACTGTGCCCAAATTCCGAGCCCTTCGGCTATGCCCTCATGTCCTGAAGCGTCGCTAGCTGAATCATGGTCTTGGCAACGAGAGTACGGCACCGCGCAAGCAAGCAAGGCTGATACGCTGCATCCGCCTTTACGAACCTTTTTCTTCCGCCAATTTGTCCCATCCTTCATTCTCGGAAATTATTCACTTTACGAAAATCGCCTTTCCTTGGAGTTCGAATCTGTCTTTATTTGCGATCTAAATCACTCGACACCTTCTTTTCATCTCACTTTTGTTTCTTTTCTGGCTTTTGCTCTTCTCGCGTCTCGTTGATCGGTCACGATCTCTCTTTTGGACGTCAACTTTTTTTTTTTTTTTGACAGCAAAACTAATCGTCTTGCCCATCTCCTTAGGAATTGAAAATACCCTCAGTCATTCTCCAAGTGCTGAACGATCATACGCTGTTCACTCCTTGACGACTACAACGAAGTTCCAGTCGCACGGGCCGTTTTCGGAATAGAAAAGTTTTTCTTGCTTGGATTTCTGCTCCTTTGCCTGCAATTTCTTCAGGTATGCGCAATCCTCCCTTTGTCACCGGGCGCTTGGCTGGCAACGATGAAGTGATCCACATCCATGGACAAACGGGGCTTGAGTTAACGGTGAAGTCTTGACAGATATCGCCCTCGTAATTATCTTTACGATCATCGGATTTTCACGTCAACATGTCTTTCCAGAACTTTGAATCTTTCCCCAACCAGCACCCCGCTGCGGACGCTGCCGCCGCTGCCCCTGGCGCTCCCGCTCCCGCGGACACGGCCATGACCGGTCAGGCCGACCCTACCACCGCCCCGTTTCAGGGCCCTGCTCCCGGCGAACCCTCTGCCGCCGTTCCCCAGCAGGGCAACGACGGCAAGACTACGCTCTGGTACGGAACAAATTCCTTGGCATGCGTGTTTTCGCGATCTGAACTGACCACGTTTGGTTCCACAGGATGGGTGAGCTTGAGCCTTGGATTGACGAGAACTTCGTTCGCAACCTCTGGTTCCAGATGGGCGAGCAGGTCAACGTCAAGATGATCCGCGACAAGTTCTCTGGGTGAGTAGCTGGGAATCCCTCCTTGCCGATTTGATTACGATCCTAATGATGGTAGTAGGAGCAACGCCGGCTACTGCTTCGTCGATTTTGCCTCTCCCGCCGCCGCTGCTAAGGCCCTGTCCCTGAACGGCACCCCCATGCCCAACACCAACCGTCTCTTCAAGCTGAACTGGGCTACCGGTGGAGGTCTTGCCGACCGCAGGTAAGATTTCAATTTGACAGGGATTACAAACCCAGGTTAGACTAACGATTCCCGACAGCCGTGACGACCGTGGCCCCGAATACTCCATCTTCGTTGGTGATCTCGGCCCTGAAGTCAACGAATACGTTCTCGTCTCTCTCTTCCAGAGCCGTTTCCCGTCGTGCAAGTCCGCCAAGATCATGACTGACCCCATCAGCGGCATGTCCCGTGGCTACGGCTTCGTTCGTTTCTCCGACGAGAACGACCAACAGCGTGCTCTCAGCGAGATGCAGGGTGTCTACTGCGGCAACCGTCCCATGCGCATCTCCACTGCCACCCCCAAGAACAAGGGTCCCGGCGTTGTTCCCGGTGCCATGGGTATGCCCGGTCCCGCGGGCATGTACCCCCCTATGGGTGGTCCTCCCATGGGCTTCTACGGCGCTCCTCAGCCCATGAACCAGTTCACCGACCCCAACAACACCACCGTGTTTGTCGGCGGACTCTCTGGCTACGTCACCGAGGATGAGCTCCGCTCTTTCTTCCAGGGATTCGGCGAGATCACCTACGTCAAGATCCCCCCTGGAAAGGGCTGCGGTTTCGTCCAGTTCGTTCAGCGCCACGCTGCCGAGATGGCCATCAACCAGATGCAGGGATACCCCATCGGTAACTCTCGCGTTCGCTTGAGCTGGGGCCGCTCTCAGAACAACTCCGGCCCTGCCGGCAGCCCCTACCGTCCTGCTCCCCCTCCGCCTCCGATGTACCCTTCTATGGGCATGCCCCCTGCCCACCAGTACGGCGGTTTTGCACCTATGAAGGTTGGTGGTCACCCTGAAGACACTGCTTAAAATCCTTGCTATCGCGTCTAGTGGGAAGAAAAAAATATGCAGTCTTGTTAACGAACCTTTCTAGTAAAAAAAAAAGCGTTCCTCTTTTTTTTTGAAAGCAACAGCAGGAGTTCTTGCGTCATTTTCCTATGGTGGGCCCTTTGTGTCCTAAGTCTGCTATTCCCCTTTGCCAAAGTTCCCCTCTATAGCTCCTGATGGGCGTTTTTTTCTCCTGTGCTACGTACTTCATTATATGTGAGCGCTTCCGTTTTAGCAAGATCCGAGCTTATGGTTTCATCTTATCCTGTTTTCCTTACTTGATCCCCATTTTCATACTTGATGCTTTTCTATTTTACCACTCTCAATGTCTTCCCCGATATTTTCTCTTCTACCTCCCCCTTTTTTTTTTCTCTCTATCATTTCTCTCTTAGGTTCTTTTTACGCGTATGACTTACCCAATCGTATCGTTGACGTGCTTTTCTTTTCTCTGTTCTTCTCTTCCTATCCTTGGGCAGGCATTCTGCGAAAAGTTCATCTTCAAGTTCAAATTGAATTGTGTGTCACACCGAGGATGTTACGTCATGCCTTTTTGCTAGACCGGCCTGTACAACATTGCCTTTTTCTTTTCTCAATACTCCCACTGCTCGTCTAAGTCTGTTGCTCGTTTGACGCCGTTTCCCTTTGTGGTTGTGCATCTTGAGTTTGGTCAGTCATTGCGTGGCCTATCTTTTCGCGGGTCTGTCCTTCTGTCTTCTCTTGTTGCTGCTGCTTCTCATGGAGCCGGCGTTGTGTGACGACGCCGAGACTGGATGGGCATCTCTTCCTTGCAATTGAGCATTCGTTCTTGTAGTTACTCGGGAGGTTGGAAAGCCTGCTGGGTCCTTTAGCGCCCCTTACGGAGTTCACGGTTGAAGGCCGCTCATTGTCTGCTTGCGATTCTTAGGTCGGCGGCGGTCTCTTTTCACGACATTTGCGATTCCAAGATGGGCGTTCTCGTATCATTGTCATCCGTAAATGTGTTTCCATGTCTCTCAGACACTCTTTAATCAGTCGTTTGTTCCTGGATGATTCCCCCTTCGTTCTGCCACGAGTTTTACATCGCGTTTTCCATACCTCGAGATAGTGAGAATCCGAACATAGTGAATTTCTTATGATGTCGATAGAACCTTAGGACGCGGACTCGTTCCGGGCCTGTTTCGGCCACGCCTGCCTCCTACCTGCATTGCACCTCGATGCGGAAGGAGCATCTCGTGATCGAAGTGGTGAATTGCTAACAACAAGCCGGGTCCTTTCTAGTTCTCATCTTCTCTTTCTCCCCCACCCGCCTTCGTCGGTGTGCCATCTGCTCTTTTTCCTTGACATTACTTCTGTTATCTCAGTATTCTAAGACTACGATACTTCGTTTCGCATCTTATCCCGCAGCAGAACCCATAGCAGATCAGGCAGGATGCGCTACGATAACTGGGACGTGCTTCTGTTTCCAGAGAGCTCCAAGGTGCCTCTGCAGGAATTCTAGACCCAATGTTTTGTCATTAAGGATACAGGTTGAGTGAATCCCTGGTCTGACTGCAGGGAGCCATCCGCTGACATACCTCTCACGCTTAGAATCCCCGTACCTGCACAGTCCTGCGCTCGTCAATCCGGCCTCGTACTATTTGCCCCAGGGCAACCAGGGACTGTTGCCAGTTCTCACCACTTTCATCCCCAGCATCTCCCCGAACACTTCGTTCCGGGTGTCCGTCCATAGCTGGGAAAAGCCTCGTCCCACTCGACTGATGGACAGCCTCTTGCAGCCTGAAGATGCTCTGCTTTTTGAGATTCGGATATTCATCGACGGTCTGTGTGTCTCGTAAGTACTCGAGCGTCCCAGATGTAGCACTCATGGAGAGATTAGGCTAACAAATGGTCGTTTGTCACTGCTCAGGGGAAGTGTTTTTAGTCAGAGGACCAGCTGGCCCCATGTGATCGGTAAGCCGCTAGATCCTATAACACCTGGGTGTATGGCTCTTATACTAACCGATGTGAACCAAATGAATAGACTTGAGCTCCTGTATGGCTTCCATGCCCCCGGAAAGCACGCCTGCTAATACACTACTCCTCTAGATGTCGACAAGAGTGGCAACCAGGACACGCTTCGATTTCCTCCTTTCCATCAAGAGATCCTAGAGCAACGATACTGGGATGCCGGTGAGCTCTATGGAAGAATTCGGGTGGTAATCTCCGAAGGGTTCGCCCGACCGCATCGCACTCCGCCGTTTGAGCGAGTCAAAGAGGTTGTGGCATTTTCGTTTCAACATGCTCCTCTTCGTAAGCCTTTCTGAAGTCCTTTTGAGAGCTTGCTCTAACGATATCTTCCTTTTTAAACCGAAAACAGAAGTCTTAGAATGTTCTAGCATTGCCTGGCCGAACGCTGCCATGTGGACTCGTGAACCTCGTCTCTTTAAATACAACTCCGGAAGTGGAACCAGCGAATTGAAGGAACCAGAGGATACTCACACCCACTCGCCAACCAGACACAGCACCCAGCAGGCCGCCATATCTGCCGTTCCGGTAGCCAACCCAGCTACACAAAATACTTGGCAATACAAAACCTACCAGGGACCCGTCCCTCAGTGGCCAGGCAAACTCGGGGAGCCCAAGTGGCCGCCTCAGGAACCGCCGTTCATGCAGGATGTTTATATCGATCCTTACCTGCTCGATCCAGCCGCCCGGCATCGCGGTGCTAGACCGTCCTGGGAGGACGTTTCAATGCCAGACTATGTTTCTAGCACGACTGGTAGCCGGGCCATCTCAAGCATGACTGGCGTTAGTTACGAGCACAGTAAGCACCCCAGCATCATCGCGCCGATTGACGAGGAGGCATATACTCAATTGGTCGAGGCGCTGAGTCCTCCCAAACCTCTCGCCTGCGGCACCCATGCACCCACCAACACTCCGTCTAGCGTGGCCCCAGTAGGTAGCAAGCTCTCAGCTGCCGCTGAAGCGCGCTCGGCATCCTACACCAGAGATGGCAGTCGATCGTTCCCTCTCAAGGATATCTCACAGGCCGGGACCAGAAACGCATCCGAATCAAGCGTCAAGTCTAGCCTCTTGCCAGATCCTTTGGCAGAGACCACGGCATCAAGCAAATTGCATGCTAGCCCTAACATGAATGTCAAGAGTAGGAAAGAGGGAATGTCTCAGGACAACAAGGAAAACGAAAGTGCTGGGGAAACACCGCGCAGGGAGAGTGAAAGAATCAATAACACTCCGACCAAGACGGTCAGGCGTTTAAGCGGGAACTTGGACTCTCCAGCCGAGCATAGAAGGCAGCGGTCCATTAGTTCAACACGCAGCGAGGGCATCACGCCTTCTAAAGGGGAATCGGTCTCATGCCCGCCCGTACAAGAGTTGCCTGCCCCAGAGGATGTCGTTCGTCGAGTCGGTCTGGACGAACTCCTCGATTCTAGCATTCAGCTAATGAGCGGCACGTCTGAGGTCACTTCAATTGATTGACTGTATCATTTATCTGTGGCTCTGCTCTTGCTCTGCCCCCTTTTCCTCACCTTCTTCTACTGAATGAGTGCAATGCACTCATTCACCCTGCCACTTGAAGCGAGTTCCATTCACTGAAGCCTTGTATCCCGGTTATCCAACGCATGTATTATCTCTTTCTCTCTCTTAACAACCAAAAGCAAAATAGACTTATCATGTTCAATGCTGGTGCATCCAATGACTCCCGCGTAACGTAACCAGGCTGTGCCATCCTATTTGAGTAGGAGCCCCCCTCTTCCGACTGATCACTTGTCAACAACCCTCCCTTTCTCTTTCTTTCCTTCCCGCCTCTACTATTATTCCCTCAACCTCACACTCTCTCACACCCACTCACCCATCTCTATCTGTGTCTCTCTCTCCCCGAACTACACCATGGCAGACGAGTCTACCAACTATGACTCACCTTCCAGCGGACTGACTCCCCAAGATGGGGTTCCTGGAAATCCTCCTTTATCTTTCACACTCAGTAGTTCATCCGGCTTCGCTCAGTGGTCAGATATATCTTCCCCTTTCTGTGCACTGACTCTCTCTTCTACTACCGTCAAATCCGCTCCCTGCGCGGACGCCACTCCCGCCTCTGTTGATACGAAAGATGAGATTGAGGAAGGTGAAATACACGAATTGCTGCCTATCGCTCCTGACGTGAATATCGTACCTCAGTTCCAGGTTCGTCTCAAACTATGCTAGAGCTTCCCTCCGCGATCTTTCTAACCAAAACGTTTGCATAGTCTCATCCGGGTCTCCTATGTTTAGAGTCGCTTAACACCATGGCTCTGAATGAAAGTCAAGTATTGTTCTACTTTGGAATTCTCGCAGTACAGGAGTTTCTATTGCCTCGCTTCGAATTTGTGAATATTGGAGAGGGCTCTACCTGGGGTGTCACGCTCACTGTGTAGGCTGCACGATTACTAGGTTACGGGAGGACAGGACCCCGGAACAGGCCAAGGTTGAGGTCTGTCGCGAGGCTCTTGACAGGCTCAGGTCTATTTACCCCGGCTGGATCGTCCCGGATGAGCCCAGCGATTTGCCACCGGATTCTGGTTGGGACTGGTGTGAACTTTTGCAAAGTAAGATGTTTACTGTGTGCTCAGTTGTACCTTCTAACAAGTCATACACAGAGTACTGTCTCTTCAACGGGTTGCAGATTCCGAAGTACATCAAGCACTTTCACGAGGGCGGCTACCGTCATGAGGTTGAGCTAGATGGCGTGACATACTCTGGGGCCCTTAAGCCCTACTCCGAGGAGTCCGAGTCTCAGAAGGACACAGCGTTCAGGGCTCTACACGCAACCTTGGTATCAACCCGAGATGCGTTCTGCCATGCGTTAGGACCACTGACTCTAGAGAAATCCTACAAGGAATTGCTGAGGCTTGTCCGAGAAGCACATCCATACAGAGAAGAGCAGCGCAAACCGGATGCCAGAGTCGTGTACGATGTACCAATGGCTACCCACGAGCCCCAAGCAAAGAAACAGAGAAATCAAGCAAGAGCAAATCAGAGACGGGCAGCCAGGGCCTTCAAGAAGACTAATACTTACAGGACGGCCAAAACTTTTTTGGAAGTTCGGATGCCGAAGTATGTGAATTTTCTGCCAGTACCAAAGTGCAGGATCACACCAGTCGAGGTGCCTGTTCAGATAGAAAGAGCTAGGTGGCCAGTCAACCCACAGCAAATCTGTAATGAGCTCGTGGGGGTTAAAGTTCATTCTGAAAGGCTCCGAAGTAACATCTCCCTGCCCTTCACCTTGTCGATCAGGTTGCTAACGATGTTCTCCCTTTGCATCCTTCCTTGATGGAAGGAGCACTCAAATGCATGTCTATCCAGAAATTTGCAATCTTCTTTCTCTGGATTATCCTGAATTCAGGCTCGGACGACTAGAAGAACACTATGTCAGCCCAAGGGGTCAGTGGCACGCGGACGCACTCTTCAAGAGTGATCCGTTCCTCACTCGTGTCGGGCCCATCGGGGAAGTGTCCACTGAGAATTCTACCTGGAGAGAAGCCCAAGAGATGTGTGCCCAGCGGGTGTCTCAGTACCTGATCGACATGGTCAAGAAGGACTTGCTGGTGGAACAAGCGGCAGCGAAAGTCCGCTTCGACCGAGAACAATGGGGGACGAAAGCTGCGAATAGGGCAATGTTCAAAGGATATGTCGACTCAATGCAGATAGACTAGGCACTAGGTATACTGTATGTACATGCATAACAGAACGTACGAATAACATCTTTCTTACCTACGTTACTACCTTCCAAAACAGCAAGACATGGGAGGGGACAGAAACCGATAACCAGAGCAGATAGACAGAAAGACAGGAAGAACGATAAACGAGATCGTGATACTTGGGTTCAGGGTATTTATTCTTTTTCACCAGACAGGCAAACAGACAGACAGACAGACAGGCAGGCAGGTAGGAAGGGGATCCATTCAATAATGATACAGACATTGTAGCAACGAAGGAAGAAAATGTAAAATGGATTTGGACTAGATTTCCTTGCTTTTTCTTCTTCCGGTCTTGTTTCATGATATTCCAAGTTTGAGTTTGAGCTTGAGTTTGGAGAAAACCAGAAAAGCATAATGTGGCCATGGTATCTCTGATATGATTTGGTTTGTTCATCTGTTCTGTCCTGTCTCCAGCTAGCCAACTAGCTAGGCAGCCAGCCAGCAAGAGAGGGAAGCAAGCCACGCGACAAGAAAGTGAAACCATGGACAGCTGAAAAAGAGCAAAATATCGAAATGGAAGAAAAGGAAGGGGAAAAGAAAAGAAAAGAAAGCACCTCGGCAGAACGAGACGAGTCGAGTCAGTCGGAAGGAGGCAAAGTCAAGTCAATCAAGACATGAAAATGGAAAACGAAGAAGTTTCTCAATTCATAAAACCATTCATCTCCAAAGAGAAGTCGTCAGGCAAGATCGAGTCCTCGTGGGGTAAAACGCCATGAAGATAAAGCAGCATACATGGATAGATAGACAAAGGAAAAAAAGATAAGATGGGTGAAGATGGAGAAGGGCTCGAAATGAGAGGAAGGAAGGCCAATCAGGAAGAACATCTTCAGTGATAATCTCAAGTATTAAGATGACGAATGTACTAACGCTAGACAAATATCACGCAAGTATGTTTGTGGCCCGTAGGGGGAGCGGTAGAGACAAGAATTAGCCAGATAATAGTCAGAAGTAGTGGTAGTAGTAGTAATAATAATAGTAGAAGGAAGAATCGAGTCGAAAAAGACGTAAAAAGTCACAGCAAATCAGCATGGCCACAAACAAATCCATTTCAGGGAGGATTCAGAACATCTCGTTGGTTCAATAATGAAAGGATATGCAAGAAACGGGTACACCAACGCCAGTCTCACAGACACATATCCAATATCATGGCGACAACAGCAAAGCACAAGAGAAAAGAAAAGGAAATAAAAATATAAGAGAGAAAATAAAAGAAAGGAAGAGACTAGGAGAAAAGAGGGTAATTTCAAAAGCAAGAGAGAAGCCGAATACCACAATGGAGGATTTAGAAATGTACAAAACAAGGAAGGGTATATGAGGATGAATTGAATATCCGTTGGGCTCGTTTACAAGCTATCGCCGGCACCGGTTTCAACACCATCGGTTGGGTAGGGCATGTTGGGGTCGAACCCAAAGCTTGCGGTGTCCGCATCGGTGTTGAGGAATGTGTCAAAGTCGAAATTCTCCAGAATATCAGGATTCTCCAGAGCGCTGAAGTCAAGGTTGAAAGCGGACGGCTATCGTCGTGGTCAGCACAAGGTTCACACAGAACATAGAGAAGCAGCTTACGTCTGGGATGCTGAGGTCGTTGAACGACTGTTGACTCTGGTCAGGGGGCTGCTGCACGAGCGGCTGCGGCGCAGGGGCAGACGTTGGCGGCTGAGGAGCGGTCGTCGTAGCGTTGGCACCGGCCTTGTTAAATGAGTTGGGGTGCTGGGGCGTGATAGGGGTAGATGGAGTAGGAGTTGGTGGATGCTCCGCTTCGGAAGACGGAGTGGCCGCCGTGTTCGCGTTTGCGGCCGCGTTCGAAGCCTTCTTCGAAGGTCGCTAAATCGCGTTCAGCATTTTCTTTTCAAGGAAGGGGAGCAAAGACAAAGAAAATGAAGACAGGGTTAAACACAACAGTAGATAAGGGAGGCCACGTACCTTGCGACTGTCTTTGGTATCTTTCTTGCCCTTCGGTGCGGGCTTGTTAGCTTGCTGCGGCGTTGGCGGAGCGGCGCCTGTTTGAGGTGAAGCTCGACCGGCGTTGCCACCAGCTGCTGGCGGCGCTTGAGGGGGAGGCATCGGGTTGTTCTGCGGAGTTCCGGTAGTCTGAGGCTGACTCGCCGGAGACGGCTGCGGCGCCATAGGCTGACCCTGAGGGCCCTGCTGAGGCTGCCAGCTGCCACTCGGCACCCGGTTGTTCGCACCCGCGGGAATCGGCTGGCCCATCTGAGGGCCGGTGAAGGCCGGGTTGGAGCTCGGGGGTCGCATGCCGTTGGGGCCTGGCATACCCTCTGGCATACCCTTCACGAAGAATTGGCCGGCCATCTCAGGAGGGATCTGACCGCCGGCGAAACTCATAGACGCTGGGGAGGCGCGGCCTTGAGCCATCACATCGCCGGCACTCGGGGATCCGGGAAGACCGGTCTGGGGCATCTTTGGCGTACCCCTCTTCATTTGATCGTTGGGATTCGGTGACGTGCCCGCCCTGCTGCCCTGGGGAGAGGTGCCTGGTGGCAAAGCCTGCTGCTGCCCAGGCATTGGGGGCTGGCCGTCAGGACGGGCCATGCTATCCTGCTCTTGACGAGCCATCATCAAACGCCGCTTATTCTGCTGTTCAAGCAGCATAAGCTGCATTTGATAATCCTGGAGTGCATGGTTCCCATGCTGACCGCCAGGTGTCTGCATTCCAGCCCGAACCTGGGCCATTTGACCATTTGCGCCATAGTAATCGCCGTTCATCGGGTACATACCCTGGCCATCTGGCATGGGTACCAGATCCGTCTGGGGTGGCATGACACCGGGATTCATCAAACCATTCGGCATGCCCTGGTTATTCAATGCTGAGCGTGAGTGGTGAAGGGCTAAATTCTGAGCATATACCTGGATAGATTTCTGCTGACCAGCAGGGCCCGACTGGGGGAACGAAGTTTGGAACTGGGCGGGATTCATAGTCCGCGGGTTGAGACCGTTCTGCAACATGATCGCTTGGGGGTTCGGTTGGGCAGGCATGCCCTGGCCTTGACCCCGTCCATTGGGTGCCAATTGCTGACCATTCATGTGTGTGCCTTCAAGCCGGGGTCGCTTCGATGGGGAGGGGGCATTGTCTGCCGAGGACGGGGACTGCGGGCGGTGGCCGTTCATGTCGATATCTGAGTGTTCTCGCTGCATTTGCTGCATCATTTGCATCTGCTGGTTCTTCTGGAGCTGAGCGATCTGCTGCTGAGAACTATGTTGAAAATATCTAGTTAGCCCCTCAAGTTCACATTTGCCTTTGCAAGGGGTGCCAAGGATAAGCGTACAGGCCAGGCGTGTTGTTCTGCAGTACTGTCTTCTGAAGGTTGGGGGGAACCCCATTCCGACGGATGTTAAGCTGTCCGGGCATCATCGGCTGCTGTCGCAAAAGCTGGTTATGGTGCTGTTCCCTCATGCGCATGAAGTTCTGGTACATGGTCAGTTATTTCTCATTATTGTTCATTTTCCTCATTTTTAACTCCTTCAGATTTCTTTTTCCTGTGGCTTTGAAGCAGCCGGCTAAATTGCGCAAGACAGATGGTGCGTACCTGGTTATGCTGAAGATATTGCCTAACATCATTGCTGTTTCCCTTCTTGCGCTGAGCCCAGAAGAAGTCCCAGAAAAGGCTAAACCAATCTAAGAGGAAAGGGGACTGTTGGCCCTCGCTTGGAAGGTTGGGCCGCGGCAAGTCATCGGGGATTTTCATTTTCTCGCCATCTTTGCCGTCCGTCATCATGGCATCGCCATCAACCCCATTCACCTCGTTATCGCGACGATGGCCAGGACTAGATTTAATTGGCGGTTCGGTGCTGAGTTTCATCGCGTCGTCCTTCAGGAGGGCCCTGGCACAGTCGTGGTAGCCGCGCTTGAGAAAATAGTCATAGATATATGTGTTGAGGTTGTTGATCATTTGTTCGGAGATGTTATTCATGGTTCCATCGTTACGAGGAGCTGCAGAGCCGTTGTTGACCATTGGAACACCCCCGACGGGGCCCCCGGCTCCAGGGTTCATCCCAGCGACATTCATTTGGTTCATGGTGGCACTCACGTGGCTCAGCCACCCTCACCTTATGCTTGTCCTCGATGAAGAGCGTTGGAACTAAATTTTTCTTCAACGCGCATCCACCGTCTCGAGGCGAGGGAGCTCACCACAAGGTAAGACGTGGAGCGCGTGGCAATCGTAATATGGAGGAGAAATTCGACAGAGAAGCGGAGTCACCGATGCTTCCAGCCCTAGAGAGAGCAGGTCAGTTAGACAAGTATGCGCGGGCGACTGGGTGAAAAGACGCGGTGTTGAGAGATCAGGCAATGGTGACGCCAAAATGGGGGTTTTAAAACAAATCGTCTGATATCAAGAAAGGATCCACTAGATCGATGACAACGCAGAGGCAAGGTGTTGCGATGATCACCTACAGGGAGACAAGTGTGATCCGCTCAGGAGCAGAATGCGAGATATGGAAAACGAAAGAATCTGACGTTGCTTTCACGGCGCGGTAAGGAGCAAGCCACCGCAAAAGATTAAAAAAGAGGGAGACAAATTTAAAGGACGATAAGAGAAGAAAAAGAAGAAGAAGAAGTCTAGAAGGATAGGATACAGAGGTATCGGTTCAAACAATCCAGCCGAAAAAAATGCGCGGTAGGATCAACCGGGGTGGGCGGCGAACAAGCGACACCAGAGCAGACGGGAACGGCGTTTAGGAGAGAGAAGGAAAGTCAGAGGAAATCCGACGATAAACCCACTGGAAAATTGAAGAGCCCGAAAGATCCCAAGTGACAAGAATGTCCGTCAGGTCCCTGCAGAAAAGGGAAAGAGGAGACACGGCGAGACCCGGTCAGGATAAGTTAAGGTGGTGGAGGGGGGGGGGGGGAGTGGGAGGGATGGGAGGCGAAGGTTAGGACAAGGTGTTGCGGTGGATCTGAGGTGTTCTGGTGGGTGGGAGGACGTGGATATCAGGCGCGGTGCCTGGAGTGCTGGGCTGTTCAATCACTGCCGGCTGGGCGTGAATCGCTTGTTCGGCGCGGATTATCTCGCTCGGAAGCCGGCGGGAGGGCTGGGAGATGCTGCTGTCTCGCGTATTTCTGAGCATGCAGTCCGACACTCCGGGAAAGTCGTCCATAGATCGGGAGATGCGACTGAGTACTTACCTCCAGGTCTGAGTGAGATAGAAGATGGAGAATCGTCGCAATAGACAAAACGCAAGGAAGTTAAGAATTGAAGTTGCAATCAAAATGTCCAGTTAAGCCGCTGGTGGAAAAGAATCACCGTGAGTGAATCAGAAAAAGGAAAGGCAAGAGAATTGTGACCATACTAAAGACCGACTAAGAAAAAAAAAAGAAGAGGCAGGGTAGAATGTTTAGTACAGATAGTAGTAGGTAAAAGTTGAAAAGTGATCAGTATCCTCCCATAGTAGGTAAGGATGGCGTAGAAATGTTCTCCCGAGTGGACAGTGTGGGATGAGGTTCAATTCCCCCCAACAGAGGCCCAATGGTGCAATCCGGAGTATCACAATTCAACCACAATCATGAATCAGGAGCTGATGGCATCTGGATTGAGATGAATAATGGTCAGGCAAAGGAGCGAGACTTCCGGCAAGACGTTGCAGAAGAACGGATGATCGAAGCGATCCATTGGATTCCAGCGCGTACTTCCCAGAACGGCAGCGACCTCGACGGGTATGGCGCATCACGTGGTGCCCCTCCGGCGGATTAGAATTTCCTCTGTAGATCATTTTCATCGCTGCCGATTGCTCTGCTGCTCCTTCTGCTCTTGAATATTCCCCAGATTGTGGATCGCATTTAAAGTATTCACTCTCTATGCTCTGTGCCCTTTGTGAAGCAAATCTTGCTGTTTCTCCCATTCATCCCACCACGAGCTATCATTGGTGGCAATTATCTCTACGGAGTAGTAAGCAATGGCGACAAGTCATATCTAGTTGTCGCGATCTTTATTTTTATGTGGGAATTGTACTGAACATAATGAAAAATGTATGCCGTGCGCAGCTTGTCACGGCTGGATGACTAAGTTGGCATAAAATTTCCTGGCGATCATTGCTCTAGTCTACTCCATACTTACCTAGGCTATATAAAGTAGATCTTATTCCTTCTGCACTTTAGCAGCATTTCTTCACTAAATCGAATACAGAAGTTGAATCTGCTCAATTACAATCAATAACCGTGTCTTAGTCTATTCACCGCCTATATGTACTTTCCGATGTTTATTTAGGTTTGGTATACATACGGACAATATTCGCGCCCCGCAACGCAAGAAACAATCATAAAACAATACCCATGGAATTGATTCAACTCTTCTCTCATATGAAGGGTAACAGCACAGATAAATAGATCACAAAATCATAGTCCACCTGAATAGAGGTAATTTTGATATGTATTGCTATGTACCAGCTTCACATATAAGAATGCGAGTTTAAAAGAACAAAAAAAAAAAAAGCAGCCCAAAGCTCGAAGACACCATACGCCACATGATGATTACACCATTGCTATTCTTGAAGACGAAAGCTCCGATTACTCTTCCTCCGGGGGCATTTCATCCTCGATGTACCTCACCAGAGATACCCGCATTTCCGTTGTATCGTCGCCCCGCAACACATCACTAACAAAGTGCGCCTCGACCTGCATTTGCACCTGGAGAGATGAATTAGCCAGAATTCCGCGGGGAAACGATGCAAAGGCCTAGAGGAGATCGCAATTCTCACGACCATTCACTTACCATTTCCAATGCCCCTCTGAGGACTCCACACAAGATATTAGAGAACCATAGCTCGTCCTGTGCTCTACCATCGTCCGGCAATTCCACAAAGTCGGCCAAAGGGTTCTCGTCAAAGACAAGTGAGAATTGATTATTATCACTGGTCCAGTTGGTCACGGTAGGCGTGACGTTGAGGAATATTTTAAACCCGACCTATCCAATTGCGACGCTTGTTAGTTTCCCAGCGAAATCGAAACCCAGACGGGGAGAAGCTCGTGTAGACGCGGGAGTCGTACCTTGGCGATCATATCGGCCGTCTCTCGAAAATTCGCACATCGGCCAACACCCGATTTGGCAAGGAAGTCTTCAATAAGTCGCATCCCAATGTTGTACCCCATCTTGTCCAGTTGCTTGTTCACTTCCTGGTAATTGCTATCATAGTCTTGACACAGCTGCGCAACGATTGTTCCGTAAGTCAATGTCACCAGCTCCGCGTTCACCTTGTCAACCCTTGTTCTGGAACGTATTATCGTAGATGTTAGTTTCGAAGAACAGAGTGTTGAGTTCCCCGGTTTGGTGGTCGAGACGATGGGGAAAGAAACAACGGCATTCAGCTTACTGACTTCCATAGCCTACATGAGAGATTCACGGTTAGTACAGTAGCAAATAAAGATGTCACCGATATGGTTCAGAAAGATGCGACGTACTCTTCTCCGATCCTTGAGGCCTTTGTAGTAGACATGTTTACCCGGTTGTAAGCCAGTACAGTCAATGGAGCGCGGGTGGCAGATGAGGTTTTGGAAGGTCGAGCCTCGTGTAGTAAGAAAACCAGGTAGTAAGTGGTAAGCGCACTTGATTATAACCTTGACACGATGTTCACAAAGCACATTCCTCCCCGCGCAGTCAGTGGAGCGATGGGGGGAGACACGGCGGGCGGAGCTTCGCGCGCCTGGTGGGCCAGATTTCGCGTTTAGCGCGGCTAATCATTCGGCCATTCCGCGTCTGTGAAGAAGTCCGCATCGATGCTCCCGCAGTCGTCAGAACATATTAACAGCCTTCGCCTTCGTCCCTTGATCCTCACCCCCGACCCAATCTTTATTCCTACCTTGTGGGCCACGTAACTCAACCGGGATAATGTCTGGAGAAAAGCGACCCGCTCAGACGGCATTCGGCTCGTCTAACCAGGTCGTCGTGAAACGAAAGAAGTCGGACGCCGATCTCAACGAGGGCACAGCTGTTGTTAAAAGCTCCTCGCAAAATGGAGCTCTGATACAATCGGTATGCTATGATCTGAGCTCATGCATCAAATTATATTGACCTCAAACATCGCTAACAAGGAGTCCAGGTTCCCCGCACCAGTGGGCTGGATGCACCGATTATGGAGCTATCAGGTGAGAACCAATGCGCCCCAAGGTTATGATATCTGGGAACTTACTAAAATGTATGAATGCAGGCCATTCAGGCGAGATCTTCTCTGTGCGATTTGACCCTACCGCGCAGCACATAGCGTCCGGCTCAATGGATAGAAACATCCGTACGTTACCTGCCGACAGTCTTTACAAAGGCCCCATTACTGCGACCGTCGCTAATTGTAACTTCAACAGTGCTTTGGAATACATACGGACAATGCGAAAACTACGGCGTTCTTTCGGGCCACCGAGGGGCCGTTCTTGACCTGCAGTGGTCTCGCGATTCCAAGACGATTTTCTCCGCGTCGGCCGACATGACACTTGCAAGCTGGGACTTGGAAACGGGGCAGAGAATTCGCCGCCACGTCGGTCACGAAGAAATAATCAACTGCCTCGATATTAGCAAAAGAGGGCAGGAGCTCTTGGTGAGCGCAAGCGATGATGGCTGTGTAGGAATCTGGGACCCGAGGCAAAAGGATGCTGTTGAGTACCTAGAGTCTGAATTGCCCATTACTGCGGTGGCCCTGTCGGAGACGGGGAATGAAATATACAGCGGTGGTATCGACAATACCATCCACGTCTGGGACCTGCGCAAGAAGGCCGTGGCTTACTCGATGGCGGGGCACATGGACACCATTACCTCTCTTGAAATCTCGCCCGACTCGCAAACTCTCCTATCCAACTCCCACGACTCGACCGTCCGTACCTGGGATATCCGACCATTTGCGCCGACGAATCGGCACATTAAGACCTATGACGGCGCCCCCGTTGGTCTGGAGAAGAACCTCATCCGTGCAAGCTGGGATCCGAGTGGCGAGAAAATTGCCGCAGGAAGCGGTGACCGCAGCGTGGTTGTGTGGGAGACCAAGACCGGTAAACTTTTGTACAAGCTTCCCGGCCACAAAGGAACTGTCAACGACGTGCGGTTCTCGCCCAACACCGAACCTATCAGTAAGTCTTCAATGGGCCGGGCCGTCTTATATCTCTTAACTTACTGACCTGTGTGTAGTTGTTTCCGCATCGTCTGATCGGGGTCTTATGCTGGGTGAACTCGGCAAGTGATGCTACTTCAGATCTTGCAAATTAATAGCGGACCGAGGACCCATTTCATCACCGCGGCGTTTGTTTTGATACCACCCAATGCATGACTGAATCCAAATTTCCACGAGCTCGCGGGTAACCGGGCACTCTCACGACAACGGAGACGACTATTTCATAAGCTATCTAAAAGGAGACATGTATACCAACGAACCGTTGTATACGATTGCTCCTCAAGCATGGAGGGTCAATGGCTCATAGTATAGGCCCACCGGGGTCTAAAAATTAGCCCTTCGTTCTTGTCGAGGCATGCATTTTTACATTGTGATTTACAATGCATCTTCAAATATAACTAATCGGACAAGATTAGTAGAGCAACGGCGACCGAGGAGCTTCCACGGTTATTGTTTTTGTATACTATAGAAATCCAATAACAAGCGAATAGCGATGGACCCCGTGCTTACGAAGAACTACTGTAAAGACACTACCTCCTTCGGGACTAGTTGGGTCTGAAATTAGAATCTCGCAATCGCCATGACAGTCCAAAGTTTCATGTCCGTCGTCAGCTTCTTGGCGGGCAGTAGGGAGTAAGTAGTACTGTAGGTAGTACTCGGTATGGACGTGTGTGTTTATGCATGTATGTACTACATTAACTATGTACTTCCAGATAATTCGACGCGGGACTGAGTCTCGCGAGCCTGCATACTTGCAGTTGCAGGTACATACATTCCTGTTATGAAGTAGGGGCCGGGTAAATGCTGGCTTATCGGGCAGAATCGCCCCCTGGAAATTGGAAACGGACCGGACCTGGATTTTAGCAACGTGGGTCATCCAGGGGTAACGCTAAGACTAGTCCTGTATCTATGACCTATGCATACTGTAAGTGTACGAAGTGCATGCTCCTCCTACACTACGGACTACGGAGTCCAGCTCCAGCTCTCCTCCGTCTTGCCTCCCCCTCTTCCTCTTTCGCATTTCCTGTCAATCAATCTATCCATCAATCCCTCTTGCTCTCTATCGCAATATCCTGAATATCAGTCATTCAGATTCCCATCGTTCGTCTGCACTGGAACATCAATCGAGTATTTATGATTTAACCTGGGTGGCCCGGAGCCCCTGTCCTTTCGTTTGCTATCCTGCCTTTTGGCTCCTTTTTGGACTTTTCCCCATCTTTTCTATCTTCCTGTGAAATTCCTCCCTCATTCTTTCCGATCTTCGTGCCCGTGAAATATTATCCCCGGGTTCTCCCTTCGCTGGTATACCTATATTCATCGCCAATGCTGCCTCTGGGATCCCTGATCGCCGCCCATCTCGTCCTCATAATGAATGTATAGCGCCGCGAATCCCTCCCGCCGCAACCACAGCTTGACAGCCGTTACCAGGAAATTGTGCTTTCCTTTGCCTTTTTTTTTTCTCAATTCTTTTTCTAAATATATTCCTTACATCTTGTTCATACATCACAAGACGACCCGTTTTAGGCAACTGTTGTCGCCTTTGGGATTTCCGCCCCCCTATATTTGTGTTTTGACGAATGCGGAAGCGGGAATAGTACATACATACCATTGAATGCCAAACTCGGCCGCGAACTGAGCGACAGTTTTCGTTATAACAGCGCGGCTGGGCAGTGGATTTCGCAGAACAATCCTTCTCTCTCTTCATCCGATGCCTCAATGTGCCCGTCCGACTGAAACACCCCTCGACATGGAATCGGTTCCGCAATCTCTCTCCGGATCATCGCATCCGAGCGCTTTGGGGTCACCCACCTTGATCAACGCATCTTCCAACTCAAATCATACTGGAATCAATGCAAATGAGCATTCTCAAAGGGAGCGCCACCATGAAGAACAGCCTCCATCCTCCAACAATCTCAGCAATCGTCCCGACACCGGGGACCAGATTCCCAGCGATCGGACTACGCATCGAAATAGTCGGCAATCAAGGAGACTTACATTCCCTCGATCAGCAGCCAACGGTATAGCATCCGCCTTTGCGACGAGAAGTTCGTATGTCCAAATTGATCCGCAGTCGACGACAGAAGGAACCCAGTTGAGCGATAGATCGGGGCTAGGGTCGCATGCCGAATCGCAGCGGCATGCGTCGGGGCACCGCAGTTATCGTCCGCGGTCATGCACATCTTTGCTTAAAGAGAAAGGTCCCAGGAGAAAGCTCATTACACTAATCACGTCCGCCGTCTTCCTTATCTTTATTCTCGCTCTATGTAAGGCCTGCCTGTCAAGAATGCCCATGGAATCTGAGTACTAACCAGCCTTGCAGATCTTGCATTTGCCGTTTCCCACTCAAATCTGGGCCGTGAACTACATATTCTTTTGGTCTTCATGATTCTGATTCTCGCCATTGTCTTATGTCATTCCTTGATCCGCTTTATCATGGTGGTCTTACGAGATCCGAGAACGCTCGCTACCAATCGCATCCCGAGTAGATCTGGACCTACCGGCTACGCGCAGCCGGAACGTCCTATTCCTGTTGTTCTTGCCAACGACGAGGAGGCTTTGACCGAAAGCCAGGGCCCCAGTCGGGAGAAGGTTACCGTACCTCCTCCAGCATATGGACTCTGGAGAAGCAGCGTGGTAAGTGCCGATTCCCGACGTTCGATGATCCATGTGATCAACAATCGATCAAAGTGCTAATTGAAGAATACAGAGAATCAATCCCGATCTACTATACTGGCAGCGAGTCGATCAGGAAGCGCATCCGATGAAGAAGCGCATGAGCCGAGCGGAGCAATCAGCTAATGGCAAAGCTACCCCACGGCCGCCTAGCTATACATCTGACAATGGCATTGACTATGTCGTTGAAGCACAGCCGCGGTCGTTCTCACATTGGAACATACCCGAAGAACCTGAGCATCGTTAACAATCATCATATCCAACTCGGCATTTTTGTTTCGGCCGAAGTCTGGGAAACATTTTCGCATTATCTGTTCCGGAGTTTCTTGACTACTTTTTAAGATATCCTTTTTCTTTTTCTCCCTTTTGATTCGATTTTACACCTATGTGATTGAAGCGGGCGTTATATGGACGTATTAGCTTTGCATTAGCAGCGAGTCATGTATATTATCTGTCAATATGTAGAATTTTGACTCAATTTATTTGAGCATGATTTTATTGAATCTGTGGTAGTGTACAGAAGGAAACATACATACAGAAGATATATAGTTGAGGGTGCCAATTGGTGGACTCCCCGCGGAGTAGCAGCATATCTGGCCCGTCACTTCCCCCAAACACTCTCACGTGCGGCACCAGCTGCTACCACCAACCGGTCATTGACTGAACCCTCCATGAGACCACTTCCTTCCCCCCAACAAAGCTTGCTATAACGCTTGGGGATTTACCACGCTCCCATGTTATATACAGTCGTTCCATTACTGCGGTAATGCGCTCGAGATGTTGCTGGTCCCCAATGTTTGAATTTCGCTCAGCATGGACGATGACCTGGGTCTTGCTTTTGTCGCTATGGCTGTCCCTGGCCCAGGGGATGAGGACAGAAAAGATCCATGAGCTCAGGTGGGTACTTTGCGCTTTTGCGTGTGACTCTTTTCAATTCGAAGCTGACGGATCGGACGCGGTTGGTGCTTGCAGGAAAGAAACACAGCATATGTTCTACCACGGATTTGAGAACTACATCGAACATGCTTTCCCGGAAGATGAATTACGTCCCCTCTCCTGCCGTCCATTGGTTCGCGACCGAGATAATCCAGGACACGCCGAGCTGAACGATGTGCTGGGAAATTACTCCCTAACTCTGATTGACAGTCTCTCGTCGCTTGCGATCCTGTCTTCCAGTGACGACGATGGAAAACGCGCGTGGGGATATTTTCAGGATGGAATGAAGGACTTTGTTCGGCTGTACGGCGACGGGTCGGACGGCCCTGCTGGACAGGGTGAAAGGGGGAGGGGGTTCGATCGGGACAGCAAAGTCCAGGTTTTTGAGACCGTCATTCGTGGACTAGGTACGAGATCCCTTGGCGACTGGCTGTGTTGTTGGCTGCCTGCTCACATCGCTGTTTCTCAAATCCAGGTGGTCTACTCAGTGCGCATCTCTTTGCCGTAGGCGATCTTCCTATTGCCGGGTACAATCCGCCGGAGACAGAAGCGCATTACGCGAAAGCTTGGAATAAATCCGATTTTCCGGAGGGCAGCCGCGGGATAGAGTGGGAGAATGGGTTTGTCTATGATGGTCAATTTTTGCGACTTGCCTCGGATCTGGCGAACCGCATTCTTCCAGCATTCTACACGGATACCGGCCTTCCCTACCCCCGGGTAAATCTACGTTATGGAGTACAACGACAGCCATTCTACGCAAATTCGCCCTTGAATGTTGAATCATGTCACCATCCCAACGTGAAGTCCTGCCAGAAGAAACGACAATCATCTCCGCCCGAAATCACAGAAACTTGCAGCGCCGGCGCTGGCAGTCTAGTCCTCGAATTTACTGTCTTGAGCAGGCTCACGGGAGACGGCCGATACGAGGAGTTGGCCAAGAGGGCCTTTTGGGCAGTGTGGGAGAGAAGAAGTGAAATTGGATTGATTGGCTCGGGGATTGACGCCGAATCGGGCAGATGGGTTCACTCTTTTACCGGGGTAGGTTGTCCTTTGGTTGGAAGCGCACATGGGGCTCGCGACAAGAATTAACTTAACCTTGAATTTTCGCAGATTGGTGCTGGCATTGACAGCTTTTTCGAATACGCTTTCAAATCATATGTCCTACTGTCCTCGGGCGATCGACCCCCACACGACCTAGACAGTCCGTGGCATGCGTTCGACCATCATTTCGGCCCTCTGACAGAGTATGAACACTCTGCAGATGCTTTTCTGCAAGTGTGGCACGAGTCCCACGCGGCGATCAAACGTCACTTGTACCGAGGAGAGGGCTATCAACACCCGCACCTCATCCAAGGGGATGTCTTTACTGGCGCCACACGAGCGTTTTGGATCGATAGCCTGAGCGCCTTTTACCCGGGACTTCTGACGTTGGCAGGAGAGCTCGATGAGGCGATTGGAATCCACCTTCTGCCGACAGCCGTTTGGAATCGTTTCTCTGGCCTCCCGGAGAGGTGGAATGTTGTCACAGGCAATGTCGAAGGGAATCTCGGATGGTACGGCGGCCGTCCGGAATTTGTCGAATCCACTTATTACCTCTACCAAGCCACAAAGGACCCGTGGTATTTGCACGTCGGCGAAATGGTTCTGCGGGACCTCAAAAGACGATGCTGGACAAAGTGCGGCTGGGCGGGTCTTCAAGACGTCCGCAATGGCGAGCTGAGCGACAGGATGGAGAGCTTCTTCCTGGGAGAAACTACTAAGTATATGTACTTGCTCTATGATCCGGCACACCCTTTGAACAACCTGGATCAGCCGTTCGTCTTCTCGACCGAAGGACATCCTCTCATTATACCCAAGAGCACGACAGGAGCGCAACGTCCTCAAGCCCGGAAGCAGCAACAACCGCAGCCGCAGCACAAGGACTCTGTTTGTCAGTCAGCACCCTTGCCCCCAACCTTCGGCTTATCCTCAACAGCAGCGCGGCCCGATGTCTTTCACGCCGCGACTTTGGCCCGGTTACACCTGATGCCACATCGAGGTTCGGCGGAAGGGCCTCTCTTGGACCATGCGAAGGACCACCCAAGCGTGTCAATGTCTGATCTATCCTCCCCCACTAATTATACCTTCTTCCCGTGGACCTTGCCCCCTGAACTCGTCCCGTTTAATGCGACGAGCTCTCCCATGACTGTTCGTCCCACACTGGATATTTCATTCCCCAGCATCCCGGGCATGGTCCTGGGATCGAACTCCTTGGAACGGATTCGGGAGGGAATTCTCATCAAGGCTATCGGCGGACTGCGGTTAAGCATGGTGCAAGACGTGCCCTCCCAAGATGCGCCGGAGAACCCGGCGGAGGACGAGTTCCGGATCCAGGTGATCAACAACGTGCCACTTGGAAAAGATGAGAAGGTATTCCTTTCGCGAGAGATCACGTTCGATGTCCTGGATCCCACCGATCCGAACTTCACCCGCATGCGTGACTCCTCAATGATTGACATCGTCATTGACGTTATCCCAGAAACCGTCCGTCGACGAAACGATTCAGATGATCATCAAGAACCGGCTGCGGCAGAAAATGGCCAAAACCCCATCATTCACGAGTCCTCCACTGACGGAAAGCTCGGCTACCTAGACCCTTCTTCCCCGAGTATGAGGACTGTACTGTCTTCTCTGATGAATTCGGTGTCTGCTTTGATTCGCGACGAGCCTCAGACGCACCTGTCCTGGTCATCGTCCCCGAAACAACCGTCGCTGCGACTGGCCTTACCGGCCGCGGTCTCCTCTGGATTGGGGTCCGCTCCTCTCCCGGAAGTGGGAGATGCAACTACCTTTTCGATCACAGGCGATCCGTCTAAGAACCGTCTCACCTGGTCTACGATCTACTTCGCCGACGAGCTCTGCGATCAGCGCATCCCGCGGGAGGTCGCGCAAACTCACCAAGTGCTGGTGATCAAGCGCGGCGGGTGCAGCTTTTCGCAAAAGCTGCAGAATATTGCCGCATATCCACCCTCGCGCCGCGCCCTGAAGCTCGTCATCGTGGTCTCGTCTGACGAGCAGCCGCCGGACGACGAGGCTTCCGAGTCCAAATCCCCCAACACCTTGGCCGCCATCCGCGCAGGACCCTTCCTTGCCCGGCCCTACCTTGACGAGGCCCAGATGACTGCCGGGGGGACACCGCGGCGCCATTTAATCAGCATGTTGATGGTCGGCGGAGGCGATGAAACTTATGAATTGCTCCGTCGTTCGACGGGCATCGGCATTAAGCGACGATATACGGTGCGGTCGCAAGGCATTCCGATCAATAATTTGTACGTCATTTAAATAAGTAGATTAGTATTACTGTGGGGCGTTTCATCCGTATAGTTGTAATTGGATAGAGCATTGCATATAATTAAATCAATTCCTGCGTGCTCATTGAGCCGGGATATGACGCCATTCTATTGGAAATTGAGCCAATGTCCCAGGCGCTGTTTGGGATAGAAGTGAAGCTTTAGGGAAGATCTAGTGAAGCCGTCGCAGGTGTAAGCGGATGAATATCAAGCCATTTCCTCTCTTGGTTAAAGTCAGACACTGATAAATCCAGCGGAATGCAACCCGTAGTTCCAATGCAGCCCAGGGAAGTACTCCGTGACATATCCTAAGGTAACCCGGAGTAAACTAGGTAAGTGAAGGCAGTCTTTATCGATAAGAAAGCCAAGGCGGGGGCACGAGACTCCACGTGAAGCGCCATACCAACCTAAGTAATATCTAATACCCACACTAAGACCCAATACGGAAGTCCATTTCCAGCGTCTCCCCTCCCCTCCGCTTTCATCTTCTTCTTACTTCCATATCCCCCTCTCCTCTCCTCTCATTCTATATCCTCAATCCCTTTTTCGCACCTCACACCTACACAACATCAGATCTACCCAGGAAAAAAAAAACGAAGAGAAGAAGAAAAGGAAAGAAAAGAAAAAATGCACGAACAAGACCCCCGCTCCTCCAGCACCACCGCGCCCTCCACAACCATCACCATAACCACAGACCCTCCCCCCGCGCCCACACCAAAACCCCGAGCCCTCTACTTCGCCTACGGCTCGAACCTCTCGTTCACACAGATGCGCATGCGCTGCACGCACAACCCGGACCTCTCGTCGCGGCCAGTCGCCATCGCCCGTCTCGACCACTGGCGCTGGCTGATCTGCCAATACGGGTACGCGAATGTGATCCCGCCGCGAGGGCTGCGGGTCGACCGACAAATCGATTCCGGGGACGAGGTGCCGGTCTCGGGGCCCGAGGATACCGTGTACGGGGTGTTGTATGAGATGGATGAGGCGGATGAGATACTCCTGGATGGGTATGAGGGGGTGGATACGGAGCGTCCGGCATCCGGGCAGACGGGGAAGGTGCCTGTCGGGGTGAGGCCGAGGGAGCAGGGACGTGGGTCTTATAATAAGTGGTATGTGGATGCTGGGGTGACGAGGTGGTTGGTTGGGGAGGAGGAGAGGAGGAGGTGGGTGGGTGATGGGGATGCGTCGACGACGAGGGTGTTGGTGTATGTGGATGAGGTGGGCGTGGTGGTGGATAAGCCGAAGGAGGAGTATGTTCCGAGAATGAATCGGGCGATGCGCGAGGCCGAGACTATAGGGTTCCCGAAGGAGTGGGCGGACGAGGTGATGAGGAAGTTTATCCCGCCGAATTAGAGGGTGAAGGTATGGCTGTTCTAGAGACCAGAGGGAGGGTTTACGTGAGGTTCGAGATGAATTACGATGGTGTATTCAATCAAGTCTATAGAGGTACTCAGGAAAGATAGACAGAACAAACAAGGAATACCGATGACTCTCGGCAGACATGCAAATTCACAAGTGTTCCAATGCCATATATCAAGCTCATAGGATGTAGACCGGCGATCCAATCAGATCTGGTGTTTCATCCAGACATGAAGGGAGGACCCGAACGCCCAAGGGGGAGCCCGTCGCTTGAACGGCTCCCATGCATGCATAGAGCATGCAGACTATCCGCTGCAGGATGCAGCCCAATTCATGATTGAGAGGTGGTGCCGCTCAAAATGGCCGAAACAAAAGCTGAAGGCATCTGCGGGCGAGGGAAGGGACCCGAGCAAGCGAATTCCAAGATTGTTCGTTCTTTTTTTCTGTTTGGTGGTAACCAAGCCCGCCGGCAAGCTATGCAAATCGAATTCGTCACACAACAAAGGAAATAACAGGCATTATTTTGGTATTATCGGGTTTAGTTCTTGCTCTCCTGGCCGGAAAGCAGGGTGTAAACGGGAGCAGGAAGCTTATCCCGGCCCTTCAAGAACTCAAGCTCGAGGATGAAGATGAAGCCCATGAGGTCGCCGCCCAATTTGTTGATCAGCTCACCCGCAGCCCAAGCCGAACCGCCTGTTGAGTATCCCGTTAGCCTTGATCAAACTATATATACATATACGAGGGAAGACACGTACCGGTGGCAATGATATCGTCCACAACAATCACCTTCTGACCCGGCTTGATGGCATCAGCCTGCATCTGGAAGAAATCCTGGCCATATTCCTTCTCGTAGGCCTGGGTCTGGCAGGGACCGGGGAGCTTGCCCTGCTTGCGCACGGGGACGAAGCTGGCGCCAAGTCGCAAGGCCAGGCTAGGGCCGAAGAGGAAGCCACGGGCGTCGAGGCCGACGATAACGTCGGGCTTCTGACCAGCATGGGCCTCGCGGATGTGAAGCTCCAGAGAGCGGAGGAGGGCCTCGTGCAGCGAGGGGTCGGCGAAGATAGGCAGGATATCTTCGAAGAGGATACCGGGGGAGGGGAAGTCGGGGAACTGGCGCAGAGCAGAGCGCAATTTTACTTTAAGATTGGCGAGTTCGGCGGTGCTGGAGGCATGGGGGGAGGACTGTCCGGCGACTTGGGCGGCGGCATCGGGAGTTTGAGTGGTCTGGCTGGAGGTGGATTGGGACATGATGGAAGAGGAGAGGGGAGAGAAGAGAAGAAAAAAGGAGAGAGAGGAAAGTAAGGTGAGGGGTTGCAGAAGATAGCAAAAGGTAAAAATAGTAGAAAAAGGACGTGATAAGCGGAGGGGGGTAAGAATGAAAGACGGTGCTAGAGGTTAGAGGGTTAGAGGGTTTGAGGGTTGGGTAGAGGGGTTGTAAAAAAAAAAAATTAAGAAAAAAAAAAAATCAAAATGAAATAAAAAAAAATAATAATAATAAAAAGAGGCAGAAAGTAGAAGAAGGAGGGGTCCGTGGATGGGACAATACACCACTCTTACACCGCCTGAGGAACGGCGGTCAGTAAGTCCTCCCTACCAGTCTGTATGGCGGGGTATTCCTTACGAACAACCCCTCCTTCCTTCTTTGCCAGCGGAGAGTCTAGAATCCTTCCATTTCTTCTTCCTCAATCATCCTCCGGGAATCCTTCAATTCTTCCCGTTGCATCTACTTTGTACTTCGTACTATCCACCTACACTGTACTTGCTTCTTACTACTACCTACCTGGCGCTCAGTACGGAATACGCAGAGTACATAATTACTGCACCACTAGCCCTACGGAGTACAATATACTGACTACCCTACTTCTACCCCTCCCTCCATCCTGCATTTTCCATTCTCCTGTGCCCATTACACGCTAGAGAGGCTAGAAAGGTTACCGCAGGCTAAGACTACTCGGCCGTGACTGATTATTTTCTCTGCTTAGCGTGTAAGAAATAGCACGACGCCATCTGCACCCTGTTAGTGGCATGGATCAACAAAGCCACCCCCGATCGTCCGTTCGACGGCCGGCGGCCTTTCGTCCTCGGTGGAGTTGATTTGGCAATCCTCCTGGGTCTGCCCACCGTCGCATCCTGGTCGTCCGCCGCGGCAAATGGCAACTCTCCAACCAGAGCGACAACGCACCGTGAGTCAGTGGTGATACCGTGTAAGTTGAGTGGACACCGTGGATGTCCATGATTTGCCAGTGTCCCTTTGTCGGTGTACGCAGTCTGGACACTTCATACGTATACGACCCTTTGTCTGTTCTCGGACTTTGTGACACGCTGGGACGGGTGCTACCTGGGGGTATTCCAGGATCTCCCCGCCCTCTTTTAGTAATGGCCGAACATTTTTGGAAGACACGTCTATATGGTCAGTTTTCGGGAACAGTGGCCCGACCCTGAACGGACGGTCGAAACATTTGAAATTAAATTCAAATCAAGAATAACTTGGAACAAAAAGACGATGACAAAAATACAAAAAGTACGTTGAAGATGTGTCGGCAGGATCCAGGCACGATTCCCTTTGTATCTCCACTCAACCTGCATATCCGAAAGAATCCGGCCTAGAATGCTCCGGTGCATGGGATTATCTTCCCGGAATAATCCCCCCTTCAGCTGCGGCCTCCAATGCCCCCCGGAGTCTGTGATCACGATTTACCCGGTCATTCTCGATGGCAAATCCTGTGCTGAATATATTACCCCTTGCGATCGACCTGGACTCCATGCCCGACCCTTATGCATCATGACCCCATACGGAACAGACCATCCGACTAATAGGGACGAGGAAGACCCGGCGACACCTAGCTTGTCTCCCCACTCCTGCATCCGACCTGCAGCCTCCTGCAGCACCGTCCCTCCAGTCCGCATGCATAACGCAGACCGTGCCTCCCCGAGGTGCTGCTTCCCTGTCGCGCTGGGTTCCGGATGGCATGGGTCGCTCATCGCCATTGAGGAGATAGGCGCAACGTAATTTATCGCAGACTAGATCCAGAATCGGATGGAATTGAAGGATATAGAAAGAATGTCAAAAGAATAAAGGGAGGACGCAGATTCTCCGCTTCAACCGTGGAGATCATTAGCTTTCGTACGCGCCTTCAGGGTACTGAGTTAGGGTTAGTACTTGATCAGTGTAGTACGCATGATTCAGGGCCCATGTCTTGCCATCCATGTTCCATGTCTATTTATGGGCTGGCAGCATTGTCTAGTCTCGACATTCTGAGGGAGATGTCTCGATACCTTGAGGGCAAACGCTCTCCATGTATCCTACGAGATAGGACAGTCGTCCTAGCTGCGCTTAACAGGGGAAGTTGGTGGCTTGTAGTCCTTCGGCCTATGAAAGAAACAACGTAAATACGTCTCACTAGCTGCATGCTTGATTCGCCAATAATATGAACTAGATGCTGTCTCTGATACCAATGTGGCTATGTCTTTGGATCATATAGGGTAATCGAGAAACTAAATAGATCATTGCAATTGCTGACCTGTTACTAGAAACTTGTTTTAGTTATCAAAAATGTAGCACGTAGGCAGGTTCAGGCATGAAGAGCAAGGATGAACTAGTATCTTGCATTGTCCTGCTAGGAAACCGAGCATCGAGCTATGCTATTGCTGTTAGTTCCCTCAACAAGTATCATCACTTGGGAGGCAATACACCTATTTAAGAAGTAAACATACACCCTCATGGAGCGCTTTGATAAAAGAATTGCGGCGATAAAACGCATATAGCAATTAACACTAAAGAAGCTGTCTCCAGATAGAGGGCAGGGCTAAGGTGGACTAGAAGCATATATTCTTCCAGAGGATACCGTCAAATCGGGGTTCAATATGATAGAGCCCATAGAAAAGTCAATGATCCTTATCTTCAACGATGCACAGACTGGAACCGTATTGACCATTGCATTCAATACGTCCAGGTGTTACTGCACATGAGCAAATTCAGGGTAGGCGTAGTGACCATTGTAGCGATGGGGTCTTCCTCCACAACACTTCACCCTCTTCCCTCTCTCTGCCTCATCCATCGTCTCATCATCACATCATTTTATCATCCATCACAGTTCTTTCAACGCATTGATTAGGCAATACAAACTTAAGTGTCACGTCATCGCAATGAACCCGCCCCCCGGAAGCCCCGAGCCTGAGTACCAGCAAATCTGGGAGGAAGGAGAGCTGCACCGTCTTCTTCAACACTCGATGCCTAAGCTCGCAGAGCGCTTGAACGAGGAACTCGCCAACAACCCCGAATTGAGCGCGCGCTGCATCGATTCAGTTGACCAAGAACTGAAGGTCGATGATACCCAGTCGCCGCACACCAATGGCTTGGAGGTGATTCATGAGGATAAAAGTGAGCAGGGTGTAGACTGTCCCGAAGCGGAAGAGTCAGTCGAATCCCTTGCGATGGCTGGGATACCAATTGAAGCACCTTTCCAGACCACTGCTGCTCAACAACATAATCAGGAAAACATTCCACCTGTGCGCGGACGATTCTATTCAACCAGCGCCAACGATTCGCCTGAGCCTCTGCTGGCCCCGCCATCCTCCCCTGTCGCAAAACACCTTCACGACTCCTCCCATATCAATGGAACTAAGTAGCTCGGCGTCCACTCGCGGGATGCATTCAGCAGCAGAATTGAAAGAGAGTTCTTTGTTCACATAAAAGTTCCTGCTCACACGTAAGCATTCTGATCGGCCAAATTGAGAAAATGGACAACCACTGATAAGTATATTTCCAGGCATTGTTGGGTCTTAGTACTCCGGATCAAAAGTCAATTTGCATTGTTTTATTACATTCTTGATGGGAGGTAATGAGAGGAAGACATATTGCTAGCATGATGAGGGAGCCATACACCGGGAATGACCGGTGGGGATCTATCAGCCAGATGGAAGACCATGAGGATATCGATACATTCTATTAGCATACGAAGGTGTTAATCCGTGAACTGTATGTACTACTAGACAGGCGCAGGCAGGCAAAGCATCACGTGGCATGCACGGACCATCTCGCTTAGCTTAGCTCCGGATCTCGCCATATCTTCAGGCAACGATCTTCCGCCCGATTTCTTCCCTTTCTCTTTCCCCTGCTTCCCGTTCATCTCACACCCCATGCCCTTCCATCTGTGCTTCTGCCCAGAGCAGAAGTGCTTGCGAAGCCCAGCAGATGTGATATTTATCTCCATTTGTAACATTATTGCTTGATCGCATCATGTCTCCTGCACCTGTGGCTGCTGACATGCAGACCGATCACTCGCTACAAACATTAGCCCGAGCTTTCGAAGCTCTTCTGCTAACTGCCCAGCAACTCAGCTGCAAGGAGAAGAGCTTGCAGCAAAGGCTGAAATATGCCAACAACGAGGTAATTGCCACCCACTTCTGTTTTTGTCTGCCTATCCCCGGGCTCTTCCCCCAAAGTCTCTCATGATGAGAAAATTTGATTAGCTCTAGATCAGGAGGCGCTTTTTTATAGTGTCGGTGACGGACATGTCATGTATTATCTGACTGAGACTTCCCTACACAAATTGTTCTGGCTTCATGCAATCTTTGATGACGCATGCTAACATTTACACTCTTAAAGTATATGAAACTCGCAGATCGACTCCCCGATGGGCCGGATACCCATACCAAAATCGTTTCGGAGAAGATCCTCGGTCGTTATACCGAATATGATCACACTCAGAAGGAACCCTCGAATCCTCAGGCTGTAGTAAAATCACTCGCAGAGTCTGGAAACGTAGGAGAACAGGCTCTGTCGGCCATTACGGATGGGCTGGCTTGCTACCAGACCGTCGTACCTTCGCAAGAAGGTGGGCTGATGTCTGACCTCAACCAATGTGTCGTTGCTACTCGAGCTGGTGCCCCCCGTCCCTTGGAAAAGGACTTTACAACGCGTGGCATGAAGGGCAGTTTACGCTGCCCGTTTGCCAAATCTCGCAATAAGACCTCTGAGAATGGAGTATCGAACGGGGTCGAGGATCGCTCGAATGTCCCCAATGATGCTTGCGGACACGAAGACCTGGACCCCATAAAAGCTGAGCAGAAGGATAAACAATCTGTTCACACGCCCTCCGCAAGATCCTCGACTACCCAATGCCAAGTTTCAAGATGTCCCATTAGGTTTCTAGATCAGCATAGTCCCGAGGAGGTTGCCGATTATGTCGAGAGACATAAACACGAGATCCCTCGGAGTCATGCCATCTGCGTGCAACGATACCAGAAAGACTCGTCGAGCATGCGCCAGTTAGACGCAAAGTATGGTAATCTGATCAGTATGATACGGGGCCTGTCCGTTAAGCACCAGGCATTCCTGCCGAGAAATGGGCAGAGTGACGGGCCAACGTCCAGTTCCTCCGCTGAGCGAGTGGAAAAATGGGCTGAGGACGTTGGCCTGAAATCGGAAATGCAACCATCGATCAAAGAGGAAGAGGAGGAGGGAGAAGAGAGGAAAGGGCACTTTGATCGCCCACTACGAGAGGTTCGAGTTGGAGAATCCCCTAGCAGACCTTGGGGGATCCCTGTTCCTATTCCCTTGCCTGCGGCGCCAGCAGGACCACATTCGCCAGCGGCTCCAGTCCCAGCTTCTCTCAGCCATCCGTCTCCCAAATCCTCTGACAACGCCGATGCGGATGTCTCTTCTATAGCGCCGCTTCAAGGCCCGTCTCACGACACGGCAGACGCTGCTCCACCTGCCCCGAAAACTGGTCGCTGCCCCTTTGGTCATGGAGCACCCCCGGCGGACCATTTGGCACCGGAAACTGAGACTATTCGCAACCCAGATCCCATCAACGACACCCCGGAGGATACTACTGGACAAGACTATGAAGCACCTCCAGAGTTCCATGGCCCCTCCGGCAACCCTACGGCCAGCGTTGTTTTCAACGGGCCGGTGTTTTTTGGCTTCTCGCCAGACCAGACAGCTGCGTTTCTACAGCAGTTGGGCCGCCTAGGTCATAACCCAGCATGATCAGTGGACATGCATGGCATGACACTATACCACTATACATATTGATATCCCTCGGATATGGTTCTATTCAGGACAGTCCAGACCTGCACATATGATGACGATTGATGATCTGTAAAGCTATCTGCATAGTTTAACTCCTGTATATACCTACTCTTTACCTTCGAATTGAATCTTGATCAACGGAAAAACGCGGCTCCACCGATGTCGGGGGAGGGCGACCAATCGGGCAGGCGACTTTCCCGCGGAATGTCGTCCAGACTCCGGTCTGTCTTTAAGGCTCGCCTTCGCTCTGGTTCTTAGAGGACGTACCTATCTTCCTTTGCCCCTCTCTCGTCCCCACTCCCCTCATGCTTCGATTCACCCCTCGTCGTTCCCTCTTCTCTTCTCGTCTCCCCTCATCTTCTCTTCCTTCCCTCTCTCCCATCCTCGTCTCTCATCTTCCTCCTCGCCGTTTCTCAACGCAACCCATCGCCATGTCTGCCTTCACTCCCGTCACTGCTTCCGGCGCCTGCCCTCGTAAGTTCACCCAGCTCCGGTTCCAGACATCAGAGCTCACCGGGATGGATCGCAAATATTCCCACGGGTCCCCACTGCCCTCCAACAAACAACTCTCAAATGCTAACTACCTGTTCTCTCTAGCTGCCGGTCCCTACGTGAGTTCTTCCTGTCAATGAACAATAAATGCCCTTGAATACTCCATCCATCGAATCCCCCTACAACGAAAACAACCCCATGTCAAACTGTTACGTCACAGTTTCCCCTCCCCCGGGACAATATCATGCCAATCACCACAAAAGTAAAACATCTCAATTGACCACCTCGTCTATCTATAGTCCCAGGCTGTCCGCGCCAACGGCCAGGTCTTCATCTCCGGCCAGATCCCCGCCGACGCCTCCGGAAACCTTGTCACCGGTAACATTGGCGAGTTGACCCAGGCCTGCTGCAACAACATCAAGGCCATCGTTGAGGCTGCCGGCTCGAGCGTCGAGAAGATCGTTAAGGTCAATGTACGTTTGATCTGATTCTTTCCCGATCTTCAATTCCTGATCCTGTTGCTCTTTCTCTATCTATCTGTCTTTATGAAGATGAGGGGGAGAGGATGGGGAAAGAAGACGAATAGTCATGGATCAGTCACTAACGAGGCGCGTGCTATCGGAATAGGTCTTCCTCACTGACATGGCCAACTTCGCTGAAATGAACGCTACCTACGAGAAGTTCTTCGCTCACAAGCCCGCTCGCAGCTGCGTTGCTGTCGCTCAGCTGCCTAAGGGTGTCCCTGTTGAGATTGAGTGCATTGCTTTGCAGTAAATGTCTTTTTTCTCTAAATCAAAGGTTTATATATCTATGAATTGGATCGAATCGAATGAATACATGAATACATCCGTATATCTCGCTGGGTAATTGTCTAGGGTTGAGGAAGGTGGGAGAGTTATATGAAATGATATTGAAGATGTAGATTGATAGGAATGACAACTCTCAGGAAAAGAATCTAAGTTCTGGCTTGTAACTAAGCTACGGCTTTTACTTAGGGCTGAGAGAAGATCTTTCCTTAATTAAACAATTCATTATAGGTTAAGCGCTGCAAATCCTTAGTAGGATACAACCTGGCAGGCACGAGGAACAATCGTAACGTCGCAGAGACAAATAACAAAGAGCAGACCAGAATCGGGAATCATCATGCTAGTACCGGAATAGCCAAACGATGCTCAGACGCGCGCAGCTTCATGACAAGAAAAGGAAAGGGTGAAAACATTCAAGACTTGCAAAAGAAAAGCAAATAGACAGATAAAATAAAGGGATGCGAAAAATGCAGCAATTAACATCAATATTCCATGGAAGGACTTTCATGCAAAGATTTACCGTCGTCCCAGAGTCCCCGTCATTCGTCCTCCCCCGGTCATTAGACTCTGCTTCACAATGGCGTCGGCCGCTGCGGCTGCTGCAAGTCGTTCTTTCTGACGGCTTCGATCGCGCAGGTAGCCCGCTGCCTCCGGTCTCATGCGGAGAATACGCAGAATCATATCGTCGTTGGGCTCCGCTTGGGCCTCGCGCCGCTTCTCCTCCTTCATCTTCCGCATGGTGCCCAGGTTCCGAGAGAGCATGATACTCTTGGCTCGTCGTTGGCTGGGAAGACCCAGAACGCTGCCTGTGCCGCTCGATCCAATATGGGGCGGGGCAGACGCTCGGTTTTTGCTGGCTTGTTGACGAGAGATGGTCGCCGAGGCCATTCGCTCAGACGTCCGAATGAGAGTTTCAGTGGGCTCGAAATAGAAGAAGTTCAGGGTCTGGATCTCGTGATACTTGGGCGACTTCAAGATATCGATCGAGACACCATTGGCTTCGCCGGTTTCATCGTCAATGGCATGGAAGAAGTTCAGGAGGAGAACGAGCCAGCGAGAGACGATGTCGACTTCCTGCATTGTAAGAGGCTTTTGGTGCGACGGTTTGTCGGACAGAGGAGGCACCAGTAAACTCTCAATGGTGCTCAGCACCTCCTTCCACAAGCGAGCCATGACCATCTTCATGGCTTCCGAAGTGAGAGTTTTGTTCATGATGGCAAAGTTGTCGTTAAAGTAGTCAAAGAGGGGTGTCAGGGCGTTTTCCACATCCACATTGGATGGCATGGTAGTAGCAGACTGCGCCCGGTTTCGGTTGAGGAAATTAGAGACGCTGGATATACTCAGCTTCTGAGAGAGTAAAGATTTCAGGGTTCGACGCGACAAGCAATGGCTAATGTATGCAGACAACTAGAGACGAGGGCTCCTGTTAGCGAACAGATTACAATCCAAGCGAGGGGGGTTCTTCAAAGTCTTACCTTCTCCGTGATTTTGCGCGTCATATCTCTCTCGGTGCGCTTCAACGTGCGGAACGATTTGCCAAAGTAGAATTGAATGTCGTCGCGCTCGCCCTCCATGCTAACCCGCAAAAGCAGACGACCTTGGGTGTCCAAGTCCAGCCAGTACTCCCGTGGCAGGAAATCACTGAAATGCACCGGGTCCAGCTTAATGGAAGTTCGACCCACGTAGTCATGATCCCCAACTGCGTCCCAATCCCAGATGGTTGCAATAATGTTCAGTGGCCCCTGGGTGGTGATGTCAACGGTGTCATCCCATCTTGGGTTCAGATTGTTATAGATGATACGAGTCTTGGCAATGCGCTTCTGATATTCATCTGCCAACACGACGTATGGATCACTGCCTCCGTTCATATCGCAGGCCTTCAGGTCCTCGGCTTCCACGATCTTGATTGTGAAAACGTATGTGGTCGACCTGCGGATCTTCTGCTGGGCTTGCGGAGGGGCATGCTGTGCTATAACGTCCGCACACCCATCGACATTGATTTCATGTTCAAGCTTGTCGAACTGAGAAAGCGCATACTCAATATTGTTGAGCTTCACCAAGGACTGTGGTCAATCGTTAGTCATGTCTGCGCACGATACACGGGGTAAAAGGTGCTTGCTTGCGCGAGTGTTCTTACCTCCGGAAAGAATTGGAAAGGCTCAATCTTTTCTTTGCTTGCCCAGGCCTCCTTGGCAATTTGCATCAATTTCTCCTGGGTTGTCTGATTCATGGCGGCTTCCTGGTCAGGAGAGAGTCGGTCCATTTCTTTGGCAAACATTTGCTCCAAGGCTTCGCAGTATCTTGAGACTCCTTTTCCGATCGATTTGGACAGCGCAGTCATAAACTTGGCGTACTGGAGGTCATCATCCCACTCGAGCGAGATCATCTGTTCCACCACCTGGTTGAATGAACGGAAAATGTCGATCACGGAGACGCTGTGCCGGTGATCTTCAGGGACCAAGTCGGAGGTGGGATCGTCAGCCCGCACAGTGAACGCATCTTGTCTGATCGCCTGTTCGACCCAGTCCATAACCTTCTGGTCGGTCAAGTGAATCCATCGCCACACAAAATCTTCCAGCAAGTCTTCCACCTTGAACGGGAATGGGACGCTATAGCCTAGCGTTAGTGCAATGAACTTGGGCAGGTAGAAAAGAAAGGCCGGGCATACTCTGGAAGCGCCTCTGTGAAAAGAGCACGAATAGACGTCAATTGCTTATAGAGGTCAAAGCCATCCTCCATCGCGATTTCTTCGCCTCGAATCTTTTCCTGCTCGAGAATCCTAACGACCATTTCGTGGGCGTCTTCGGCAAAGATTGGGAGGACATTCGAGAGCAGCGTCCTGTAGGGATTGACCCTACATTCTGTTAGCTTTGATGGCCGATATGTTTGTAGGGAGCGAGGAAAAGGTACTTACCCCATAATCTCTGGGTTATGTCGATACCGCTTTCGGATCTTTTGTCCTAGCTTCGCAATAGCATCACAGAGTTGAATGATATGGTTTAGCTCCCACGCCTCTTGCTCCACGGGGACTTCCTGCCCTAGAAGTGCTTGGTACTTCTCCGTCGCCTTTTGCGCAAGTCCATCCTGCACGTACGAGCAGAAACGATCCATGTCTTCTGAATCCTCAGTGTAATTGGGATCCAGCTGGATATGATTCTCCAGCACGTACATTACGGGGCCAAGCGGACGAGGTTTGGCCTCGAAACAATCCATCATGACGACATACAGCTCCCGCAGCAAAGCTTCGTGCAGAGATGACAGTATTTGCTGCATCAATAGAAGATCATGGATTGTCCACTTGTGCCGTTCAAACATCACGGAAGCCACGAAGCTGCTGCGCTTTTTACCATCTGACGGAGTCTCCTTGACAAATGTAAATGCTGAATCCAGAGTGTCAAGATCCATCTCATTGTCGACGAACTTTGATCGCGCGACATCCAGGAACAAGACGATCCGAGAGAAACTGGGTAGCCGCCATCGTAAGCAGACTTCATTCAGGAACTCCGACGACTGTTTCGAGAGGAGTTTGTGCGAGGGGCCTTCGGATGTAGTTTCGAGGTCGCGTTCCCTAAGGTCATGGCTCAATGTTTGGGACAGGATATATCTGTACATCGAACGCGGGTCTGGCGGTATATAGGTATACGTGTCCGACTCATCCGATTCATTGGTAGCGTCCTCGCTCAGCGACAACGAACTAAGATCAATGGGCTGATCAATAACATATGAAATCGGTCTATCGGTGTTTGTTCTCGATAGCTCCCCATGGGCTGGGTCGAGGTTACTATTTCCAGGTGTGCTTTTAGCAATTTCAGGATTTGATTGCATGATGGCAAGCATCATCTGAGACAGATCAGGGCCTTCGCTTTTTTTCCAATGCTCATACGCCTCTTCGTTCTCAAAATCCTCCTTTGATAACGTTTTCCGAGTGTTGAGGTTCAAATGAGCCTGATAGGCCTTGAGGTCTTTGAGGGCCGCCTGGGCCGTCCAGACGCCCCGGTGTTTATCGATGTCAGATTGGACCTGCGTAGTACTCATGTCGAAAATCCTCGCCACGTGTTGCACGAGGTGCATGTCCCTCACATCATAGCTCACGGGGGCCAAAACCTCCACGGTCGACGCGCCATTTGTTTCTACCAGATCCTGGTCCTGAGAAAGAAGCTTGTTCTCCAAAACCGACAGTCGGTTTGCCAGCTCCGGACGATCTTTGGCCCAGTCGTTGTTCTTCAAGATCAGCCCAAACAGCCGGACAAAAAGGGCGACATGTCGGTCCACCATGAATTTCCAGTGATCATCATCCGGATCCTTGCCCTTGCTCAGTTCCTTGGTGGCGTTCGAATAGAAGATCAAGACCAGGTCCTCCGCACGTCGGTCCTTCTCCATGCGTTTTTTGAATGACTGGTCTTTCAAGGCGTTAAGGAAGGCAGCGAAAGTCCTCACAACCAACGGATCCTGATACTCCTTCCTCTTTTCCTTCTTTGTCAGGATCCCCGTCAACCGTTTCTCCAGTTCCGATATGAAGCCATGGGGGATTCTCGTGCTCTTGGAGTCGCGGACCAGAGAGAAATCACTCATAAGATCATGGAATGTAGTCGCTCTCTTGGGCCGCTGCTGGGGAGTTGGCGCAGTCTGAGCCCGGCGCATACGAGGTTGGAGGAGGTGAGCGAGGTAGGCCACGCGGAGGGCATAATTGTAGGCCGTGGAGGAGTTCACGGGGCGTCTGCGAGAGCCAGAAAGGTTGCGCGAGTGGCGAATGTCATTCTGGAGGCTGTTAATCCGTCGATTAATGCCCCGGGACTGACTAGAAGCTGTCGACATGGAGTGGACGTGTCTATCTCGATTTTGCGGCGATCGGGACGAGGGGAGGAGCGGGACGTGGCACCATGGGTAAACAGTTCAGGAATCGAGCAGAAACCACCGGGGGAGTGGACAATAAATTAACTGCTTACAAGGCTCCTCTTGACCCGCAAAATCAAAGAGGCGCAGAGGGGGGAGGCGTCTTTGTGTTGAGGGGAGGGGAGAGAAAGAAGGAGGAGGGGGGTTGGAACTTTGAGCTGCGGAAAGCTGGACTGGCGGTTTGGCAGTGAAGAAAGGGGCGGGTTGGGTTGGGTTTTGGTTGGTTTGCGCGAAGGGCTTTGGTTACCTGAAACAAAACAACCCCAATAATAAGCGATATGGTCAGTGTTACACTCTGGCATTCATCTGCAAATTACATGGACAAGGTCGGCCATAATCATCCGCGAGTTTTCTTTGACGTCGTCTGTTGTTCTCTCTGCGGGTGGATCGATTGTGTAACTGGACAGAGCACGCAGAATATATAAATAAATATCAAAGGATGTAAAGACCTCTACAGGCTCCGATGACCACAATTCACTCTTTACTATTTCCTATGTCTAAGCCCACTGTCACTCGTAAAGGAATATCTCGAGGAACAGGATACAGGAGTGTCGGCTTCCTGCTCTGCTCCATGACGTATTGAGCAATGGATCGGTTGAACTTGGTGTCCCGCAGTTTTCCTCTGCCTCGTATAAGAAAGCATGGCACAAAGACCGAAAGATCTGGAATCCACTGTGGTTGTCAAGTAGCTGACGAGGTAATTACCCTCTTTTTCCCAAATGAATCGACCTGATATCAGACCTTCGATTGACGCCGAAAGACTAAATCGTACTGTATTTATTTACATTTACACAACATGAAGTTAAACGCCCAATTACCAAGATTCCTCACCGGACTTGCGAGCCTATAAATTCATATCGATCATTAGCCAATAGTCCGGGACCAGAGGAGGGATCCAATCCGAAATTGGTTCCCTCAACAAGAGAGAGGGTATTAACGCACCGGAGCGGCATAGGGTCCGCCAAGCTCCTTTTCCAGACCGTCGGGGAATGTTCGGGGAGCGCTGGGCTTGTCTGGATAGTAGAAGCTCACAACGCCGCAGAAGCCCAAGAAGGTTGCGACAAAAACTCCCAGGTGGAAGAAGCCCCGGCGAGCGGTGACGTGGGTATACTGCTCGGGACTGAAGACACCAAGGATTTCGTTCTCCTCGTGGACCGGCTCGCCGAAGTTGCGCTTTTCCTGCTGATCCCACCAGCCACCATAGGGGTCTCTGAAGGCACGCTTCACACGGGGAGGGTTCTCGTAGTTGTTGTTCTGCGGGACGAGTCAGACGAGTCCAAATCCCACGGGGGAATGCGGATCGACCGCAAGTACATGGAAGAAGGCATCATACCTGCAACGGATCGGGGTCATTGACCTCCGCAGCCGCAAGAGAGCGAACATGTGAGAAAGAGGCGCGGGGGACGGCGTAACGGGCAGCGACCTGAGGCAGGCGCCTGGTCAAGAGCCGCTGAGACAGCATCTATATTTCCAGCCATTAGCACGACAGACCGATATGGCGGGATTGAGCCAGCACGGAGGGATTGGAACGAACCTTGGTAGTAGAGGGTTAGGATGGAGGGAGGTGGTAGTGAAGCAACCGACAGGGTAAAAAGGGCAGGACCGGCGGATGAAGTGCAAAGCGGCCATGACGGGGATGTGGATTAGCTAATCACGGACAGTCTGTCTGGGTGCCTGACTGCCTGAGGCCAGACGCGCTTACATACACGTCGGGTCCTCCCCCCCCGTAGTTGCTCGTAGTTGCTCCTCCGTCACGGCAGGAAAAGGAAAAAACCACCTCTCCACGCTATCTGCCCGTCCACCCGTTCTTTTCGTCACCAGTCGCGCTACAGTGCCGATAACTATGCCAAATCTTTTGTGGCACCTCCACTCAGTTACAGCTACACGTTGATGCCAATTTTTCCCATATTGACCGTGTCCTCGTTGGGAAAACTGGGGTCAGCTGAATAGAGGGCCCCTGCCTCCGTCGTTACGAGACATGCAAAACGGCAGCTCCGAAGGCCTTCACCACCAAAATGCACGCGTGACCCCCGATCCCGATACAACCCTGTCCGCTCCCCCCATCCACGATCTTCCCGTCGATTCTGCGACTATTGATTCGATTCCTCCGGTGCCCAAAGAAGACGAGTCCGTTACCAACCACCCGGAAGGACCGCCATCGAAGAAGCGAAAGCTTGTGGACTCGACCACCTCGCGACGGTCGAGCTCCCGCGCGGCGTCGCCTCCATGGAAGAAACCCGGTGTTGATGGCCCGACCTCCTTCATCCAAGATGGCAGACGCAAGTCCTCTCGAGTCAACTCCGTACCCTCCGCGCTGCAGCCTCCGTCCGACAAAAGGCCAACACGAGCGGGCCAGAAGTCAGTGGTCGGTAAGAATATCGCCGGTGGGGGCAAAGCAGCTGCGTCTTCGCCCTTATCGGCATCTTCCTTACACCACGAGACGAACGGGAAGGCTCTTGGTGGTAACGCGACTGGAACTGGGTCACCGAGGAACGTCTCTGTTCGGGGCGCCTCTACTCGACGGCCACGCGTATCACAGTCGCCAGTATCAAAACAAGCCCACACGCGAACAAGATCCCAAAGTTCTGGTACGCCAAACTCCGCTCGTCGGCTTCCAAATGGAGGACTCAACGGTTTTGGTATTGGGACAGATGAAACGAACGACAATGTGGGAGGACTTGTGGTAGGAGAAGAGGGTGACGAGTCGCACCAGCGAGTTCCCCGCTTGCGTATCAAGGTCAAGAAGCCATCGATTGGTATTCAACACCCGTCTCACGTTTTACCTCCTCGCAAATATGGATCGTTTAGAGAGTGGCTTGATAGCGATGATGGGCGAGCGCGGGATGACACAGTACTCACACCGGAGGGGGCGCATGAAGAGGCTCAGAAAAGGCGCCGAATCGCGGCAGCGGCCGAACCGGGCGGCCCTTTGAGTTCTGATGTGTGCTCTGCATATCTCCCGGAGCAACAAGAAGAGCCACCACAACAGTATTCACACCAGGACCATCTTGTTGCGCACGCTTTGTACTTTAAGAAACTCCTTGACCAGGAACATAGACGTCATCGCCACACGGCAAGGCTTTTTGCGCAATGGTGCGCCGATGCCTGGAGGAAGCGAAACAAGGATCCTGAAGACATTCTTCGAGAACAGCAGGATGAGGTACGAGGGAAGCGCAAGCTGTTGGCTAAGGACCTTCAGAAAATGTTCGATCTCACTCGGGCAGAGGTGGACAGGATGCGCCTGGCCCACTGGGAAGAAGAACGGAAAGCCAAGGACCAACAGGCTTTAGACCGTGCCATCAAGCAATCCACCATGCTCTTTGAAAAACGACGAATGGAAATCCTCGGCGAAACCGGAAGCGATGCCCCTGATACTAGCGACGGCGACGAAGCAGAGACAGATGATTCAGCCGACGATGAAGACAACGAAAGCAATATGTCATCAACGGACTCTGAAAGCGACGGAGGGAACTACGTTGATGATGACGAGGGTTTGACAGCCGAAGAACTCCGTTTGAAATATGCCAACCTTTCAGAGGCCAATCAAGTATCAGACCGCGCGTCTGTGGAATCTGATGAAACTGATCCGTCAGATAGCGCCGGTGTCTCACACGCACCTGACGCAGTTGAATCTGAAGTACCTTTAGAGGATGTCGATCTCAAGCCTGTCGAGCTGGATGAAGTTGATCCTATGCTCATGGACGACAGTGATGAGGCATCTACAGACATGGACGACGACATGGGAGAGACCGATGAGGATAGGGATTCGGATGATGCCGACTCCCATGAGGATGACGGGCCCGGTTTGTTCGGCTTTTTCTCTGCAAAAGATATAGCCTTAAACGACGATCAATCTCGAAGCGATTCTGACGATGCGGATGACAACCTGGAGAGTCTTTATGAAGGCGACATGAAAATGGCTTCGGTTGATGACGAGGACGAAGAGCCAAGTGATCCTGATGAGGTCTCTCTTGTTCCTAACGGACCTGCCAATCGAGATTCCACACCCCACGATATGGACATCGCCGAGAATCCCCCTGTTGACGACGCCCCTTCTGCCGACGTCCCCTCTGCCGATGTTCCCTCCGCTGACATTGTCTCTGCCGACGCCCCTCCCGCCGACGACGGCAAACTCAACGAAATTGAAATGATTGATAACCCACCTCGCGAGAGTAACCCTCCTGAGAGCGAAGCCGCCATCGAAGCACCGACTCAAACCAATACTGACTCCCAGGTGGAGATGTATCCGGACCAGCCTGATGCTTACAATAGTGGCGAGCCTTCTAGTGAAGCATCCCCCGGAACGCTTGCCACCAAACCTTCCGAACCGGAGTCAGTCTCCTCATATGACGCCGCAGCCGAAAAGGGCCGGCAGCCGAGCGAGTCGCCAGCTCCAGGGTTGAAGACACCGGTGCCGCATCTACTTCGCGGAAACCTGCGAGAGTATCAGCACTTTGGACTTGACTGGCTCGCCGGCCTCTACACAAACCATATCAATGGTATCCTCGCCGACGAGATGGGTTTAGGTAAAACCATACAAACGATCGCTCTACTTGCTCACTTGGCCGTAGAGCATGAGGTATGGGGACCGCACCTGGTCGTTGTTCCTACCAGTGTGATCCTGAACTGGGAAATGGAGTTCAAGAAGTGGTGCCCGGGTTTCAAAATCATGACCTACTATGGCAACCAAGAGGAGCGCCGTCAGAAGCGCAGGGGATGGATGGATGATACTAATTGGAACGTGCTGATTACCTCCTACCAGTTGGTTCTCCAGGATCAACAGGTCTTGAAAAGAAGGAACTGGCATTACATGATCTTGGATGAAGCGCACAATATCAAGAATTTCCGTTCCCAGAGATGGCAAGCACTTCTCACTTTTCGCACTCGCGCACGGCTCCTCCTCACCGGTACTCCTCTCCAAAATAACCTAACAGAACTGTGGTCTTTGTTATTTTTCTTGATGCCCTCGGATGGCGGCGAAGCTGGCATCGAGGGTTTCGCTGACCTACGAAACTTCTCTGAATGGTTCCGGCGCCCGGTGGAGCAGATCCTGGAGCATGGCCGAGAAACGATGGATGACGAGGCTAAGCAAGTGGTTACCAAACTCCATACCGTTCTGAGACCTTACATATTACGCCGTTTGAAAGCCGACGTTGAGAAACAAATGCCCGGAAAATACGAACATGTCGTATATTGCAGGCTTTCGAAACGCCAACGTTATCTGTATGACGGATTCATGTCTCGGGCGCAGACCAAAGAAACCCTTGCCTCTGGGAACTATCTTTCCATCATCAACTGCTTGATGCAGTTGCGAAAGGTGTGCAATCACCCGGACCTTTTTGAGACACGGCCTATCTCTACTTCGTTTGCAATGGCACGCTCTGTAGCCACGGAGTTCGAGATAAAAGAGCTTCTCGTTCGCCGGAGATTGCTGTATGAGCACCCGCTCAACAGGCTGGATTTGGACTTCCTGAACCTGGTCCCGATCTCGAGAGAGGACATATCTCGAAGACTCGCAGATGATAGCACGAGGTTAATGGCTTACGGTCCATTTAATACACTCCGGGAGCGTCAGTATCATCGGACCAACTGGAACATGGATTTCGACGGGTCTACGGTGCAGTCTGCACTCCAAGCCCTAGAGAACGACTGCAGAAAAGTCAGGATGGCTGAGCTGGAACGGTGCCTGTACTTCGAATCCAAACGCCACGGCCGTCGCCCGGTATACGGAACCAGTCTTCTTCAGTTCCTCACGGCGGACAGCAAGCAGCGACCAACTTCGAACGGCCCGCTCCGGAAGAACTCGTTGGCAGATTGGCTGTCTAGCCGATCTTCCGTCCTGGCATCCATGATCTTATCAGTCGAAGAGCGTGCGCAAAATCTGGATGGCTATGTGCAGAGATATGCTTGCATCACTCCGGCTGCAGTTGCCTCCGGAATTACCGAGGCGGCCTTGACCCCAATTGAGACTCGACATCTCACTAAGAAGGAGAGATTCCCGGCCTATGACCCATTCCACGAGGCCCAGATGCGCCTCTCTATCGCCTTCCCCGACAAGAGGTTGCTACAGTATGACTGTGGTAAATTGCAGAGGCTCGACAAGCTGCTGCGAGATCTGAAGGCTGGCGGTCACCGAGCGTTGATTTTCACCCAGATGACTAAGATGCTTGACATCTTGGAGCAGTTCCTCAACATTCATGGCCACCGATATCTTCGGTTGGACGGTACCACCAAAGTCGAACAGCGCCAGATCCTTACTGACCGATTCAACAATGATAATCGTATTCTCGCCTTTATTCTGTCTAGTCGGTCTGGTGGTCTTGGTATCAACTTGACGGGAGCTGACACCGTGATTTTCTACGATCTTGACTGGAATCCGGCCATGGACAAACAGTGCCAGGACCGTTGCCATCGTATTGGGCAAACGCGCGACGTGCATATTTATCGCTTCGTCTCGGAGTACACCATCGAATCCAACATCCTCCGCAAAGCGAACCAAAAGAGAATGTTGGATGATGTCGTCATCCAAGAGGGTGAATTTACCACGGACTACTTCACCAAGCTAGACATGCGTCACATGATCGGCCATCAGGAGGGCCTGGAGAGCCAGGACGAGGCCAGCGCTGCTATGGATCGTGTGCTTGACAATCGGGTTTCCGGCGGCGGCGGCTCTCGGGTGGTTTTCGAGCAGGCCGAAGACAGAGAGGATATCGACGCGGCGAAGAATGCGCAAAAGGAACTCGAGCATGCCGACGACGGCGATTTCGAGGACCGCAGCGTCTCGCAAAGCACACCCGCTCAGACCCAGGCAGGCACGCCGCTAGCCACCGGCCCTGATGACGGAACTCCGGGGCCGCAATCCTCGACGACGCCGAATGTGCAAGGAGGGGTCGACGAAATCGCCGAAACCGAGCCCCAGCTGGGTCATATTGATGATTATCTACTACGATTCATGGAATGGAACATGAAGGACGAACCGCTTGTGTTGCCAGTGGACAAGAGCAAGAAGAAGTCCAAGAAGGGCAAGGAGCATCGACTTCACAAGAGACGTCGTTAAGGAAATTAGGGTTGGAATCGGGTAATGACGGACTCATGAAGTGTCCCCTGTAATTTTATCTGTGCTTTATTACTCTCACGGTGTTACCTTTTCTCATCTTCTCTTCACTGTCATTTCTATTGTGCTTGTATGTGTGCGCGTTTGCCCTCTTCACGAGCCACAAAAAAGGGGGTTTGTCTGGAGTTGGAATGGCGTCTGTTCATATCAGGAAGAAGGAAGAAAGAGACTTTACATGTAGAAGGCGGTATTGGTGCAGTCTTTCTTTCTGTGTCTAAAGTCTAGACTGATGGGGAAAGGGGGTCTGAGCGCTTCTCTTCTCATTAGTTTCATATTAATCCGATCGATCAGTTTTTCTCTTCTTTCCCCGGTTTCTTCCCTTCCATTTGATTCAACTCGATTCCCAACCCTTACTCCGTACACCTAAGAAAGTCTACCTTAAAGGATTCATCTGTTCCCCCGGAGAGTTTAGACGGCGGACTCTTGGGAAGACTAGCGCACAACATGTAGGTACTCTGGAGTACAGCACCAAACCGAGCTGGAACTAGAGTAAAAATGGGAAATAAGCGAGAAAGAATGCCCCCATGTCATTTAATTCTCAAACATCAACATAGTTTGTACTATGTATGAGAATTTCTGAAACATCCGCAAACCAGGCAGGGCCTGAGACCGAGACCCTGTCTGGCTGGCTTGTCTGCCATTGAGGAAGGATATGACGCGCCGATCGAGACTAGACTGGGGCCATAGAGGTGTAGTGCAGTGCAGGGATGGGATCATGGAATGTACAGAGGAGTCGGACAGAACAGGAAAAAAGGCTAATTTGAGATTTAGGATTGGACTGGATTGCAAAAAGGATCTGGATTTCCGAGTGAGTGAGTACCTCCGTGAATCTTGTGAGTCGCCACAATGCACGTTGGAGTCTAGCGCAGGCTCTGTTCTGATTCAATCCAATTGGATTCCTAGTTGCTACGGAGTAGGTCTAGATTTGTTGCAAAAAAAAAAAAAATCCCTCCACATGGTCGGTTGGTAAAGGAGAGACTATGATGGTTATGGACTAGGGGGAGGAACCCAGCGTCTAGGAAAGCATTCCCTATGCAGAAGGAGAGTAGATTTTAAGTTCAACTATACAGCTTTCGTTTGAAACATACCCACATATACCTGTGCAGACAATCTCAAACAGGCAGGTGATGCTCCGGAAGGCGTCGGATGGGACAGTTATCCTTTCTGGTAGTGAGACCGTCATTGTCGGGTTTGCTCTTCTTTCTTTTTGTTCGGTTTTTGCCCCTTTACCCGGCGCAAAGTGAGTTGACATCCGGGAAACGTGCTTCGACCCAGTCCTTTCTCGAAGGGAGGGGGGATCGGATGATGATGCCGATATGATGCGAAACCGGACGGCCACATAGATAGTCGGGAAGAAGAGGGGAATCAAATTGCCGAGAGGCCTCCGAGAACCCTAAGGGGAAAAAAAAGAAAAAACAATATTATTCATTGCGTTGTGTAACTTCTGATTTTAAGGTTAAACCCCGAACCGAGGAAGTTGATAGTGGTCCAAGTTGGAGTCAGCGCCGCGAAACTTTCAGCACGAGCAACAACGGTCTGTCGTGCCCGTAATGACTCAACCGTGGAACCGCGACAACCCTACCCACCGATCAGCACCGGAGACAGAGAAAGGGCTGGGCTGGGACTGGAGAAACATGGAGGTTGAGGATCATCTATCCTTGGTTGATCATGCTTGCCCTCGTGGGCGGCGAGCGACATACGGACCATGGCAACAGTCCGCTTCCCATTCCATGCCGAGAAAAGGAAAAACGTCCGTCATATACTCGGACGAAACTCCAAAAGTATCAACCTATCGGAGAACTGTTCGGATCCGGAGACTTCCAGGCCATGATGAGCTTGAGCCTCTTCTAACTTTGGGGAGAGAAACTCACGACGCTGATTAGGGCAAGGATTGCCCCTGCCTGCCCCCATCTCGAAGGGAGTTCGTTCCGATGGCTGGTTTAGCGTGCACGCGAAGGCCGTTAGGAACTTTAGGGGGGAAAGAAAAAGAAAAGAAAAAAAAGCCATGTACACACATACAAAGGGGGATGGCGGACTTGGATTTGGAATCATGTCTTGCACAGTGCACCGAGACCTCACGATCTGCGCGTCGAGTTCCTTTTTCGGCCGCAAAGGAATCTCCCTCATCCAGGAGGGATTCAGTTCCTCCTGCTGCTCGCTGCTATCATCTCTACACCGTAATCCGAATATCATGAAACCAGCTGTCCTGAAGCGTGATTCCTCCCGGGGGATCCTCAAATCCCTCCGTCATGGACCAGAGATTCTCTCGGCCCTACGGAATGGCAGCCTTGGTTCCGCTCTCAATGAGCGCTGGTCTCTGCTGGCGACCTCTGTACTTTCCCCTCCTTCTCATGGATTTAGACTTCAGGCGTGAAACGTCCACGTGGGTGCCAAACCCCCCTGATATTCGCCGTTGGAACGGATCTCCAACTGTCCTAAAACGGAGGGATTTCGGTGCTCCTGCACGCTTTCAGTATGACTACCGCGAGGCACGCCTAAAGTCAATAATGCGTCCCCTGGTCAACGGTCGAATTGGCCTTATTCGGTACCTTGTACCGATATCTTTGGAGCAGTCGCAGAGTTCAGACGTCCGAGGTATAACATTTCCGAATTTCGTAGTCGGCTATCGACTCCACTTGCTCCGATATCGTCGATCATGAGTCGGCCAAGGTAACAAGGTAAGCCCACGCCGTAGGGTGGACAGAGTACAGGAAAATCAAGGCCAGCAGACATGAGGGAAAGGATCTTTTCATGCCTGGCAATGGCAGAATCCTTCTCTTAGTCGGCTTCGCTAGTTCGGCCATGCGGAGTAGGCACTGACAGCCCGCAAGACCTTTTGGCATAGCTTTAACAAATCACCGCCTCGCGCTTGTTGAATATGCGTGCCAATCGCGGGCCCGTATAATGGACGATTTGTCCTTACAAGTGATTGTAGGGTGGGGAGTACGTAGATTACTGGGGGTCCTTTTCAGCCTCTGCTTCAGCCAGCCCGGAAAAGAGCATGCGTTCGGATGAAGATCGGCGGTCAGGTGAGCGTGGTCGCTGGCCACGGGCTGATCTACTGTGCTAATGTGCCGTTGGATGGCATAGTGACGAGATGGCTCCGCTATCGCCCTCTGCAGGCGCCCCCCAGATTAGACAGGCGCGCCTGGTTAGGACGGTTCCATGGATCGACTCTGTTGTTGCATTGCTTGCCCGTGAAGAACCCACGACAGAGTAGAATCTAAGGCCCATGTTATCAGTGGGACGTCTTCTAAGACAGAACCAAAATCCCGGGAATTGCGTGACGAATGGCGGCAATGAATGATAAGTTGGGGGTGGTGTACCGGAGACGCAAGACGAAGACCGGTGAGTGGGACGAGATTGCATCTAACACGAAGTAGAGGGCAAATTTCGGAGGGAAGCAGAAAGAAAAAAAATCTAGAGAGCCCCACGGCTGTCAAGGGCCGAGGTAATACTCTGCCCGTTCACGATGAGCGGACGATTAGACAGATAGAGGGAGGTGTGCCGTGCACCGTGGGTAGGAAATGTTGAGATGACGAGATAATCGTTTCCGGCGTTCCACCTTTCGCAACTGGACAAAGTGAATCCTGGAGGGCAAGACTATTGAGGACCTTCGGGAAGATCAGTAAGAGTGATCCACCGGGAGAGATCTTCTCTAGCGCAGGACGAATTGATGATGGTGTCCCCAGACGGACCCAGATCGACCAGGCGTCTTGGAGGGATTTGCAGTCGGTCCACCTCAAAGACCACCGACTAGTGCTCCCTACTAGCCAAATCCTTTCCCTGGAACTGAGAGGGGTTGGAATCCATGCAGGCAGGCAAAGTCTGGCATGCACTCCGTGTGAATCGGACTGTCTCATGTTGAGCGCCCCACTTCTGTCAAGGCTAGACAGACTAGTCAGTACGCTATTCCCTTTCGCCTCCTGGCAGCATTGAGCAAGGTCGATAGCGTAAAGGTCGGTGAATGGATGAGACTAACGAGATTTTCTTCCCCCCAGTGTTTACTTTGAGAGGATCACGTACGGTGTACACGGAGTAGTACTAATCCTTCACCGTTCTTTTTTCCACCCACGTGTTTTGCTTTACTTTTTATCTTGACATTTTGTGATTGGTAAAGGCAAATCTAGGAAGTAAGATAAGCAAAGTGGGTAAATGGGAGGCAAGTCAACATCATGATTGAAGAAGTGCCGTTGAACGGATCCGAGGGGAGTTGGGGGTTTCCATGGTTTTCGGGGAGGAGAAGAAGGAGGGGGAAAGATGATTGATCGCCCATCTTCAGAGTGGAATCACCTGATCCATCGAGATCTCAGCGGCGAGCGAAGTTAATTAAATTAAGGGAGGGAGTGGAAGAGTCTGCAAGAGTTCCAGAGGGTGAAATTAAAAATATTAATAGAAAGTAATAGTAAAAGGCATACACATACTGGGTACACATAGGCTACGGAGTAGACATGGGGCAGAAAAAAAAAGAAATTGATACGCAAATTGAATCAACAAGACCGACAAAATGAAATCATGATTGGCAGGTAGCGCCCTGCAATGACGATCCAAACGAATGCCAAAAAGGCTAGTCATTAGAGGCTGTTAGCCTGTTGGTAACTGGTTCAACGCCAAAGGATGATACTGAGGAGAGGGAAGAACTATGACTGAGTTAATCTAATTGACTTCTGGGCTGGGCTGGACTGGACTGCACCGTCGATCCCCACGCCTCCGAGCCAGGAGACTAAGAGGGCCCGAGGTATTTTTAGGTGGTTCTTCCATCATCACTTCATCAGTCATGAGTCCCCGTATCTTAGCCGAATCTTGTCCGGCGATGAATCACGTTTCATCCAGATAGCCTCGACCGGGATGCTGCAGCAGAATGCCTGACGGTGGCACGATGGCTGCCGTAGCTCATCTTATCGGCGTGTTTGAAGGGGTGAGGGAAGTGGGAAGGAAGAGAGAAGTGGAAAAGGCGACGTAAATGTCCGTATGCAATATGCACCTCGATCGATGCAGAAGTCAAGTAGGTACTCCGTGCTGGACTGCAGTCTATCGATGGCTCTACTGCGTAGTGAATGTACGGAGTAGATTGAGTACTTGACGGGGTCTCCAACTCGAACGCTCCATAGTAGAGGCACTAATCTATCTCTGGTAAGGTCTGGCAGGTGGTTTACTTACCGTACCGCGCTAGGATCATTCCTGGATCCGGTTGTCTCCAACCGGCCTTTGCTTCCGGTCTGAATCCAATCAGACCGACCGATAACTGCGCCAAGCATTCAAAGGGGACTAGCGCTGCCCGGATTGGGTATCCAGTGCGGTACCGGAGGGTACGGCACTAGTACGGTAGCTTACCCAGGTAGGTACCTAGTCCCTACCTACTGGAGATCCGCCTTGGGGAGTTCTTCCTTGCGCTCTTCTGCATACATTTTTGAGTCGGCCATCTAGCGTTTCTGGACGAGATTTAGAATGACTATCGTCATCTATCCCTCTATCCACTGCATCTCAGATATAGGAGTCGAGCAACGGGGTTCGTTGACATGAACGAAGGTCTAGGTGTGTGCCTACTATGGACCGAGATAGGTCAATTCGAACTATTGGCGGGATGACAATTAGAGGATCCAATAAGATTATTCTCCTGTCGCTGGACGGGTCAATTGCAGGGAAAAACAGAAAAAGAAAATCCCAGTGGCCATTGAGTTGACACATCAATAATAATACAGAGGTAGTTACTCCGTGGTGAGAAACTTCCCATTGCCCGAGAGCCAAATATCATCCATCTCCAACTACTCAACCTTGGATTCACCGTGTTCTGAAATTTCCATTCAATTGTGCCAATTGGAAACCACGCATAGAAAAAAAAAAGGCCTACCAGACTGACAACGCGCATGGAATCAGACAGAGGGATCGACAAGAAAGCTTACCTCCAACACCCTCGTGGGCAACAAAAAAAGAGAGAGAGAAAAAAAGAAAAATAAAATAAAATTAAATTAAATTAAAACACAAATTATTTTTTGCCCTCATTCCAACTCCTGGATTATCGTGAATGACAGGACCCGAGACAATGGACGTGCCACCAGTAGCCAAATCACCGCAGTCCACTTGGGTCCCTGGGCCAGGTGCCAATCACCTCGGTCGACCTGAGGATGCCGTTCCTTGGGCATCGTCGTGCTGGTCGATCTCCCTTCCCCCCGGAAGAACTGCTTGCCCTGGCCTGACGGTGGGCACGAGCTTTCCTTCGTCGTGACTTGAACTTCAATACCCACTTCTCCTCATCGCGTGCTGTTGGACCGGATGTATGTACCTCTTAGGTAGGTAACTAAATTCCTTAGTACCAAAGTAGCTATCCTTGGGATGACCCTCTTTGCTCTAGATAGAGCCACCCCGGGCTCCATTCCATCTATCGCTGCTCATTCCTCCGTAGTCACTACTTATATCCAGATCCCTCCCTCTTCGTTGATCTGCCTTTGTCTCTCTGATATTATCTATCAATTACATTGATTTACCTATCCACTTCTTCCCCCCCCAGTCGTTTATTGATCTACCTCTCCCTCCAATCCCTATTTCATCCTTCCTTCCCACCCTTCCTTATATTTTCTTTACTTTATCTTGTTCTCAACTACTTTGCTCTAAGCCATACACTTGTTGTTCTACGACCTGATTCACTCTTGGACATCCTTTCCCTCCCATCACCCCTCCTCGGACTCGAGGGAAGAACCACTAAGAGAATGAAGAACTCAATCCCATCGGACGTGTGGGAGAGAAAGAAGGCGATGATTGCGAAACTGTACAAAGATGAGGAGTGGCCTCTAAAGCAAGTCATCAAGAAGATTCGCTCGGATGATTTCAACCCAAGGTGAGACTTCTACGCTCACCATAGACACCGACCTGTGGACAAAGACTGACTGATTTCGTCCCTTAGTGAAACACAACTGCGGAGCAGATTAAAGAAATGGCGTGTTACCAAACCATCCCGCCAGACGCGCAAGAAGTCTTCGGATGACCAACAAGAGGCCTCGGGCAACGATGGCAGTCAACGGGGTCAATCGTCTTCGGTATCACCCAAGACCAAGTCGCGTCCTATGCAACATTCCACTGCCCATGTGTCTGCCTCCGAGCCCGAGTGGTTTCTCAGCAATGGTATCTATTCTCGTCATGAAGGACCGCATGCCACGGCGTCATTTGACGGCCGCTCCTCGACCAGCTCTCCATCGGTGGCAGTCTTATCTGGGTCAAATCCCTACGATCCGTCACATGCGTCGCCGCTCGTGGACGGTGTTTTACTCGACCCGTCTATGACATCTCCGTTCCATGAACCTTCATATACTGTCACCACCGATTGCATGCAACCACCAGTGTCAACAACGGCACCTGTGCAGTGGTCGCTTCCTCAATGGTACTCCATGGCTCTGGAAGCCGGGACCCAACATCCGTCGATGCCATTTTTTACTACGGCGCCTTTGAGTCCGCCGATCGACCATGCATTAATGATGCCGCAGCATCCCCATGGGGTCTACCCCCAGTCTCCTCGAGCTTCCAGCTTCTCTACGCAGCATATGCCTAATTACCACGACGATGCGAAGTCCTGGCAACGCGCCGTCTCTGTCCCATACATTCCGGATGCCGCGGGCGGCCATCCGAAAATGGACCCCAAGGGCAGACAGCACACCCCTCTGGAGGGGAAGACGCCGCTGCCTTCCAAAGCATCCAGCCAGCCTCCGGTTGGTCTGATGACTCCTCCTTCCCCTTTCTACTCTAATGGCCAGCACCCCGTTATGTGTGCTCCTATGTATCATTACCCAGGCCCCGAGCCCCTTGTACACAAGCCGTCGAGTATCGATTTCTAGGTACTATGACTTTTTCCTTTATTTTGTCTGATCTCTTCCCCCAATTTGCCATTTCTTGCTTGGTCTCATATCCACTTTTTCTCTCTTCATGTCTTTTCTTTTCTTCTCTTTTTTTTCCCAACCATTTTTCTTATCTATTTCCGGGATTTGTCATTGGAACTCCCGACTTGTCATCATCATCTCGGCATCTCGACATGAACATTGGGTGGGGTTGACTTGTTATATTTGTTTGATGTTCGAAGACAAGCCATGCACTCGAATCGAGGCATGGAATTCTGGCGTACCGGAGGGGGTTGGCACCGAACCAGGACTTGAGAATTGTCCCGCTTGATATCCACATTTGCAGCAAGACGGAGTTTTTGTTTTTTGATCTCTTGGGAGTTTTTCCAGCTGTACAACTGATTTCATGTTAATATACGTTTATAAACGGGTTTACACAACCTATGTATGTCATCATATCCAGGGTTTTAGGGAACGGGGCGATTACAATACATTCTGGAAGACATGTTATTATAAAGAATTTAGTTTCCAGATAAAGTAATGCCTGGAAAGTTCAGAACCGACGCGTGTGTGGATGAGGATAGAAACTGGGCACACGCCATAGACGCCACCGTTTCGTTGATCCGAGCAGGGACCTCGGCCCATCGCAAGACGCGGGGAACCTGCAGGCCGCAGCTCTCTCGGTACTTTTAGTTTCCCTACTTTTCTACTCTACCTCTACTTCTTCCCTCCATCCTCCTTTCCTCTCTCCTAAATCTACTTCTTTTAAATCAATTCCTACCTCAGCAATCATCATGAGGGCTATCCAAGTGAAAGAATATGTCAAGGTAAGTAGAACCGACGTGTTTCCTTCCCAACGAGTAGACATTCTCATACTTCTGCATTTGTGCCTTATGCAAATTATTCATCTATATAATAACAATTTGTCCACTTGCTAACCCGAACCTCCCATGACACCAGGGCCCCCTAGACCTCCAAGTCAGCACACTCCCCACGCCAACGGCCTCGCCAACCAACTACCTGATCGAGATCCACTCCGCCGGCACCAACTTCTTCGACCTTCTCCAAATCCGCGGCAAGTACCAACACCAGCCGCCGCTGCCGTGGGTCGGCGGCGCCGAATTCGCCGGGACCGTGCTGGCCACGCCGACGGCGTCGACATCGCCGCGCTTCAAGGTCGGCGACCGCGTCTTCGGCGCCACGCAGGGCGCCTACGCCACGCACGTACTGGCCCCCGAGGCCACGCTGCTGCCCGTGCCGAGCGGATGGAGCTACGAGGACGCCGCGGGGCTGTTCGTGACCGCGCCCACCTCGTACGGCGGCCTGGTGCATCGTGCGAACGTCCGCGCCGGGGACTGGATCCTGGTGCATGCGGCCGCCGGCGGCGTCGGGCTGGCCGCCGTGCAGATCGCCAAGGCGAAAGGCGCGACGGTGATTGCGACGGCGGGCACCCCGCGTAAGCGTGAGGTGGCGCGCGAGTTCGGCGCTGACTACGTCGTCGATTATAAGGATAAGGCGTGGCCCGAGGAAGTGAAGGCGCTGTGTGCGAAGCATCGGCAGGGGAACGGCAAGGCTGGCGTGGACATCGTGTATGACCCCGTGGGCATGATCGAGGCTAGTCTGAAGTGCGTGGCGTGGAATGCGCGCCTCTTGGTGATCGGGTTCGCGGCTGGTCAGATTGAAAAGGTGGCGCTGAACCGCGTGCTACTGAAGAACGTGAGCATCGTGGGCTTGCATTGGGGTCAGTATGCCAAGTTCGAGAAGGAGACGGTGGGACCCGTATGGCAGGGCATCTTCGATCTGGTGGCCAAGGGCCAGTTCCGGGGCACGGCGTTCAAGGACGAGAGCTTCGTCGGGCTGGAGAGCGTGCCTCGGGCGTTGCAGGCCCTCGGAGGTCGAGAGACATGGGGCAAGGTAGTGGTGAAGATTATCGACGATGAGGTGAAGAGCAAATTATGAAGACATCGGATTTCCATGTCATGTCAAACAAAGTATCTATATATTCCCTAAACCTAGACTATATACCTCTACAACAAAAGAATGTAGGTGCGCAAGGAGTCATGCTCTCGTAGAAGAGATTTGAAAGAGCTAGCATGAACTATGAAGGCCCTGAAAAAAATTCCTCTAGCAACTTGGACCCCGGTCCTCCAAGGGAGACGGAAAAACCTGCGTGAACAGATTTCCCCATCCCCCTAACAATCCAGCTCCAGTCAGCCATAGCCACAAGACGTGGCATATGAAAACTGTCCCTCAGAACGAAGGGCCCGTGATGAGGCTGTCTGCTAATCGACTGTCATTACTCCCGAAGGGGTAAAATCCCGATCGAGTTGACGCAGACTAGGGCAGCTGGATTGTGTAAGTTGCGATTGAAGAATCGTTGTGACTGTTATCAAACGCCATCTTCGAGTTGTACTTGTATCAGAGTGTTTGTGTTTGTTTCCATGCTCCAATCCCTTTCTGAAATTGGCCGCTCGAGGGTGGACGTGGGCGCGTACGTCTGTTCATCGGTGAGCGCCCCAGCACAATGCGTTTAGCACGAAGGAATCATTAATCCTTGATGCGCACAGTACACAGGTGTACTGCTGCATGGTCTGCAAAGACAGGGCGGAGGGAAAGGGTGGCACGACGTCAGCCGAGTTGGTTGGTGGGAAGAAAGGCAGGAAACGAGAAAGAGGAGATTTGTTGTTCTTTCGCTTAGCCAGTGGTCGATCACGTGACTAGCGACCGGCTGAGTAAGGATCATCGGCTGTTGCGGAGCGGAGGACGGCTACATGCCTACACTGTCTACTCCGGTGTATGTATGCATGCACTCTGTATGTTGCAGGATACACCCCGCGTCACAAGGATGCATTATGCACCCAGTAAGTCCTTGCAGGGCTGAGTCGAACCAACCAATCACTGAATAATATGCCATTGATAGGAACCAAACCGACATGATCCCATGGCTCCAAACGCTTATTCAAGATCGACGTCATTACCTATTCTCCGGTGACGTGCGAGTGTACTTGCTCTCATACTAAACAATCGGCCTGGGTCCAAGCAATCAATAAAAACTGTGAAACAGACCACGGACTTGAAGCTTGGGTCCATACCTTATGGATCCTATCCATGTATAGACCGGACGGACCGAAGTCACACCAGGCTTTTGCGGTCGCTCAAACCGGGATATCTCTCTCTACGTCATTCTCCACTAAGCGCGCTCTTTCAGACCATGTGTAACCTGCGGACAAGGCTTGTTTTAACCTAAAAGGCTGATGCGAGGACTTTTATATCTGCTCTCTCTTAGACGGGCTGGTAGTACCTGACTGCTTAAACGTTATAGTCATTACCTTCTCATCGCCAATCATGCCTCCTTCCACGGTCTCATCAAAGTTCAAGCATCTTCCACGAGCTGCATGGGGACCATTGCAATGTCCCTACGAGGTGATAATCACCCCCCACCATGAATATCCATGAGAGGAAAACCCTTACTAACTTGTCGAGCAGGGTAAAAGCCTTATCGCTACGGGCCAGTTCAACAAAGGCTCGGCCTTCACCAATGAAGAGCGCAAGAACTTCAAGTTGCACGGCCTGCTGCCTCCAAATGTACAGACCTTAGAGGAACAGGTTCATCGGGCATATCAGCAGTATAGCAGCCGCCCAGATGATCTGGCCAAGAACACCTTCATGGCGAGCATGAAGGCTCAAAATGAGGTTTTGTACTACAAGGTAAGTCGTCGATGGCGTTGGTCGGTTTGGAGGCATTGCTTTCTAACTTTCCCAAACCAGCTACTACAATCTCATCTGAAGGAGATGTTCAGTGTGATCTACACTCCGACGGAAGGCGATGCCATCAAAAATTACTCAAGCCTGTTCAGAAAACCCGAAGGCTGCTTTTTGAACATTAATGACCAGGATCGGATCGAGGAGAGTCTTTCCAATTTCGGCTCCGGCGACGAGGTGGATTATATCGTTGTCAGTGACGGCGAGGAGGTACGTTGATCTTACCAAGATTTTCGAGGATAGCTGTCTAACACCTTCGCTTTCAGATTTTGGGGATTGGAGACCAAGGAGTGGGCGCCATGTTGATCTCCGTGGCAAAATTGGTTATCTCTACCCTTTGTGCTGGAATCCACCCCTCGAGACAGTTGCCTGTCGTTTTGGACTGCGGTACTGATGTACGTCTTGCGAAACAATCATCGGTGCATCTTACAAAGACTGACTGAGGTGACAGAACGAAGACCTGCTCCGTGACGACCTGTATCTAGGAGTCCGACAGCGGCGGGCTAGAGGCCAGGAATACGACCAGTTTGTGGACAAGTTTGTGACCACCGCTAAGAAAAAGTTCCCTCGAGCATATATCCACTTGTAAGCGTGTACGCTGTCCATGAATATACTCGGACCTGACAGAGAATCCAGCGAGGACTTTGGTCTGCAGAACGCCAAGAGGATTTTGGATCGATTCCGATCGCAAGTCCCTTGTTTTAATGACGACATCCAAGGGACAGGATGCGTAACCCTAGCCGCCCTAATTGTAGCCCTTGATGTCAGTAAGGTCAAGTTAGGGGATGCGCGTGTTGTGATCTTTGGCTCCGGATCAGCGGGGACTGGCATTGCAGAGCAGATTGCCGATAGTATCGTGACTGAAACCGGCAAGTCGAAGTCGGAGGCCTCAAAACAAATCTGGTATAGTCCTCTCCAATGATCGGGTTGAGATGACCCTCCCAGTGACAATACTGACTTAAAGCACGCTACAGGTGTTTGGATAAGCCAGGGCTTTTAGTTAAGTCCCTCAAGCATCAACTGACGCCAGCCCAAGTCCCATTTGCGCGGGATGACGAGGAGGGCAAGGATTTACTTGCCGTGGTCAAAGAGGTGAAGCCACACGTCTTGATCGGCACGTCCACCAAGCCCAAAGCATTCACAGAGCCGATCATTCGAGAAATGGCCAAGCATGTGGAACGACCGATTGTGTTCCCACTCAGCAACCCTACCCAGCTCCATGAAGCTTGTCCGGAGGACATCAATCGTTGGAGCGATGGCCAAGCCCTCATAGCCACTGGAAGTCCGTTTCCGCCCGTCGAACGGAATGGCACGAAATACGAGATTGGTAAGTGAGCTGCAGCCATAGCCACGTCGGCCCCAGATCTTCATCTATTACTCCCCACGTCTGTTCACTATCGCTTACCACTATTGCAGCGGAATGCAATAACTCGACATGCTTCCCGGGCATCGGTCTTGGGGCCGTGCTGTCACGAACACGGATCGTTTCGAACAAGATGCTTGTGGCGGCGGTCAAAGCACTGGCTGCTCGGTCGCCGGCACGTCAAGATCCCAACCAGCCTCTTCTTCCCGATGTAGAGGACGTACGAGGGATTAGTGTGGATATTGCCAAGGCAGTTATCCAAACGGCCGTCCAAGAGGGAGAGGCTCAAGAGCAGAATATCCCCACAGCCGAAGAAGAACTGGACGAATGGATCCGCGTCCAGATGTGGGAGCCGGTCTATAGACCGCTGGTTAAGGTTTAGTGGCGATGATGATGGTTTGTGGTCGGGCGCAGGAATCAAAGCCTCGTCCTCTGTTGGTTGTCTGCCCTCTTGTACCCTGGAAGGAAGTGGCTAGGGACAGATTTGCCTCCAAGAGTCATCGGCAGATGGAATCATGGATGAACAGGTGACAAATCTAGTGGTAGTTTGCACTGTATGCAGGAAGTGACATTCCTGCAGATTCAGGCTATCTCGTATTGGGGCAAACACGTGTGGATGAGGTAATGCAGCTGCGCCCCCCACGTGGACCCTGGGTGAATGCAGTAATGACGATTTCCTTTTTGCCATTGGACTCCGTTTCCGAACTGCCGTATTACTTCATTATTATCTCTCCTTCAACCCGTACTTTCACTTTTCACTTGAAACCTGCAACTTAAAACCAACAAAGATGCGTACCCGTTATAATCATCCCACCTCCCACTCACATCCCTGCTGATTCTCACCTTTCACTTGCATACTCATCGTCACACAACATGAAAGTCACGGCTGTTGCAACCGTTTTCGCTCTTCTCTTTGCGACGGCCCCAGGCCTGGGCATTCCTCGCTCCGATTTGATCGTATCGGACGCCACCACTCAACCGCATGCCCTCCTGATATCTGATTTGGAGAAGCGTCGTGGCGGTGGAGGACGAGGCGGCGGAGGCGGCGGCGGAGGAAGAAGTGGTGGAGGTAGCGGGGGACGAAGTGGAGGCAGCTCTGGCAGCTCTGGCGGCAGCAGAGGAGGCTCGTCTCGAACTGGGTAAGTGTTGCATTTGCAAGCCTACAGAATCATGGCATGATCTATCTTGGACTAATACTTTGGCTTCCTACCATCTAGCTCGTCAAGTAACTCTGGAGGAGCCACTCGGGGCGGATCTGGACCGCGACCCGCATACGGCGGAGGCTCCTACTACGCCGGCGGTGCTCGCACTCCTTATGCTGCCGGCGGAAGGTCACCGTTGGGGTTGACACCTTTCCTCCTGCCAGTAGCCGCGCTGGCTTTCTTTCCGGGGCTTTGGCTGTACGGCGCATACGCCTACCCTTACCACCATCACTACAACTACACGGACCAGAAAACTGATCGCGATGAGTCCTTGCCCGTGGTCTGCCTGTGTGAGAAACATTCCGAATGTGGATGCGACGACAACTCCAACAACACTTACTACGAGGACCTCTTCAACGGAACCCAGCCGGTCAATTCTAGTGCGGTCAGGGTTGCCGAGGTGAACGGCACCAAGACAATCTATATCAACGGGACCCTACCTAACGGCACCACGGTGGACGATCCGTCCGCGGACGAGGCCGCCTCAGCAGCTACGAAAATGCTTGAATCCAGCGGATACTGGATGGTGGCCGCCATGGTGGCTGGCACCGTCTGGGGCCTTTAATTTTCCTCTTCTTTGTTGTGATCTCGCTTGCAGCTCGTTTCTTTCCTTTGCTTTTCTTTTGTTTCTCTAAACCGTGGTTAGTAATGGGGTGGTAATTTGTTTTTCGACTGGCTTTGTTTGGGTGGTTCTTTGAGTGTGGGTACTATGTGGGCACCAAAAAAAAAAAGAAAGAAGAAACCGAGAGAGAACGAGAAACCGCCCCTGAATCGTTTATTATCCTTTCCACCATCACTATCATGGGTTCGGGCCAAATTAGGGTGTTCCACGGTTCTAATGGGCACAATCATTGTGCTTGATTCATGGGCTTGAAACACTGGAAGACGGCGTTTTGGCTTCTTTTAGACTTAGAATGCTGGCACTGGATTTTTGTTTGTTAGATAGATACCCCACGCCTAGACGACGGCGTCGCAGGATAATTCAATTTCTAACAATGGCATTGCTTGTTATCCGGCTTGGCTTGTGGTCAGTGTTCATCCATACTCCGTACTAATGGCTTCATCCCCCTTCCCATGTCGGATCCGAGAGACTTGGACTATACCAGTGTCCGAGAAGACGAACCCATGGAACCCGCCAGGTACGCGAACAACAACCGTTCAGAAATGAGGGTCGCCAAGGACACCCGGGCGAGGGGATCGACATTATGCAATCAAATGATCCAATTTCTCGTATGGCCCATTTAGCGGTGCTTCCAAACGGCCGGACTCTTCACTAACTTCGCTTTAGCGCTCGCTCCTTCTCCCGCGACCCCCTTTTCCCTCGTTTCTTCCCCCTTCATAATCTCCCCTCTTCTTTCCCACCCCAGTCAATCCTTTCTGCTTCCTTTCTCTTTACAAGAGCTGTCACTCGTTTCCAGCTCCATTCATTCTTTTTTTGTCGTTCAGACCCTATACCAGAAAGGAGGGAGAAAAGGCTCATCATCACTCATTCACGAGAAAAAACAAATAAACAATCGACGATCTATCTGATCTGATCCACATCACTCTTCTTGCGACAAGACAACTCCGAATCAGATTTCAATCGCAGATCAAATCTAGAATCCTTCACCATGCAAATCACCAACATTCTTCTCGTCGCCTCGGCCGCCTTTGCGCCCTTCGCCTTCGCCGCGGAGCAAGCTGCTGCGCCCGTCACTCAGTACATCACCGTCCAAAGCGTCGGCGCGCAGCCCTCCTCCGTCACCACCGTGACTTCGTCGTCCTCGACCTCGTCGCTGCTGCCCACTACCACCAGCTCCAGCTCCAGCTCCGTCGCGAGCATCACCCCGAGCTCGTCCGCGACCCCGTCTCCTACGCCCAAATGGAGAGCCTCTAGCTCCTCCGTTCGGCCGTCGCAAACCTCCGCCGTGCCCCCGGCTTCGTCGTCCATCTCTACCTTCACCGGCGGTGCTGCCCCGGCGGTTAAGCTCTCGGGTGCCATGACTGGTGGTGTTCTCGCCGCCGCCGGGCTTCTCTTGCTCTAAGGGACCCTTTTTGTCTCAGTTCCTGCCTAGTGGCCTGCTCGACTGTTCTTGAGCCCTCTTATCCCTGTGGCGACTCCAACGATCAATAACATCGCCCGGGGAAATATTCGACTGAACTGTAGTCGGCCACGTTATGGCTTGATCTTGGTTATGCGACAATGCGACAGACAGAACAAGAACGGAAATCCACAGTCCATATCGGCTCTTTCCATGGCATCTTTTATGTGCCTCTTTCATGTGATCATTTCTTATTCTCTATTACCATTTTCTTATCTCTTTCTATTGTACACACTCCTAACCGAGGCCATCTTGGTTTCTACATGACGGATTTAACGGTATTCATGTGTTGGGACGGGTTATTGCCTACACTTTATTTTCTTGTACCCTACTTAATTCTGATTCTAATATCCCCCCTTTCTCTCCCTCGGGATTGACTTTTATCTATTGCCTCTGCCGGTCTCGGCTCTTTTTTACTTTATTTTATCAGTTCTATCTTGGTTTATACCCTATTGACATTCTTGAACTTCATCAGCTACCTTTACTTTTCTTCTCTTTTCCTCTCTGGCTTAATCCGAACCTAGCTATTGTTCCGAAGTAACGAATGTAGGACGAGCAATGCAGTCTTACGTGTTTATTCTTATGTAAAAGTAAATGCTATGTAGATTCTTACGCGGAAATATAACAAGTAGAGGACGCAGTTTGTCATACATATTAACACATTGGAATGAGCGGAGTTTGATGCGCGCATGCTCCATCTTGTCCGGCTTGGAGAAAGAAAAGAGCACAGAAAGCAATCCACTCCTATGCAATAATTTACAAGGGGAATTTTGCGGCGCAGGATGCCGAAAGCGTCAAAAGCAATTGAAACACGGAGGCGAGTTCGCCAATAGAAAAAGGCCGTACTATGTTTCCTTGTAAGTTGCCTCGTACCTATAAAGAAAGCACATTGTTCAGTTAGCGACGCTTTTCACTGTTGCGGATGACTTTCCTTCCCATGAATCCGAAGATAGAGATAGTACGTACCGTTTTCCTCGGAATGCCCATACGCCCCAATTGCCGCAGGAAACGTCATGAGGGTCCAGGTCATTCAGATCCCACCGTAGACTGCGGAAGATATTCTCCCCGGGTTCCAGCAAGATGTCGAATTCCCCGGCGCATTTGTCATTAACCCACTTGATGTCCCTCTCCATGTCCCACTGGGTGTACCCGGTGCTGAGGATGGGGACCTTGGTCTCGAGAAGCTGCGGCAGGGTTTCTTCCCACTCGTGCGAGCTCGCAGGGTGGCCGAGACCAGGATGGAAGAGCATGAAGCAGTCCAGGTAGGGGTCGAACGGCTGGAAGTACTGCGCGTTGTACATCGTGTGGAAGTAGTCGACGTAGGTTGTGATCTTGAACTGTCCGCCTAGTCGGTCCTCGACGATCCCGCCGAACGGGTTCTCCGGCGTGCGCTCCGGAAGCGGGAATTCTTCGTCGCGGTTGGCCATGCTCTCCGGTCCAATGAAGATGAGGTGGATCAGGGATCGCGGGAAGATGTGGCTGAGCTGCAGCCAGACATCACGGGGCAGGGACGACTCGGCGCGTGCGCCCAGAATGAAAATCCGGACGGGCGGCGCTTTCAACCGGAGCCCTTTGACATCGACTCCTTCTCCGGTCTTGGGGGGGTGCAGGGTGTATCGCAGAGCTGCAATGGGGATCCAGTCAGCTCGGGCGAACAAGTTGCGCCGGAAGATGGGGAGGGAAATTGCTTACCGCTCACACTTTTCAGGCCTTCGGTGGTGAGTCTGCCGGATTTCCGAACGCTATAGGGGCTGAGCTCATGTAGTACACTTCCAATCGTAAGCGGGTAGGTAAGCATCCGAGTCACTTGTCTCATGCTCCGGTCGTCATTGATCGCGTCGAACTCCCGCGTATAGAGGAAAGTGTCCCAATTGGTCATGTTGATGACAAAGTTCTCATCCTGCAAACCGGGATAGACAAACTCCGGGAAGAAGCGTCCCGAATGTAGGTCATGGTCATCCTCGTTGATCTGTCGGATGGTCTCGCAAATTTCCAGGTGCGCCTCGAAGTCGTCCATCCAATGTCCCTCCGAACAGTAAATTGGGACACCGCAGTCGGGACATTCAAAGTGGGAATGGGCCGGGGGAAGACTCGACCCGTGCTGGCACTTGCGTGACTCGGGATCGTGGGGCGATACGGGCGCGCGCGTTTGCTGGTGGCTCGGATGAGGGCAGAAGGAGTTTTGCTTGATGAAGGCAGCACGCTGTCGGATCGCAGCGGCCGGGGACTGGGTGAACGGGTGGAATAGATTATTAGGCTTCAGCAACGACCGGTCCTGCTGAAAGTGACCCAATGTCGCGGACGAAGCCTTAGACCGGAGGTTTTGGATATTATGGGAAACATTCTGAAGGCTATGGGGCGATGCTCGTTTTGCCTGCCCTTGCAGGTTCTTGGAGGACAGGCTTCGTGAGCCAAAGTTTCGCACAGAAGCGGGACATGTTCGTCTGGAGACCGGTAGCCTTCGAAGCATTGTAACGGGGGAGGTGGGTCCAATGGCTCCTCGCTGGAGCACCTGTAGGCAGCGTCCACAGGTATGCTCGCCGGCCATGGTGTGTGCTGGTTGAGAGGTGAGCGACTAGGGGATTGAAGCTAGCGGTGGCCTGGATGGATGAGATGGAGTATCGCCGGCCGCGCGATTGAAACATGGTCACGTGATCTGGCGGTGGTACGGTCAGTTCATATCATATAAATCTACAGTTTGTCAACACTAATGGACAGCGACCAATATCTTTCTGCTTCTAGAAAGCCGTCGATACATATAATAGAGACGAGTCTCTGAACAGACTCAACCGGAATGTTTGCAACACAAATATCTCGCCCTCGATCAACAGATACTCGACACCCACAAATACACAAGTCATATATTCATTCTATCAACCTATATCACTTCCTCTAATCTGCTTTCCAAAATTGCCTTTCACACATACGTACGGCGGTAGTCCATGCCTCACAACATGTCCGACTAATACAATGCTCGCACCAACAACATTTCACAGTCGACGACAGTGGCACACCAGATGCCGTTCCAACGTTTCTTTGTACCTTCTTTGATCGGTATTGGGCATTCGATGACCTTCTAGAGAGAAGTCCACTATTGGAACGAGAGTGTTGGCCCCCCGGCGCGGCAGAGTGACGGTCTGTAGGTGCATGGGAGCCGGCACTTAATTTCGCGTACACCTCCGACGGCATATCATGCCATGACTTGCAGTGACAACAGATAACGAATAGCTTTGTAACCGCTTGCTCATGGCCCGAACGTTCCACCTTGTTGACTGGCTCCTTATTTCGCGGGGGTACTGCACTAGATATCGCATTCTTTGGGGCCTTCTCCTTCTCTAAAGGATCTGGAGCCGGTCCACGAGGGTTGCTGGCTGGATGGTCACCCACAGGCGGTGGAGTTGGGGCAATTTCATCAGCCGTGTCATATTCCTCCGACCCTTGATCTTGTGACATATCACTTGACAAGGAAACCTTTGACATGTCTGCTTCATGGCCCAGCACATTCTGCTTAGTATCGACTTTCCCAAACTCAAACTGTTCAGCATTCGTGTGTCTCCTGATCGCCTTAGTTTTAACCTCCTCTAAAGCAGGCTCAACCGTTGTACTTTCGACCCGTCCAGTATTTTCTGGGAAGCACCGACGTTGCGATTCTCTCCTCAAGGGGGGGCCTATAGGCTGGTTTGTAGGGTTGGCTTTAGGTCTATGGTCTAAAGTCGGCGCAGAATACCTTTTTGCATGGTTAGAAGCTGTAGTCTCGCCTGAGTCCGAGGATCGTCTGCTGCCATTGCTTGGCGTCTTCAGAATATGAGACGATGGAGATATGGGAATGTTTTTCAATTTGTTGCCGGTGTCGAGAGGAGAGTTACGCGTCACGGTTTCTGGCCCATTCGACCTATCTATAGCGCGAGAGGAAAGCAAGGCGTTCGGGAAATTGGTGCCAGTTGCTCTTCCATTGCGAGCAGTTGCGGGTGCTCGGAGGTTTACACGATCGGTCGAAGCAGCACTGGAACGGCGATCAGGGTCGTTGACCGTAGCAACTCCTGCGAGAGGAGATGAGGTAAACTTTTTCGAGTTCCTCTGTGTCATATTCTCCGTCAAGGATCTTATGGGGACAGTTCTCGTTAGACTCGGATGTTGATTGGGGGTGGGGGGTTGACTATTTGGGATGCTGGCTGCGTGACTGTTACCAGATGTAGTCGAAGGCTTTCGACGAGCTTTCGTGTTTTGCAGATGGGAACCTTCCGTTTGCATGGTATCCGAGCCTCGACCGAGCTTTAAAGTTGCCGCGAACGAAGCGCGATCAAGATCAGACGAGCCTGACTTCATCAAACTTGGGTTAGGCCCGTCGTGTGGATTAGATCCATGTTCCGAATCACCAACCACTCCATCTGCAAGAGTCGGTTTTTTATCTATGCTAACAGTATCTGGCGAAATAGTTCCTTGTAACTGTGACACTGACTGTGCTGGTTGATTTGGATATGGGAGTAACGCATTGTTTTTGATAGCCAGTCCTTCAGATATCGCCGCTCCAAGACGCACCGGTAAAGTAGTGGGAACGGGAGAGGGAGCATCATGCCGTTGTTCGGATGGCTTATCTCTGAGTGTCACCTCACTTTGGATCGACTGGTTTTGGGAGGGATACTTATCGGCCTTGTCCGTAGAGCTTGATCGGGACCGAGATGTGCGCCTTGAGAAAACCGAGGAAAATCGTGAGGATGATTTAGTCTCATCCGCGCTGGCACTCGATGCTCTGCTTGAACTGCCCATTGGTTGTTTCTTAGTAAGGCGGCGGGATTCTCTTCGCAACGTAGTCGAATCTTGGGTATGTCCCGCCTGTTCAAGCTTCAACAGTCGTTTCTCAAGTTCAATTCGATCTGCTTCTAGGCGCATCGTGGCTCGTCTGTTCTTCTGGGCAACGTTGCTACCATTACTTGACTCCGCGCCTTCTTTGGTAGAGGATCTATTTGCAGAAGGTCCCAGAGCGGGGCCTTGCGTTGAATAGAATCGCGATTCGGTTTCACTTGGAACCGCATCCGTAGAACTCAATTGAGTGTGGGGTTGATATTCGCATTCCTTGGTTCTCGTTGCGACGCGGCAGTCTGGGTCCTCGGAGGTTTGCCGGTCGGAGACTGGCTTCGTCTGTAAGTCCGTATGGGGTTGAAAAACATTGCTCTGTCTTCGCTTTGAGGTGTGGAGACAATATAGTTTAGTGAAGCGCAACGACTTCAGAGCGAAGGAAACTCACGTTGCCCGTTTTGTCGAAATGCAGTAGGCGTTGCAATTGTTGTGTAAATGACGACCTACGTGGTCTTCCGGGCTGAGTAGCTAGATCCATTGTGTAGAGAAACCTAGTTGATGGTTTCGCATGAAGACATCCCCTTGTTATCACGACAGGAGCACCCAAGGTATTGAGATCAAGAAGAATGGTGGTAATTTTTGGAGAACGTTGACTCTGATAGGGCACGAATTCCGTTAAGCAGGTGGTTTAAGGATGCCCAATAGGAAATATGCGCCTTGGAGATGAAGAATCTCTACTGCCAGTCAAGACACTCTTGAAGGGTGTTACAGGCGTGCAAGGTCGATGGATTGTCAAAAGATTTGGAGAAAACATGGAGGTAGCGGAGTAGGCAAAACCCTAATATTTTTTGTTAGATCGGGTGAGTGGAGGGCATCGAGGTTTCCGATTAAGAGGGGGCTGAAAAAAAGAAAAGAGAAGAAAAAAAGAAGAAAGAAAAAAGAAAAAAAAAAAGAAACAGACGTTGGATGGCAATCAGGGTAGCGGTGGCTGACAGGATAAGATTGGTGATTGGGCTGAGGCTGCCAGGCTAGTCAATAAGTCGCTTTTCCATCTGAAACCTCAGCCTACAGATGTATGGACGTATCTGCACAGTTGTTCTATTATTGCAACCTCCTCGGAGGTTGGATGAAACCTTGCCAGGTGGTGAGGTTGCACAAGGTAATATTGTATGTAATAGGTAAATGTTTGATGAGAGGCGTGTGGCAGTAAGGTAGTCAACTATGCTAGAATGATCAAATAAGTAATCCAATAGCGAGGCTATCAGCTGCAGATCCTCTTGATAGATGCTCTCAGATATTGATGGATGCTTAGCTGACTACGACAGAAATAAGCAGTTTTCCTGTCTTCTTGATATGCAAGAGATTGACAAGGAATGCTCATTCAGGAACGCACACATGAAGTGTGGGGTAATAATGGGTTAGAATACTCCGTCTTCCAGCCGGGGAAAAGAACGGGGGGTGACACAGCCCATTAAGACTTTGCGACACCGTTATTCAACTAACTCTAGATAGGCGAACTCAAGAGCCCAAGAGTCAAGAACTAATAACAACGGTGTCCCCGAGATGTTAGGTACTCAGTGTCAGGGGATCCCCGTGGAAAAACCCAGTTGTGGGTGGCCTAATTACTCCGTAGCTATGTAGGTATCCATTGTCTTCCAGCATAGCCACACTTGGCAATCTGAGCATTCCGATACAAATATCTCGCTGGAACAACAGAAACCTTCACATATCCTTTATCAACGGGCCCTGACGTTTTAATTCGTCATGTAAATGCTGTGGATCATGTGACCGTTGACATAAAAGGGTCATCGCTCGCAGTCCGTGGAGCGGTATCTTCTTTCATACCATTCCTACCTCGAGATCACGACAGTAAGACTCTGATATCACTACATGCCAGTTGAGTGATTTCACACGTGTGAAATAGGATCTAGAACCCCAGACCCAAGATACACAGGTTAGCCGTTACCAAGTACCCACCTGGGTTTGTCACCATGGCATACCGAAACCAAGCCGACTTTCACGAGCCACCGCCCAGTTATGATGCTGCAAATCAAAGCTCCCGAGGCACTGATGATTCAAATCCACCTCCATACCACGACTGGCAGGAAGCTGTCCCAGACACCACCACCTTCCCCCCGCCTCCAATCACAGGCTACTACCGTTCAGGCACCGGAAATGCCTCCAGTGACGATGCCGAGCGTGCCCATGAGTTTTGTGATGGGACCCTTCTCTATAACCCCGTCCAACCATCTCATGCTGTGTACAACACTGTGCAAAGACATGACGTCCGTCCGGTGCAGCCTCCGGAGTTTGCTGGCCAACTTCGCCTCTCTTCCCAGGGACGCTGGAAAGTGGCCACAATCAATGGGGCCCGTGACTGTTCGATCTGGACCAATTTGCCTCTCTTCTTTTCTAAAGCGGACTCTCCTTGGCTGACCAGTAGAAGCAAAACCATCTATTTCGAAGTGAAGTTGGTTGGTCTCCGCGGAGGGCCGGGCGGGGATTCCAGTGGATTCTCCATCGGTTTTCTAGCACAGCCTTATCCTAGCTGGCGCTCCCCGGGCTGGGAAAGAGGGAGTCTAGGAGTTTTTTCTGACGATGGCTGCCGTTTTGTGAATGATTCGTGGGGTGGGAAGGATTTTACGACGGGATTCAGAGTCGGAGAGACAGTAGGCTTGGGGATGACGTTCCAGCTTGGCGCTCAACGAGGCGACAAGAAAAACCTTGACATCGAAGTCTTCTTCACTCGAC